CAGTTCGCGACATCTCTACCCACGCTGTCTTCTACCTACTTGATTAATTTTTATTCATTAGCTACTCAGGGACTATGCTAGGCTGCCACGAAGCAGCAGATAGAAGGTTGTGTCCGGGCTAGATAGTTTAGTATAGGGTCTAATAGGATTCTGTTGTAGCAGAGAGGTTCCCTTCTTGGCAATTAGACTTTATGCCGTTTTGGTAGCCTTATCTGGCTGAGCATACTAGTATTACCTTTTTACCTCTCATCATTGTGGAGACCCACTTTATGCCGAGTCCCACAGAGGCTATGGTAATCTTTCTCTTTTTTCTTTAGATTTAATTAAGGGAACGTCTACCACTATTTCTACATATTTTTATTTTGTTATTTTACTTTTTTCTTTTTTCTTTACTAATTACCCTATTGGAAAGTCTCTATATCTAGCCCAGACACCCTCTCTGTACTTCTTAGTATATCTCCCCGTTTTTTCTGTGATCGTTACAGCAATTTTTTCCTTATACAATTTTCAAGTATATTAGTAGACCGTGGTGACATTTAGTATCTATTCAGTTTATTGAGGAATTCCTATTTTGTTTTTTCATAGATAACTATACCTTATTTAATTTCCTCTATAATTCTAACTACTTAACTGTTTTGAGCCAGAGTACACCCAGGTTTTTAATAGGTGTTGGCACTTCACCATTTACACTTTTCTTGGTATATTTAATAGTTTTTGTATTCAATAAAGATTTTTTATTTAATGTGACGTTTGATATTAAGGAGGTATTTCCTTATGGGTCGGCATTTCCACCTACTTTTTGTGAGTGGATCTTCCGCCCCATCCTCTTTCTAAATGTTCTTATAATATGTTTATACATACATACATATATATATATATATATATATATATATATATATATACACACATGCAGAGGGAATATCAGCACTCCAAGGATTTTCAAGTTATTTTCTTCTTTATTCAAAATGACATCAACGTTTCAGCTCCATTACGGAGCTTTCATCAGGACATGGCAAACATAAAAAAATGAAACAAGCTTATATAGGACATGTAATTACTATTAGCAGGTACTCACATACAGGTGTTCCTCATTTCCATCGACCGCCATGTTCGCCCAGACCACCCGCTCGCTCGCATTTACTTCCGGGTTCCAGATCGTGTACCCGGACTCATCTAATTGGCTCGGCATAACACGTCGCCGGGACAACCATAGACGCCTATGTCTCATTAGCTGCCCCCGCTTGAACTGGTGCCACCATGCAGGCTCGCTGCCTAGCTGTTCTCTTTGACTCTGACCTCTCCTTCAAGCCTCATGTTCAATCTATCACCAAATCCTGTCATTTCCATCTCGAAAACATTGCGTGCATCCTCCCCTACTTAACGCCAGATGCGACTAAGGTGTTGGTCCATTTCACTGTCCTTTCTCGCCTTGACTACTGTAATCCGCTTCTCAGTGGTCTTACTTGCTCCCAACTTGCGCCGTTACAGTCCATGATGAATGCGGCAGACAGGCTCATCTTCCTGTCCGCCCGCACCTCCCATGCATCAACTTTCTGTCAGTCCCTACATTGGCTTCCTATAAAATATAGAGCTCAATTTAAAATTCTGGTTCTTGCTTTCAAATCACTACATAATGCTGCTCCCACCTATCTATCCTCCCTTATAAACAAGTATGTCCCGTGGAGGCCCTTACGATCTTGCGCCGTTCCTGTGGAACTCGCTTCCCTCCTCCGTTAGATGCTCACCCAGTCTCCACTCCTTCAAAAAATCATTAAAAACCCACTTCTTCATAAAAGCGTATCAATTAAACTGTTAATAGCTCCTGACTCTTCTGCAACTGTCACTAGTCTAATACTATTCTTACCTTTTTGTGTCATTTTACCCCATTCCCTCTAGCATGTAAACTCTTTGAGTAGGGCCCTCAACCCCTCTGTTCCTGTGTTTCCAACTTGTCTGGTTACAACTACATGTCTGTTCGTCCACCCATTATAAAGCGCTGCGGAATTTGATGGCGCTATATAAATAACATAATAATAATAATAATAATAATAATAAGCATATCAAAGGCTTGACATTTTAATTTATGTTGCAGGTTTTTATACTGAGCATTTTAATAAATGTTTTAATTAGAAACAGAAATAGTTGCAGAAGCAAACTTCAATCCTTATTGGAACAGTCTTTGTATGTCTCTGGACAAATTTTAAATAACTAATTATTGTACTTTTTACATTGCTTTAAACACTGTTTTAAACATTCTGGCACTTTACTCTCCTTTTCTCCTTACAGTATAATTAGCTCCGATCCAAAATCCAGGTTTAAAGTACCTCCAAGCACCTTAACCACTATAATATTCCAGACTTGGATTATTTGTGGTTCTTGTCTTTTTTTGAAGTTGTGTTGAGTGTAATATTTTTATTTTATTAAGCAATATAGGTACATAGTAATGTAGATGTTAAAAAAGAACATCAAGTTCATCAAGTTTAACCTGTAATTTGTTGACATTTGATGAAGATTTGAGGACATCCTTTTGGCAATGAAGGAAACATACTTAAAGGGACACTACAGTCACCAAAACAATTTTAACTTAATGAAGAGGTTTTAGTGTATAGATTATGCCTCTGTTTCAAGTTTCACTGCCCAATTTTCTACCATTTATTAGTTAAATCACTTTGTTTCTATGTAGCCCTAGCCACACCTCCCCTTGCTGTAACTGATTCAGTCTCAATGAAAAAAATGGTTTCACTTTCAACCAGATGTACCTTACTTTAAAAGTTTGTATCTCCTGCTCTGAAAATTGAGCATTAATCACACATAGTAGGCTCATTCATTCAGCAAACTATGAAGAGAGCAGGAGATAAATTCTAAATTTAACAAAATTTGCAATAAAGGAAGAATAAAACTTAAATGACTCTTTACAGGTGTTTAGGAAGTGTTTAGGAAGGCTGTGTAAGTCACGGGCAGGGAGGTGTTACTAGAGCTGCATAAAGAAACTAATTAAGCTCCTAAATGGCAGAGAATTAATGAGTAAAACTGCAGGAGCATGATCTATACACCTAAACTGCTTTATTAAGCTAAAGTTATTTCGGTGACTATAGTGTCCTTTTAATATTGTATTATTTTAACCCATTAAGGACCACATGAAGGTCTATGCCATCATGCAGTGCTGGGTATTAACACCCAGCAGGCCCGGACTGGCCATCGGGCATACCGGGCAAATGCCCGGTGGGCCGCGATGGCCATGGGCCAAAGCCGGAAGGGGAGATCACAGAATCGCCCCTGCAAGGCCAGCGCTACCCGAGCGCCAGCCCTGCTGTGTGCCTCCATGGGCCGGTGGGGAGATCAAAGATCTCCCTCACCGGCCCAGAGGCATGGAGATGCGGCCGCAAGCGCGGGAGGGAGGCAGGAGAGAGGACCGGTGGAGCTCTAACAAGCAGCTCCGCTGGGTCCTCTCGCGGGATTCTGAGCGTTGCCGCGGTACGGCAACGCTCAGATCTCGCGAGAGTGAACTCTAGCCTGCAGGTTAGAGTTCACTCTCACCACTGGACCACCAGGGAAGGATGGCAGAACAGATCTCCTCCCCCCCCCAGGCAGAACGGATCTCCTCCCCCCCTCCCAGGATAAAGGTAAAAAGGGGGGGGGAACATAACTTTTTTTTTAATTATTAATAAAAAAAAAATATTTAAAATAAATTCCCTAACAGCCCCCAGACAGACACACACAGCACCCCCAGACAGACACACACAGCACCCAGACACACAGCACCCTCAGACACACACAGCACCCAGACACACACAGCACCCAGACACACACAGCACACGCAGACACACACAGCACCCACAGACACACACAGCACCCCCAGACACACACAGCACCCCCAGACACAGCACCCAGACACACACAGCACCTAGAGAGAGAGAGATAGAGAGATTTACAGATACGCTGTACACACACTGCCAGATAGAGAGTCCCAAACACAAATAAACATTACTACACAACTACACAGATATACTTTAACATGCACATACACACTTGCAAACACACACTTACACACAGAGAAAGTTATTTATATATAGACTGGTCCCAAACATGCTATTGTGCCCCTACTTTTTTGCAGAAGGAAAGTAGCTTCCATCAGGTTTACCAGGGTCTCCGCTTTCGGCAGACAGATGGCGCCAATTGACTCCGTTGTGGTTTTATGAGCTGTGTGGAAGTGATATTCCACCAATTCCTACCTGTACTTCCACAAAGAAAGGCAACGAGGGCAGACAGCACAGCCCTAATAAGATTCCTAGTTTCTCAGTGACCTGCTTTTATGTTAAGACAATTTTATATCCCCAAATGGACTTAATAGCATTACAGGGCCTCATAGGGGCCCAGTGCTCGACTGGGCCTCTGAACGAACAACCCACTTTACGACATGGTGGAGGCCATGTCCATCGGCACAAGCATCACTAAATGTTACTTTAATACTTTGATTACATCAAGCAATAAGAGTATTTTTCTTTGCTATTGTATTTGTATTAATTGGATATGAAACAGTCAAATGTAAATTGCATAATTGGCGCCACCCCTTTTCATCCTAGCTTCATAATCATACTTTTCTATGTTGGCAATGACATGTCAAAATCATAAACACGACAATCAATTTGGATTACGTCTGTTGGAAGCGTACAAAGTTGTTCCAGGTTGCTAAGTATGCAAAATTATCATTATATAATTTAATGAATATATTATGGGAAATATATATCTTTTGTTTTAATCACATAAGTGCTTTCATATGCATTTTAATTACAAGTGAGTCATTCAGTAGTTTGTCTATCTTGAAAAAAAACCTTTTCCCCCCCCATTTGTGTGTGTACATGGCAATGAGTCATTGCAGCTGGAAGCAGCCAGGAGGGTGTAACAGGAACACACAGAAGCAGTGTCTGTTTGAAATATCATTCCGTGTAGCGGCAGCAATGTTTTACTAAAAGTAAAATCATCAACACAAAGTGCTCAAAAAATTTAAAATAATTTTCTTTATTTTTAAAATAATGTTTAGTATAAATCCAGTTAAAGTTAGGAAACAAATCCTAATTGTAAGACCTCTGTAAATAGTGTCTGGTGCTATTATATATAAACAGTAATTAAAACAACATAAAACAAAAAGAACCATGAGCACTGCTAAGAGTCCAGCTGACCCACATAAAAATAACAAAAAACAAAAAAAACCTTTTAGGGACCAACACAGCAAAGTGCTTGCTAATCTGGCAATAAAACGGTTACAATAGAGATTTCACATTGTCAACTCAAATGCTAGTTCTGCACGATTCTATAAAATAAGGCACTAATGTATTTTATCTTAAGCACCTCATCCAGAAAAAAGAAAAAATATAAATATGATTTTTTTTTGTAACATACACTTGTATTCTCTGCTACAGAAATAAATATTACACATTTGCTAATAATTCTAGTGCAGAATAAGTAGCATGGCATGATATAATTAAATTGCTAGAAATAGATCACTCAGTCACAAATAATTATTACTGAATAAATGTAACAGCTCATGATGGAAGGAATGCTTGTATCTAAATGAGTATACAGTTAGTACTGTTATTTAGCATAGTTTTAAAATAGATGCTTGGGGACACATTACGAAATAGTCTGAAAACTAAAGGATATTTCAACTGTTCCTCTAATATATGCAAACATTTCTAATTGCACAAAAGATTACTAGCAATGCATTATTTGTCCTCTTTAGTACCAATACGACTAAAAAAACGAACAAAACAAAAATAAGAAAATGATAAGTGCTCTTCTGGAGCATTTCTAAAAAAATGTTTAAAAAAACAAGACAAAAAACAATTTGATAACACTTTTTAGATTTATATGGTTTCGGTCTATAGTTCCATTATAAAGGAACATAAAAGAAGGAAATGTCCATAAATCTGCATTAGGCAGTAAGATGCATATATGCTTAAAGTGACTATTTTAAAAGACAATGTTATAGTTTATAGCATATTTAAAAGATGTAGAAGCCAAGTAAGAGCTTTATGTAGGTGTGTTTCCCAGTCCTATAATTTTTCTCACGGGCTTAGTTGTTCACAATTGTTGAAAAAACTAAGAAACTATGAAATCAACATAGAAATTGCAGAATCCTGGATGAATATCAATATGGGAACCACTCCCAGATATAACAGAACATAACAATGCTCTATAGAGTACAGGTTGGGCTAGTTATATCTGGGAAAAAACAGTCAGTACCTGCTTAATTCAAGTCAGATGGCACAGCGATCAGTTAAGGAGATGTCCCTCAAAGACATTTTTATTTAAGGCATCATTTAACTAAAATGTATAAATATATATACAGAGAAAGAATGGATCCATACATAATTATTTAAGGATACAAATAATGATTGATTATTTTTGTCTTTTCTCTCTATATGTATATATCTTATTTAAAATGTACAGTTAATTTGTCCTTGTCGTTTACAACCTAAAAAAAAAAAAACAAACGATTGACTATGTTCACAAAAGCTTATGTTAAGAAAAAATAGGTCACGTAATTAAGCGTAGAATTTCATCCAAACAGTTGTCTATAAATATTTACATTTGCATACTCTTTGATTACCCTTGAGGCGCATGGCAAACCAGTAGATGAATCTGTTCAACTGAAGTATTATTTTTACGGCATTCGGTTATTTTGACTTATTCTAAATATTAATCTCCAGTAAAAATAGAACAAAAACAGGTAGCAGTGCAAATTGTGTATGTTTCTTTTATACATAAAAAACTCCAGTTGTGAAACAAACAAGCCAATTTGAGGTTTCATGATGGAAAACAGATTCCGCAGCATTCCATGCAAATTTCCAAGCAGTCTGAAGATTCACAGCAAGCGTCCATTATACCACAATCCATATCACAAGGGCAGTTACAGTCATCTCCCAGCTCCTCTCCACAGCAACAGCAGCATGCTTCGGAAGTGCAGATCCCACAAGTTGCCTGTCCCAGTACCATGTTACAGAGTGTGACAAACTCACAAAATAAGCAAGCAAGGATACAGTGAACACAGCAATCTTCAATAATATGTTCAGCGCAGAAGGGGTCGGCACAGGTAGATCACATGAAACAAAAAGAAAAAGAAAATTTAGTTCCTTTTCAAGATATCAAGAACAAACTCACAAACAGACAATGGTCATACAATAATTTGTTAAACGGACACTATAGTCATCAAAACAACTTTAGCTTAATGAAACAGTTTTGGTGTGTAGATTGTGTCCCTGCAGTCTCAATGCTAAATTATCTGCCATTTAGGAGTTAAATCACTTTTTTTATGAACCCTAGTCACACCTCCCTGCATGTGACTTGCACAGCCTTCCCAAACACTTCCTGTAAAGAGTCATCTAATGTTTATCCTTCCTTTATTGAAAGTTCTATTTAATTTAGATTTTCTTATCCCCTGATATATTAATAGCTTGCTAGACCCTGCAAGAGTCTCCTGAGATAACACTGTTTAAGGTAAATTATATCTGATTGAAAGTGAAACCAGTTTTTTTTTTCATGCAGGCTGTGTCAATCAGAGCCAGGGGAGGTGTGGCAAGGGCTACATAAACAGAAACAAAGTGATTTAACTAATGGCAGTTAATTGAACAGTGAAACCTGAGAGGCATGATCTATACACTAAAACTGCTTAATTAAGCTAAAGTTGTTAGGTGACTATAGGGTTCCTTTAAAGTCCTACATCATAAAGTTTAAATGAACATTAGAAAGTGTTAATATTAGTCAAATATAAACATACAAAACAGGTTAAACAATGTTATTATTAAAATGTTTATTTCATTGTTATATTGTAATAAAATAAGTTAATATGAACAAAACATATTTTATCACACTATACCTAAAAAACATATGGGCAACTTAAAATTAAAACTGTAATTTGGTATAATTTTACACTATCAATACAAAATATGCAGTGTTTTCTAGTTTAAAAAGTTCTACTGCATGCCTTCCAATAGCTCCAATTTTTGTGGGACTGTCCCTCTGTGACTGGTTAGCCCCCTTGAGTCCCGATTCTGGGACTACCAATGTTGGGAGGTACTATACTCTACAATACAAAATGTACAATTACTGTATGTGTGCTTTGTCAGATTTTCTGCGTCTTATTGTTTATGTAATTGTGCAAAAAAAAAGAAGAACAATTGCTGAACATTTTCCTAGCTGTTATGCATTTTAAAGAGTTTTGGTTGAGTTATCTCCTGCATTGGGCATCAGCGTCTTAAAGCAGCAGTATCATCAGAAATATTATTTATACCATCCAATTTTCAAATCCATTCAGAACTATTAATAGGATAGAAAATTAAATCCAAACTAAAGTCTCTTTTGGATTAGGAAGCATTCTGCATCATTAGTGAAATTCTTTTGCCAAAACTAATCTACCAACATATCAAGAGAGGAACTAAATTAACGACAGCTGCAAATCATAGCTGCTGCCAGGGAGTGGAACTCACACCTATCATAGGCAGACCTGTGTGTGTAACCGTGCAAACCCTAGCCCTAACACCAGCTGTAGCTCTAACCCTAAACAAAATCAGGTAACAGAAAAGATCATTAAAGGACCACTATTTTGACAGGAAAACAAACTCGTTTTCCTGGCACTATAGTGCCCTAAGGGTGCCCCCACCCTCAGGGTCCCACTCCCAGCGGGTTGAAGGGGGAGGAAGGTAAATTCTTACCTTTCTCCAGCGCCGGGCTCCCTCGGCTCTGGGGACTCTCCTCCTCCTTCTGACGTCATCGGGTGAATGCGCATGCGCGACAAGAGCCGCGCATGCATTCAGCCAGTCCATAGGAAAGCATTCTCAATGCTTTCCTATGGACGCTGGCATCTTCTCACTGTGACAGTGAGAAGCGTGGAAGCACGTCTATCAGCTGTCAATGGGACAGCCACTAGAGGCTGGATTAACCCATATGTAAACATAGCAGTTTCTCTGAAACTGCTATGATTACAGCAGAAAGGGTTAATCCTAGATGGACCTGGCACCCAGACCACTTCATTGAGCTGAAGTGGTCTGGGTGCCTATAGTGGTCCTTTTAATAGTGATTTGTTTTATAAAGGACAACTCCACACCCATAGAGCACTTCAGCTTGCTGAATTGCTACATGGAGTTTCTTTTTAAAATCCCCATTTATAAAAAGTTCCAATTTCTTTGTGAAATTAGCACTTTTATATGTCAAAATAGAAACGCCTCCCTAGCTGTCAATCAAATAGCTAGGGAGATTCACTCCATACTTCCATTAGCTACACTGAGCTAATGGAAGTAGCAGGCACATTCAAATAGTGCACGTCTGCCTTCCAATATTGTTGTCAAGAACTGCTGGGGGACCGACAGGAGGGGAAGCGCATGCATATTAAAATATGCATGCAAGCATTCTTGGTGGTATATCTAGAAAACTGGGGGGAGAGTCCTTGGGGTTTTTTTTTTTTCAAGTTTGGAGGAGTGGTCCTTTAAGGTGAAATACTTAAACTATCTGTTAAAGTTTGCAACATATGTATGCAATCGCTGTAGTTGCTATGGTAATGGTAATAGGAATATGGTAAATAAAATCGCTGCAGTTGCAGTTATGGTAATATAGGAATAAAGTGACTAGCATCACTCCATTCGGCCACCACTATGCTGCCCGTGAAGCCAGTGTGTTAGCGTTATATATATATATACACTGTGAATGTTGAGAAAGTGTCTAAAGCTCTTCAGCAGCCATCTTATTCTTATATCAACCATGTTTGCCCTCTGTATGACTTTGTGTGCTTGAAGGGTTAAGTATGAACATGTCTGTGCTCATTACTCCATGTAGTTTTATAAGAAACCGGTTTATCTATTCAATGATGATAATGGAAACAGGTAAAGGTGGATTATCAACTTTAAGGTGAATGGTCAGAAGTGATTGATTCAGAAGTATACTGAACTGACCATAGCAGGATGAGTAGGTTTAGAAGCAACCAATTACAGGTTACTGTGTTTTTATTGCATACATGGAGATACTGATCTCTTGTCACTATGCTATTTCTGGCACGTAAGCTGTGTTGTTTAACTGTATATCTTATGTGCTTTTCATATAGAACAGGAATCTCTGCTTATTAAACTCTTGTGTGAAGAACCTGTGTTTTACATTATTGAGCATTTCACAACATACAGCAGTGAAGTAATCAATTTTTACCCTATCATAAAGAAAGAAGTAATGTCAGTTAATATCAGGTATATTCACTAAACGGGATTTGACTAGATCATTTAAAATTTTAGACCAAATTGGAATAATTACCCAGCTTAGTTATCTTCCTAGATCATCTACTGTCATAAAATTTTCCATTTATCAGATAATTTCTAACAATTTTTGATTCAGAGACTAGCCTTGTTAGTCTAGACTAGCCTTACGTACTGCTACTAGTAACAGGGCTCAGAATTTCCAATCACTCACTAGCCATTGATGAGTGAAAATTCATCCATGGCAAGCAGAAATTAACCCTGGATGAGTCTACCATTTACTATCTGGGCTTGAAGTAAAGAGTCACTTTTAGGCCTGCCTAGGAGCCCTGCTGTTGTCTTTGGGAAATCTCAAATTAAATAAATAAAACAACATACAACTATACTGGCAGTATTATTGAAAGAGCAATTGCAACTTGGTTCTGATGGGACTATTGAAAAAGGTTAATATTTCTGTAGAAAACAGGAATTGCAGAAGGAAATTGAAATGTTACATTTTGGAGACATAACAGCTGGATGCGTTTTCCTATTTTGATTTTATGTAAAGAAAATTGATACACTAGGGAATGTTTCCTGTATAGCTATGTCAACAGCCTAGCAAATGTGCATCATTGAAGACTTCAATAGAATGTACACTTCACCTATAAAAAATAATTTAAAATCTTATTAAACATTTTTTGTACAATTGACTGATTATTGTCAAAGCATAAGCCACACAATTTATCAAAGGACTAAAAACAGGGCCGGATTAAGAGCCCAGTGGGCCTGGTGCTGACAATTATGATATGCCTTATTACAGAATCATATTGACAAAAAACACTCAAACCATCATACCTCCCAAGTGTCCTGTATCTGGTGGAGGTGGTGCCAGAAAGAAACTCACAGGATGCATTTATAAGAATACACATACCCTGTGCTAATATATCGCTTTCATCTCCTAACAAAATCCATACCCCCAACATCGGCATTCGGATGTCAGTGGGCGAGATTAAAGGGGGTGGGCCAGTCACTGGCACTGCCTAAAGGGGTGGATCCGCTTGGAAAGGGGGCAGGTCTTTCTGAAGAATTAGAAGGTCAGCATGGTGTAAAGGCATGGTAGGCCGCCTGCCAAGTCCACAGGCCAACAAACTAATGTGAACTATGCAGACAACGCTGTTTCAGCACCCTGAGCTTGGTACAAATGCATCGAATGATGCGCTCGCTCTACACTTTCTGAGTACAGTTCTCTGGGGTCCCTCAGCACTCACTTGTCCACTCCTCCCCTTCTTACTAGCAGGCAGAAGCTCCTGGTATGCAGTCAGAGAAAATGGATGTAGTGAGTGTTGAATTAAGGGGACATGCCACACTGTTAGAGAGACCGAAGTAGCAAGATCATTTGCAAAAGGTGCAAAGTCAGCTTTACCTTAAGTAATTTATAGTTAACCAGTCAACACAAGTTTTGTTCCTCTACATCCTCCTAAGTTCACATACTTAATTTCCTCTATACAAAGCAAGATAGCCAGGTAATTTGAAAAGCAGTTAAAGTTGTTTTTTTTTTTTTAATCAATGGACTTATTCCGTGGGCATGGGCCTGGAGCTACAGTCCTATCCTGACTAAAAGTATTACAATTAGGTGAATACATATTTTTCATCTTAAATAAAACATAGAAATTATTTTAACCACAACCCTTTTTGAATTCTTTATTTACGAATTCATTTTGCAAATAACAATGTAACAATAAATTAATATGAGCGGAAAAAAAATACTTGGTACTTTTAAAGTACATAAAGTACACACGTTTAACCACATCCCTTTAAGAGAAAATCCATTTAAAGGATCACTACAGGGTCAGGAACATAAACATGTATTCCTGACCCACCATCTAGCCCCCCTGGGCCCCTCATGCCTCCATAAATATAGTAAAAATCTTACTTGTATTCAAGTAGAAGCTGTAACTCTGCATGCTGTTTGCCTCAGAAAAACAAGCAGTCTGCTGACATCGTAAGAAGTGGTGGCCTGATCCAATCACAGTGCTTCCCCATAGGATTGGCTGAGACTGACAAAGAGGCAGATCAGGGGCAGAGCCAGCATGATTCAAACACAGCCCTGGCCAATCAGCATCTCCTCATAGAGATGAATTGAATCAATGAATCTCTATGAGGAAAGTTCGGTGTCAGCATGCAGAGGGAGGAGATACTGAATGGATGCATTTTAGGCAGCCATAACCCAGGAAGGATCTCTAACAGCTATCTCAGGAGTGGCCAGTGAAGTTATCACTAGGCTGTAATGTAAACACTGCTTTTTCTCTGAAAAGACCGTGTTTACAGCAAAAAGCCTGAGGGTAATGATTCTACTCACCAGAACAAATTCAATAAACTGTAGTTGTTCTGGTGACCATAGTGTTCCTTTAAGAAGTGAATGTTTGGGAGGAGCAATTTAATTCAACTTCAACAAAAGTTGGGCTAAGGTATTTTAAATTGACCTTTACAGTCTTCTTGATGCTGGTTGTCTGTAAAGTATGGGTCCATATTGGTTGACATAGCAGAATTACCTAGAACCACTTTTTAATTAATATCAAAGACATTGCAGGAAGTTCTTACTGTTTGGGTTATTTCTGCACTGGGGTCAGGTAAAAGTAGCATTTGGAATGCCTGTTTTCTAAACAGCTGTTTAAAGAGAAATGTAGAGAGACAGCAAAACACCTGTTCTAGAAATGGTAAGTTTTGCAGTCGAAGCCTGAGATTTGTATCAAACTAATATAAGCAAATGAGGCAGTGCATCCTGGGAGGATTTCAACACTGGACTTCTTTGACACAGTTTCTCCATCTGTGATAAGTGTACCACATGGGGTTCTATTCAATTGATAAGGAAGTAATTCAGCACCAGTGGAATTTTAAATTAATTACATTTGATAGGAAATGTTGAAACACAGGCTACTTAATGAATAAAAGCTTGATGTTATGAGTACTTGGCCTGACAAATCTCTTACTAGTATTACTAGTTTAGAACAGGCTGGAAATCCGTGTTCTACAACTTCCAACAGTGCAGATTGTCAGAATCTACTTAATGAGCACAGGTAGATCTGTCATATTTAGACATTGACTGATCTGCCTGTAAGATAAAGCATTGCAACTCGGGTACTGGAAGTGCTCCATGCCAGTTCAGACACCAACTAAGTCACAACGATTCATGACAAAGATTGATTTTGAGTCAGAACTGTCAAACTGCATTCCGACAGAGCCAAAACAAGCTTTAAGAACACTACTGTTAACTGCCATGAAGGACTCTTGGTTTTGACTTTGATTGGGAAAATTCTGTTATATTCTGTTAATCTCTTCATTTCCATTTTTTTTTTTTGCAAAAAAAGAAAATGACCACCAGTATATATATATTCATGTTGGTAGTGCATTTTCAGGGCAATAAATTCATTAAAATATAAATGTGTATAACATAACAGTATAATAAAGGTAAACATGATAAAATAAAGTTTTTGTATAAGTAGCAGTTTGACATATATCATTCTATTGTAATATATACTACAGAGGTGTCACAAATTCACCCCCTTTCTATATTGGCGAGAACTGACACATTGTCCTCTCCCAATTACCCAACATGCACAGAGCTGCAAAACACTGAACACAGAAAGATCGTCGCTGAATATTACTGGATCTCCAGCAGTTGTTCGAGAGTTGAACACAGAAAGAGTACCAATTTGCATTTACTGCAATGCTGGAGATCCCACTGGCAGAAACACACCACAGTGAGTAATTCAGCAGCCACTTAAGCCCAGAAAACAGAGTTTCTCTGAATCCAGTACTCAGGCAGAAGATCATATTCACAGCACGGCACCTCAGCTCAGGTACAGGAACAGCATATGTTGTTTACAAATGTGCCAATCATATGTACAAATGCACCTGCCATGTAAAAATTGAAAGATTTCAGTTTCTACTGAATTCGGTTTAATATAGATGTTGTGCTAGACACATTGCTACAAAATATTTTGTTTTAATGCCACATATCTTTTTTAAGATTCTATGGCTAAGTTTAAAACTACAAATAATGTTGCTAGAAGTATGTTTACTGATAGCACTTACTGTGGAAGTCTTCTTAAAGAAAGTAGAATCAATCATTAGGTAAAACATTAAACCTCACAAAATGTTTTTGACAGAAGAATATAGTCGTCATAGTTTGGGACTGAACATCAGTATCAGCTCCTTGAGAAAAATATAAAATTAGTACAAAGAGGCATGAATTGTTCATGTGTGTGTATGAGGCTGTTGACCATAGCCTATGTCAGCCGGCCTCACTCTTCCACAGGCCAAATACACTAGCCATATATATTCCATAACTATAATTATAAGCCACATGACTTAACAGAATAATCCAAGAACTACTTGCCCTATGCTGCACTAACTGCAAGAGAAGTAAAAATGATATTTATCACAAATGCTTCACTTCCAATATTGCCTATTCTCTAAAGACAATGGATCAGCAATGGTAGAGAGCACTGAAAGTCTCAGGAGAGCATTCTCACCCAACAGAAGGAGGTACAAGCACTCATCAATAATAGAAGACTAACATCTTGCAGTCTAGAGCCATATATATTGGGTAGTCCAGACCAAAGTCTAATTCTAACAACAGGATATATTCCAAATATCTCAACAGATGTTCTCGCTAGGCCATTCCACTATCATAGAAATATTTTTTTCAAGATAAGTTAAAAAGAAAGTAGGTGTCTGTTGATTAGCTCTCCAAGGAGAAAAGGTATATAATGCTGTACCAACATTAAAATCACAGAAAACTATTTATTTTTTTATTTTTTTTTAAAGCTATCCGTTTATATAACCTTATAATGCTTACCCTGCTTCTTTTGCTCCTGAATCCCATTTTTAGCATGTAGAAACAAGAGGAACTGATGTGGCAAGGGCACACCCATCCAAAATTCTGTAATATTTAGGAAATTAGCTGGCAAATTCTTATGTATAGTTAATTGAAGATCTTTTCATTTTGATCTTAAGTTGCCAAAGCCTATTGCCAGCTCGCAAACAATGTTTAATGAATAGGCCACTTTGTTACTTGTTAATGGATCAGTACTAGCCAGTTATGAAAGAGAATGGGCCAATTTCCTTGCATTTTATTTGTGCAAACATTTCAAAGCTGACCGAATGAACAGTTTGTAACTCAATGCTATCTGGAATGTTTTAAGTTTTCCATATTTTGCTTGGAATATGGATCTGTAATAATAACAATACTGACTTAGGTTACATAGGGACAGCAAGGGAGCAAAAAAACTAAACTATCATCAGAAGTATATTTTCCCCTCCACTAGAGTGTCAAGAGATTAGAATTGAAGAATAAGGTACAGCGAAAACTATACTATTAACGCGTTAAGGACACATGATGGAAATATTCTGTCATGATTCACTTTTATTTCTGAAGTTGTGTCCTTAAGGGGTTAAAGGAACACTATAGGCTCAGGAACACAAACATGCATTCCTGACCTTGTAGTGGTAAAAAAACATTTAGTGCCCTGGCTCCCCCTTAAAAAAGTTGTAAAACTCACCTTTATTCCTGCTTCATACCTGATCAGCCTCCTTGTCTAACATTATCATAATTGATGATCTCAGCCAATCCAAAGCATTGGATTGGATGAGATCATCAACTCTGATTATCTCAGCCAAGGACTTGGGGCGGGGGTGGATCTAAATGCCACACTGACCAATCAGCATCTCAACTTTGAGATAAATCAATGCATCTCACTGGGGAAAGTTCAGCATCTCCATGCAGAGGGACCCAGGAAGCACTTGAAGTGGCCGTCTTAATGACTGATACTGGAGGTGTCCCTACAGTGCAATGTAAACACTTACTTTTCTGTACAGTGATATCTAACATTTAGACTTCCTTTATTGCACAGTCTGTTTAATTTAGAATATCTTATCTTCTGCACTGTTAATAGCCATGACTTTGCAGGAGCCTCTTGTATGTGACTGAAGTTCAATTTACAGTGCAGGAGATAAAATTTGTAAAGTAAGTAAACATCTGATTTTATTTCTTGCAGGGTAGGTGTGGCTAGGTTTGCATGAACAGAAAAAAGGTGATATAACTTTTCAATGGCAGAGAATTGAGCAGTGTGACTACATTAAGAAAATGTTATTTTGGTGCCTACAGTGTCCCTTTAACTTTAATTTTTAGGTATCGTTGAATAGCAAATTATAAATTGCATCTTGCCATAAAATTATATCCTAGCTATGTATACTGATATATTAAAAAACAGGCTGTGATGGATATATTTTAATTTTCTGCAAAAAATCAGTAGAGAAAGGATTGATAGACTTTGATAATAGCTGTAGTTGGCAAGCATGTCAACCACACTGACTGTTTAGTACAACTTCAAATGATTCTAAAAAGAGACAAAAAAGATAAAAAAAAAAAAAAACAAGAGTGAAACTACAATACCATTAGCCTCAACTAGCACAATGTAAAATCCAATATGTCTTGGAATAAATCTCCAGAGGATCAAACCAGTTGTGACTTCGACATCATGAACGGATGGGAATACAGATTACCTCGAAAGCTGCCAAAACCAATAGCAACATTAAAGGGTTACTCTAAGCACCCTTCACAGAATTAAAGTGTTCATGGTGCCTGGAGTCTGTATGTGCACTGTTTCTCTATGAAATATTGCACATGCAGAGTTTAAACCCTTTTCTGCTGAAGGTGTACCAGTGGCATCATTGTTGTGTCATTAGCCGGCCTGGAACAAGCCTGTCCTTCTCCCTACATCCCTTACTGCTCCAACGTGGTGGAATGATATAATCAGAAGAGGATAAGGCTAACGGAGAACGTAGCATTGACTCTGGAGAGGAAGGTGCGGTTATCTATATTTCTTTTTTTTAGGGTGGGTACAAGGAAGGGTTACTCTAATCAAAAACAGTGTTTTCCTAAAACACTTTTTTGTTTCGAGTAGCTCTTTAAGGAAAAACACATAAATTAAGGTACTCAGAGATACAAAAAAGTATAGCAATAATCCATATGAGAAAAACATTCAACACTCCCCAGTATTCCAAGGTTTTAAGTATTTTAGCTACCAATCAGTGACAGAACATCTTACAGTTTGAATATAAACAATACAAACTTTGTTTGAGAATGAGATGGTGGTTCTCAGCTTCTATGGTGTAGGGAAACAAGGCTTAATCTTCACCTTTACATACCATTCCAGAGGTGGGTGGCAGCCTTTTCATGGCTAAGCCCAATTTTGTTTGAGTTGCATCGGAATAGATGGGGGGCTTTTGGAGAAGACTATATCTCCCTTGATGTTGCTTTTATTTTACCTTTTTCGGTCTTGCCTCCTAACCTCCCCCCTGCTCCACAAGGCCTTCCATTGACCTTCTCTGTCCACCTTAGCTTGGTTTAGCCCATCCTCAATGCTCATTTCTTCTCTTTTACTAATTGTGATGAGTCAACAACATTTTGCTAGATTATTTTGTTATGCCCATATAATGTTCGTTTACTTGCACGTTTCAATATTAAGTGACGATATTTGATTACTTATTGCTTAAACACACCTTACACTCTGTTTTTTCCACCAATTTGCATAATGGATGTGACTCATATCCTGTTGGATGTGTCATTCTTCAACCTCTTTTTGTTAATTTATTTTCTGTATTAAATTATGTTTAAATGAAGGTTGCCAAAAACAATGGGCAGCTCTGTACAATGTTACCTCTGCATAAAATAAAATATTATTAGTTCTTGGCAAATCTAAGCTTTGTACAGTTTGCAGGATCTGGATTACTGCATTCCCTCTTGTAGAAGAACAAGTAATAATGACTTAGTACATAATCCTCTTAATTTTTTAATTTTTATTGTATTTATATGGCTTATTTATAGATAATTTCCTATAGTTTTTAAGTTCTGATCTTTTGTAATTTTCCTATTTATTAATAGAAATCTGCTTTTATTTCTAACTTTTTGTAATGAAAACAAAATTAAGTTTACCTTTAACTCAACTGCAGTTAAAGAATTCAAATACATGCATAGGTCATAATTCTAAGTAAGGTTAAGCATTTTTCTATAAACAATACAAATATATATTCTAGGACAGCAATGTTTATATAGTGTACAATTTCAATGCTGAGTTTATGTAAATATGATTTAATAAGTAATTTGTTTTGGAGGGGGGGTGGGATAATTGATTACGAGCATTCTACATATTGGCTAGGTATTATTAAACTTATACAATGAATACAAGATAATGTGTGCCCATCAGAATTATACAGTTAAAACATAATTCATGCACTTTAGTCACTGTGTTAGGTTTTACGACAAGAATCATGCTACAGTGTTTAAGCTTACAATTAGTTTGTGAAGTTCTGGGAAGGGAATAGAAATTAATATTTAATTTTTGGTTAGATGTTTCCATCCATGTAAGTCTCGCAGTCAGTGTAACAGTAAATAAACTCACTTACTTAACATTGACCTTGGTCGTCCTTTTTTTAAGCTAGCTATATTCACAGAGTTCAGAACACTCAAAACAGATCTCCAGGCACTCAGCTGTCTCACAGCAAGAATCAAAAAGGGCAAAGTCACAATCAAAGTGGAAGTTGAGGTCCTCAGCAGGAGTTTCCTCAAGGCCCACACAGACACAGGAGCAGTAGCCACAGCAGGTGTTACAGGCCTCATGCAGGCAGGGGGAGCAAACCTGATGTGGGCCAAGGATGAACTCAGTGCACTGACAGAAGAGACAGGCCAGAATCAAAGAAGCACAGCAGTCTAATACAAACAAGAAAGAAGGTGAACTAAAATGATGATACAGAGATATAAAGAAAAAAGCAAAGTAAGAATAAAACATAATATAGCATACAGCTTTCCGCCATAAGCAGTATATATTTATGTATCTCTACCCATCTAATTATGTGTCTATTTATCTATCTATCTACGTGCTGGTAATCTGGTAATATAGATTTTATATATATATATATATATTTTTTTTTTTATTATTATTATTATTTTTAAATAGGAATAATAAAACTGCAGTAAATAGCAGTAATACCTACACACATAGTAAAAGTAGAAACTAATAACTATATAATTATTTTAAATGCTTCTATAAAGTAATTTATACAGGATACATTTAAAAAACCATTAGCCAACTTATTCAATTTTACAGATGCAGCTTTTATATCTATTAATATGTAAGATGAGTAAAGAAAAACAAAACTTCCAGTCATAAAGCATAACGTGTTAATACAAAATGCGTTGCGTATGTACAGGAAGTTGGGGTAAATGTCTTCTTTTCAGCCTTCCTGGTGGAAAGTGACACTAAACAGAGTATTAGGCTCTGTTAAGTTAAAGGAAAATATGTATGGATGCATGACTTTCTCACTGGAACTCTAGGCTTGATGACGTGAGACTTGAAACAAGACAATCATATTGTAAAGATCATAAGGTTTACTATGAATGGAAATGTTTGATTAGTGAAGGGAGTAAGCTACTGATTCCTATTTATTCTAAATACATTTGATCTCATGACTGTGCATTGTCCTCCAACGTGGGACTGATACCACCATTAAGCTCCTTCCTGTGTAGTGACATATTGTTTCTAAAAGCCGATTCCCCATTACTATAACTCTGTCTGTCACTAGGAAATAGTCTCCACAATCTCTGCACTAATCTTTACCTTTGGTATCCGGCTGTATCTTTCTCACAACATAAGCCACATATAACATTGAAACCTTTTTTAACAGCTATTCTAACATGCAACTATCTCAGCTACAATCTTATTTTCCTCAACCATAATTTCTCTCTTTTATTTGTTTCACCCTGCACATCCCAGACAGAAGAAAAAGTTAATGACTAAATTATGAATTGCAAAAACCCTTTGAGGCTCTCCACCTCTCTAGCCATATTCTCTCTCTCACTTATAAGAATCATCCACAAATCCCCAATATCTTCACAAACAAAATTAAATATTTTATTTCATACATCACCCAGCCAGCCTCAATATCAATTACCATGATATCTGCAATGTAATAAACACTTTCTCTTGCCTCCCCCTAGACCTTTTTCTTCTATATCCCTTATCTGAATCTCCGGTTTCATCAAACGTGTGGACAGGGTTCCTAAAATCTGTATCCAATGTGTTTCCATTTGTCAAATTCCATTTACAAATTGGCTATAAGTCACTTACAAGGCCCAAAAGGCAAAAGCAATCATTTTGGTGTTCATATCTTTTATTCAAAGGGGAAAATACACCAGATATTTTAACATTTTCACTGGAGTCAATCAGATACGATATACATATAGCACAGGTTAAGCATGTAATGGCACAAGGGACAAAACATTTGATTGAAACATTTGTGGGTGTAACTGAAAGGAAAGCCAACACAGTATGTGTTTATTCTCAATGTCCTGTTTTAACTTATTTCTATAAGACTAGAGAGGAGTACAGGTGACAACAGTGGCGTACACACAACCCATGGGGCCAGGGTGCGAAAACGTATCCGTGGGCCCCCCCACCCCCGCGCTTACTCTGTGCAGGCTGGGGCCGCAACACCTGTCAGCGGGCACCTGGTCGCAGGGGTTGCAAGGCTGCGACCCCTGCAACCGTGGTATGTACGCCAGTGCAGATACACGTACACTTAAAGGAACATTACAGACACCCAGATCACATCAGCTCTATGAAGTGGTCTTAGTACCAGGTCCCTCTAGTTTTAACCCTGCAGCTGAAAACATAGCAGTTTCAGGGTTAATCCAGCCTCTAGTGGCTGTCTCATTGACAGCCGCTAGAGGAGCTTCCGCGATTCTCACTGTGAAAATCACAGTGAGAAGACGATGAACGTCCATAGGAAAGCATTGAGTAATGCTTTCCTATGGGCGGTTTGAATGCGAGCACATTCGGAGCTGAGAGGCGGATTGGGCAGAGGGATCCTAAGCGCCAAGGAGTCCGGCGCAGGAGAAAGGTAAGTGCTGAAGACACACACACACTCTCACGAACAGACGCGTACACACTAGCTAATTAACCCCTTAAGGACACATGACGGAATATTTCCTTTTATTCCAGAAGTTGTGTCCTTAAGGGGTTAATAATTAAATAAGGTAGGTACACTCAATATGAAATATACGCAAGCTCCCAAGTGGAGCTCTATGAAGATACGATATGGGGTGCTCACTCACATAAGGCTTTATCCCCAAAAGCCCAAATACATGTAAATAACAATAGAGTAAGGAGCACAACCATCAATAATAATAAAACAATCTTTATTAAGTGGGTACACTCTATAAGAATATCACATAACATAAGGATCCAAAATATAGGATCATATCACGCTATAAAGCAATGCTCAGACTAGCTAACAGGCACACACACACACACACACACACACACTCTCATGAACAGACGCATACACACTAGCTAACACACACATTTACAGACAGACACACACTCAGTGACAGACATACATACACACTCACTTACAAAACACACACTCACTAACAGACACCAAACAGACTAACACACACACACTAACACACACACACACACTAACACACACTCTAACACTAACACACACACACTCACTAACACACACACACTAACACACTCGAACACACACTCGAACACTAACACACACAGACACACACACACACGTTAGTTTAAAAATTTAATCCCCCAGCCTCCCTACCTTTGGGAGAGCTGAGGGGATTCCCTGGGGTCCAGTAGTGTTGCTGGGCGGCCGGTCACCGGGCGGGCAGGTTGGTGGGCGCGCGAGAGAGAGGCCCCCCGGTATGTATGCCACTGGGTAGCAATGTACTGATAAACGATAAAACAATTATCTGAATCGCTTGTGCCTTGCTTTTTAGTATTGGACTGCCCTTGTTGGAGAGATCAGTCAGAGATGTTACCTTTTGTGTCACTTTATCCCACTCCCTCTAGCATGTAAGCTCATTGAGCAGGGCCCTCAACCCCTCCTTCCTGTGAGTCCAACTTGACTGGTTATAACTACATGTTTGTTCGTCCACCCACTGTAAAGCGCAGTGGAATTTGTTGGCGCTATATAAATAATAACATAACATATGTGAATAATAAAGCATCCATTGGTAATTGCATACATTAGCTAACACTTGTTTGAGATATGAGCAGGGAAGTAACTTAAGGGAAGGCTATATGAGTTTTTGCCAATTCACGGCATTCTCTTATTTCTCTTTGGATGATATTAATTTGCTATTATCAGATGACTGCCTACAAAAGCTTGAAACCTATGAGGAATTGATTAAACAGGGATTAGCAAAAGTAGCCACAGTTAAATGAGTATTAAGATAATTTTTGTCACATTTGTCAACAATACCTTAACTAGTTATGGAACTATGCCAGTGATGAACAAAGGACTTAGAAATCGAGAAAGCTTATAAAAAGCGATTTTCATTTTTGAAGCCAGTGTGGATTCAGAACACATTCATGTGTAGCAAGATAGAAAAGGATGAAAGTTTTTGGACATCATAAATTTTCATAATAGCATATGGAGGTTTTACTTAGATACTTTTTCATGGATAATAGAATCTTCATTCGCTGTGCCCACTGTTCTCTGCCAAACAAATCAACTATGCTCTCAGATATCTACTTTGCTATTTAACCCTTAGTGTTGGCAATCTAATCCACTGGTTTCCATTAGCATAGTTAAAATGACAGCATGTTTTATTATGTAATGTGTTGACACATGACCTCATCACACTCTAAATCAGCTACTAGACCTTTATTTCCTGGGTGTAAGACTAAGGCACTAAAATAGAGGGAATATCACATACGCATGTTTTATAAGTATTCTACATCTTGTTACACAAACAGATAATTGTATATTAGTGTCTTACTAAAAGTTTTAACACATTGTTTTTATTTTCCCATTTCTCGCTCACTGGTCTAGCAATCGATTATTATGCTCTCTAAGTGCTATCCTTTGAGGATTAGAGAGATTTGTTGGTCTTTTTTAAAGGGAACATTTGTAATGACCTTTAACATGAATGTGTGCATGGCTGTGTCAGGATGTACAGGTGACATGTTGCAGGAATAGATGCTGACGTACCAAAACTTTACATCTCTCTGTTCAAATGAAAAGGTAGGTAATATATGAAGTGAAGTTGAGTTGAGGACTTTTGAGGATAGGATTAATCTGCTATAAACAGAGAGCGATGCCACTGAATATAGTATACATTCTGAGAGCACGAGTGAATGCTAAGGACAACAAAAGATTTTGAGGCGGGGGGAGGGAGGGATTTGGGGGGTTAATGCAGCAGGTTGGTAATGCCATGAGGTCAAAAATCTGAGAAATATAGGTGCATGTGATGGCAGGGACGTACTGTGGGGGTGGCGAAATTGGCACCTGCCGTTGGCACAGGCCGAGGGGTGGGGGAGCAAAAATCACTTGTCAAAATGACAAGTGATTTTTGCACCCCCTTCGACCTGTGCTCCTGGTTCCCCAAGGCAGCGTGCGGCTCCATAAGGGAACTGCATGCACTGTACATTAGGAGGGGGAGCACCTCCCCCTCCGGCTCTGCGTAGGAGCACCAGGTGTCACTTGACTACCTGGCTCTCAGTGTGACTCACCACCAGAGATTGACAGGCCCCCCCTCTCCTGCTATGTCAGCTATAACAGCAGGGAGGGGGGGCAACAGAAGGGGGCAGGGCAGAGCAGAGCCGGCATTACCATCATGTCAGTCGCCGGCTCTGAAAAAAAGCAGTTGGAATGAAGAAAGGGTTAGAGGAGGGATTTAAATTTGAAGAGGTGGGGGCATGTAAGAGCTAGAGGAGAAGTAATATGAATGGAAAGGGTGGAGGGAGTAATTTGAATGGAATGGTTAAGGGGAGAGTAATATGAATGGAAAGGGTAGGAGGGAGTAATATGAATGGAAGAGGAAGGGGGTAGTAATATGAATGGAAGGGGTGGGAGGGAGTGAGTAATATGAATGGAATGGTTAGGGGGAGGAGTAATATGAATGGAAGGGTAGGGGGTAGTAATATGAATGGAAGGGTGGGAGGGAGTAATATGAATAGTATGGTTAGGGGGAGGAGTAATATGAATGGAAGGGTTGGGAGAGTAACATGAATGGAAGGGGTGGGAGGGAGTAATATGAATGGAATGGTTAGGGGGAGGAGTAATATGAATGGAAGGGTGGGGGAGTAATATGAATGGAAGGGGTAGGGGGAGTACTATGAATGGAAGGGGTGAAGGGGACTAATATGAATAGAAAGGGTGGGTGGGAGTAAAATGAATGGAAGGGTTCGGGGGAGTAATATGAATAGAAAGGGTGGGGTGGGGTACTAGGAATGGAAGGGATAGGGGGAGTACTATGAATGGAAGGGGTGGGGGGTACTATGAATGGATGGGGTGGGGGTACTATGAATAGAAGGGGTAGGGGGGACTAATATGAATGGGTGGGGTGGATGGGACTAATATAAATAGAAATGGTGTGGGGGATTAAAATGAATGGAAAGGGTGGGGGGAGTACTATGAATGAAAGAGGTAGGGGGGGAGAGAGCTATGAATTGAATGGGTAGGAGGGAGAACTATCAATGGAAGGGGTAGGGGGAGAGATATGAATTGAATGGGTAGGGGGGAGAATTATGAATGGAAGGGGTAGGGCAAAACTATGAATAGAAGGCTTAGGGGGGAACTATGAATGGAAGGGGTAGCGGGGACTATGAGTGGCAGGGGTAGGGGGGATGCTATGAATGGAAAGTAATTTGAATGGAAGGGATAGGTAAATTATATACCCCACTGGACCACCAGGAATTAAGAAACCCATGGACAACCTAAGATTTAGAATTTCTGCTGGATAACCAGGGATCCTAGCTTCCCCCTGCAAAAAAGGTAAGCAGGAGGGGAGCACAAAAAACATTTTACATTTATTTCAGAAATGCAAAATGAAATGGTGAGGGTGGAGTTGCAACATACAAACAAAGCCACCTCACCAATATCTCACACAGACCACACATCCATCACAAACATACATATTACACTCAGGAATCACACACAAAACATTCAACCATTACACACCCACATGCATATAACACTCAGGAATTACACACAGCACACTTGGCCACCACATACATATAATATGAGAACGAGTTGTCCTGGCAGCCCGATCCTCCTCCTCTGACATCATTCCCTCTCGCTGCAAGGGGATAGATGTCAGGAAGGAAGAGTTGAGGGAAGAACATAAACAAATAACATATTAAATAACAGACAGGAAAAAGTAACATAAAGCACAGTTTTGTAACATTTTGCCAATGCAAAAAAACCCCACATATGTTTAATTCACAAAAATATAACTTCTGAAAAATGTGCTCTTGTAAAGTATCTGCATAGAGTAATTAATATGGAATTAATCAGCTTACCTTCGGGTGAAGAGGTTGGTTTCTGAGGATAGGCTGAACTCATTTTGCTGTGTTTGCTGCCATCGCTGTTCACAGATAAACTGGACTGAATTTTCCTGTGCATTTTTTGAGAAACAGGAGCGGATAACTTTCTGTGATCTGCAACAGCATGTTTGACCCCATTGTGAATTCCATTGCTGCTAGTCAGACCTACATGACCATTTTGTATCCTGCCAGTTTCTTCCTTGCTCTGTGTCAGTGCTGAAGTTTCTGGCTGAGGCAAGCGCCGGGGTTGGGCTTAAAGATAAAGAGAAGAGAAGAAAAAGATTAAACACGATCCTATAAAACCACAGCCAGAGGATATAGGCCAAAAGATATTTTAGAAAGAAAACAGAATAGACATTTTACAAGTGCAACATCCTTCATGTCTCGACTTGGATGTCTGCCTTTTTTTTTTTTAATACTTAGATGTCATTATTGCACTTAAAGAAAAAGGCATGGTATAATTCAATATAAAAAAATAAAACCATTCAAAAAATGCATTTAATACTAAATTTGTACAGATTACTATTAATTCACACTGCAGAAAAATAACAAGGAAAAAAAATACCTTGTAAAATATCAACATATCCAACATGGGATATTTACTAAACTAAAAATTGAGGAGAAGGGTATTGCACATTTTCCAATTAATATACTTTGCACAAAAATCTGCAAATTTTTTATAATCCCCTCGATTTTGTGTAATAATGTAGAATAAGCATTCCAAATGATTTCACATTATGAAAAATATTTAAATTATTTAATATTTTGATACTTTTTATATTAATACATTTTCTTTTATATTTGATGTATTTTTTATATTTCAATATGTTGAAAATTTAAAAAAAAAAAAAAGTTTATCCTAAATATATGAAATCATTTGGAAAGCTTATCCAACAACATTAAATCAACTTTTGTACATTGGAAAAAAATGTAGGCCAAAAAAATAGTCTATGTTCACACCTACTTTGGCCTAACATTTGCAAATTTGGTTTTAATTCTCCACAGATCATTGTAGTGAATTAACAGATGGCTCGATAGTTATTTTCTCAATTTCTTCAAAAGACTCCAGTGTAACTATGAGCACTCAACTGAAAAAAAAAAAAAGTTTTCCTTTTGCAAGTGCAAAGCAGAAAAAAAAATCAACATTTTGCTTCCAAAACCTAAAAAAAGGTTTTAATTGTGGGAAATTTCGAAGCTGTGTTTTCTCTGGCATCATGTGAACGTTAATGCTAAACTAGCACGGTTCAATCAACACAGTGAAAATCAACAGATCATCTAACACCACAGGTGATACAATGAAAACTAACAGAACTAGCGCTGTTCAGGACTGATTTTGTTTTTAAAGGGAAATATAGTTACGTAAGTATCAGGTGGTCGTTGCTTTAACTGTACTGGGAAATCTTTGGAAATAGACTGGTCTAAACAACATACTACGTGGAAGGTTGAAATATCACAGCTCCCAGCACTGGGAGGTAAACGAGAGTGCATTTGGTCAGTAGAGGACATACAAGACACACTGTGTGATCCAGGTACCCAATGTGCAGAGCCGTGTTGACGTGATGCTGGGTTCAGTTTGCACAGTACATGCAAGTCTAGTGATGTGCTCATGCTGCACTTACAAAGAACATTTCCCTGTTGTCCCCATAAGTGAACATCAAAGATCTAACTTGTGGCTGGAGGACAGAAACCCCAAATCATGTCTCTTCTATCATATCTGGGACTGTTGGGAGACATATAATTTCAGTGGTATGAGCAGGTGCTAAGCCTTGGGGATGTCTTGTCATGTTAGAACATAGATAAAGGAATCTATTCACTAAACATCAACTAGTGGTATCAATCAATCTATGTATATCTATCTATCCATCTACCCATCTATCCATCTTTCAGATAAGTGGTTTTCTGGCAAGTCACAGAATATGCACCATAAGTGAGACCACAATATCTTCTGCTCACTGTTCAAACAAAAAAAGTTGAGTAAACAATTTCCTACAGCTCATGGCTAATGGAAAAAATATTGAATACATTAAATAGAGTATGTCCATAATTCTAATACAGCATACCATAAATCGGAAATGGATGATAAACAAAAACTCTAACATTATAAGAGACAGGATTACACAGCAAAATACTTTATAGCTACAGTTCTTTTATGTATATTTTAACATGTGTGATCCTTGCTTATTTTTTGCTAAGACATGGGAAATAAGCAAGACCATAGAGTTCTATACAACATACTCATTCCTATTTACAGTAGTGATATATTTATTTCCTGATGTTTGTAAAGTCCAAACAAAGGATAATGTTTTAAGATATCAGTACAACCATTACCATTAACCCCTTAAGGACTGAGCCAAATGTACACATTTTCATCAAAATAAAACAGAAACAGCGATGTCTCACATGTAAAACAGTACCCCCCTATGTAAAGGTTTTATGCTGTTTTGGGAAGTTACAGGGTCAAATATAGCATGTTAGATTGTTCAGTTTTTTCACATTGAAATTTGCCAGATGGGTCACGTTGCCTTTGAGACCATATGGTAGCCCAGGAATGAGAATTACCCCCATGATGGCATACCATTTGCAATTGTAGACAACCCAAGGTATTGCAAATGGGGTATATCCAGTCTTTTTTAGTAGCCACTTAGTCACAAACAGTGGCCAAAGTTAGCGTTAATATTTGTTTGTGTGTGAAAAATGCAAAAAACTAATTTGAATGATAATTTTGGCCAGTGTTTGTGACTAAGTGGCTACTAAAAAAAGACTGGTCATACCCCATTTGCAAAACCTTGGGTTATCTACTTTTGCAAATGGTATACCATCATGGGGGTATACCATCATGGGAGTAATTCTCATTCCTGGGCAACCATATAGTCTCAAAGGCAAAGTAACTAATCTGGCAAATTTCAATGTGGAAAAAGCTGTAACGCAAGCCTTATATTTGACTCTGTAACTTTTGAAAACACCATAAAATCTGTACATGAGGGGTACTGTTATACTCAGAAGACTTTACTGAACACAAATATTAGTGTTTCAAAACAGTAAAATATATCACAAGAGTTATATAGTCAGTGTAAGTGCCGTTTGTGTGTGAAAAATGCAAAAAATATCACTTTCAATGATGATATTGTTGTAATACATTTTACTGTTTGGAAACACTAATATTTGTGTTTAGCGAAGTCTCCCAAATAAAACAGTACCCCCATGTATAAGTTTTATGGTGTCTTGAAAAGTTACAGGGTTAAATATAGTGCTAGCAAATTAAATTCTCTGGACTTTCTGCCTGGCTTATCAGGCAAGTCCCGCAAATTGTAATTAACCCCTTAAGGACAGAGCCAAATGTACACGTTGTGATCAAAACAAAAACGTAAATAAAAACTTGAATTTGCGCTATATGTCTGTTCAGGCGTAATTCACCTCTTTCATATTATGTGCACCCACAATTATTATATATCATTGTATTTAGGGGAAACATGGCTTTTATTTAACATCAACTATTTAGGTATGAAACAATTTAATATGAATAAAATATTAAAAATGGGAGAAAATACGAATTTTCTAATTTTATTTAGTTCTACGTGACATTTTAACTGTGAATGTCATAATACTGTTTGCTTTTACTGCAATAAAATACACATATCTGTATTCGGCAATGTCTCATGTGTAAAACAGTACCCCCCCATGTACTGGTTTTATTGTGTCTTGGAAAGTTACAGGGTTAAATATAGTGCTAGAAAATTAAATTCCCTGGACTTTCGCCCTGGGTTGTCAGGCAGGTCCCGCAAATTGTAATTAATAAAATGATCTAATTATGTAAAATTATTACATAAATATATACGTTGAATTATTATATATATACATGTGTGTGTGTATATTGTTATGGGCAAATGCAAACATTACAAGTTTTAGAATGAAATGTATTTCTTTAACTGTGTACTTTGTCCTTAAGAGATATTGCAAATTGACAAGGTGTTAGAAATGGAACATATTGTTAATCATAACTGTTTCTTTAAGCAATAACCTCAGTGCATATTATGTTTACGCCATTTTGTCCCAGACGAATAACAATAACAATAATGCATAAACAAGCTTTAAGGCTATACTACGACTCTTTCAGTACGTAATATACTGTGGTAACCTTAGTAGATAAGGATGTTCAGACTTTAAGATGCCATCTTGAACTAAGTCAGGAAAATTTCCATGACGTATGCACCCTTTAGTTATGGTCTTGTATTTTTGCCAAGTTAAGGGAGGTCCTAAAATGAATAAAGTAAAAGAAGTGTTACTTTTTCATATATGAACTACGGTAACCCTAAAATGGAGAAACCTAAGGTATAAATAGGTGTACTTTTAAATGTTAAGACACAGAGTAGAGACTTGGAGACAGATGCTGCTTCATCTTAAAATGACAGAGAGGCTGACATGATGACTTTTTCTGAAGGTGAACAATAATAATAATAAATATCAAAAAGACAAAATTTTATTGCTTCCAAGACAATCCTTATTTTACATTGTATTCTCAATTATTTATATATTTTAAATAGAGGATCTATTACACTAACTGTATGATCTGGGGAGTGCCGATAAGGAAATCACAAATCTTTTGCCCAAATAGCTAAACTGTAAAAATACTTGAATTGTTGAATGTTTCCAGTTTTACCTAAAATTTTTAATTAACTTTTTCCATTCTGCACAATTTTAGTCAGTTTAGTAAATACCATGGTAATAAATGGGCTAAATTGAGCTTCATTTAAACTCTTCTCTAGATAATTATTATACTCCCAAAGTCCATTTGTATTTCATGTTTATCTAATCTAATCTTTGTTGTTTACTTCCAAAGCAGCCTGTGGCTGTTTGGGAAGGATTAGTAGATTACTAGTAGGAAGGAGTATGGTTTGGCTCCAGATATCATTGCAGATGGCTGGAGAAATGTTTGAATAGTACAAAGTTAAAATTGGTTTCCAATGCTAAAAAAAAAGTCAATACAAGACTTATATTTTACATATGTATATATGTATTGGGCAAGATGAAGGGATGAAGGAAAGGAATTATTAATGAGTACTTTAAGCAGCGGGGGATGCTAATGCACCCATAAACTTGAATACTGTTTGGGTGAGAGGGTACAAATAGACACCAGTCTATACCATTCTATATAGATAGATTGATTAAAGGATCCCTATAGGTTCAGGAACACAAATATGTATTCCTGACCCTAGAGGGTTAAAACCACCATTTAGCCACCCAGGTCCCCTCATGCCTCCCTAAATATAATAATTCTTACTTTTATTAAAGTCTGCAGCTGCATGCTTTGTGCCTGTTTCCTTTAGACCTGCCCACTGTATGCTGACATGATCAGAAGTGGTAGCCTGATCCAATCACAATGCTTCCCCATAGGATTGGCTGAGACTGTCAAGGAGGCAGATCAGGGGCATGATTCAAACACAGCCCTGGCCAATCAGCATCTCCTCATAGAGTTGAATTTAATCAATGAATCTCTAGGAGGAAAGTTCAGTGTCTGCATGCAGAGGGAGGAGATACTGAATGTTTGGATGCATTTTAGGCAGCCATGATCCAGGAAGGATCTCTAACAGCCATCTGAGGAGTGGCCAGTGAAGTTATCACTAGACTGTAATGTAAACACTGCATTTTCTCTGAAGGGAATGATTCAACTCACCAGAACAAATTCAATAAGCTGTAGTTGTTCTGGTGACTATAGTGTCCCTTAATTCATGAATATCATCTGGAAGTAAGAGTTTATAAATAAGAGGAAGAAGACAAATATCCCCAATATATCTGATATGCTTTATATTTTTTTAGCTATTTTTTAAAAGTTGAGATAATGTACAAAATATACCTGATGTATGGACAATCTACGGTTTTGCTAAACTGTTAATACAGTTCCCTAAACAAGGTTTCAGATTCTTTTCTCGAGATGAGAATTCTGCTTGCTGTGATGGCTCCAGAGAATTGTGGATGCCATGTGTTGACTAAATGTATAACTGAAAAATATATGTTTGATCTCACAAATGCTTTGCAATGACAATGCCTCTCCAAGGGGATTGGATTCTATAAACATTTTCACCTGTTAAGCTGGACTCCTGAACACAATTTACCTTCTTTCTCACAAAATGGCACTTCGAGAGACTGCAGAAAATGACTTTGTTACAGCTTACCATATTGTGTTTATTATTATGTCTTCAGTAGTCTCAGAGGGGAAACATTTTGCAAGATAAAAAAGAAATCATATGACTGTGCCTTGGAAAATTATAATGATTCCATGTTAGTGTTTGTTCAAAAAGCATGAACAGCTTGAACAATGTATTTTAAGTTTTAAAAAAGTGTTTAATAATCCAGCAATATTCCTTCAAAACTAACATAAATGTTTAAAGCTAGAGATCTATGAAAAATCTTATTTTTCTTGATGCGTGAGATACAGTATGGTATATTATAGTGTACTGTAACACTGCATACATTTGTATTTTGTCTGTTTGTATTTTTTTATGTTGCTTTTGGGATTACGGTCTCCATTTAATAAGCTTTCCAAATAATACAATACGGTTAGAAAAATTTCTAAATGATTTATCTACATAAAAGACATTAGAAGTGACTTCTGTAGATAAATCATTTGGAGGGCTTTTGTACAGCCTCGATTTAAAGGGACATTATAGGCACCCAGACCACTTCATCTCGTTAAAGTGGTCTGGGTGCAGTGACCTTGTCCCCAAAGCCATGTAATGCAAAACATTGCAGTTTCAAAGTGTCTCTCAGGCAGTCATTAGAGGTGCTCCCTTCATTTACACACAGTTTAACTCTGAGAAATAACACTGGAGGTCCTCATCCAGTGTCTTCTAAATCCCCATATGAAAGTATTAAAGGAAAGCTTTCCTATGGGGAAGGTTTAATATGTCTGTGTTGCTCATGACGCATTAGGTTCCCCTGATCGACTGACATTATGTGAGAAGAAGTCCGACCCAGCAACGAGGGACCTTGGTACTGGAATCAGATAAGTTTTTAAAGGGTTATTTAATAATATCCTGGATGATGGTAGCGGGGGCACAAAAGCAGAGGGACATGTTAGTGTTAGGGATACATTTGTTTTGCCAACACTAAAGTGTTCCTTTAATATTGCTGAATAAGCTTTCCAAAGGATTTGATATTTGTGAACATTTAAAATGATATAATGTTATGAAAACTATTTTAATCATGTAATATATATATATATATATATATATATATATATATATATATATATATATATATATATATATATATATATATAAAAAAAAAAAACACTGTACCTTGCACTCAGGCTCCAATTCCCAAACCGGGTGCACTCCCAGGGCTCCAAGTATCCAACTGGTAATATCAAAGGTTGCACTCATGGATTCATTAAAAAATTTACTTTTATTGAACCTTCCTTAAAAAAAAAAAAAAAAATCGACGTTTCAGTCCTACTTGAGGACTTTCATCAGGATTATGAAAATCATCAGGATTCATCATAATCCTGATGAAAGTCCTCAAGTAGGACTGAAACGTCGATTTTTTAAGGAAGGTTCAATCAAAGTTAATTTTTTTAATGAATCCGTGAGTGCAACCTTTGATATTACCAGATATTTATCCTTTAGATGGCCCTTTTTGTTTACCTTTGAGATTTTAGTGAAAGTAAGGTATAGATGCCTTTCATACTGTTAGATTGCTGCACACCAAATTGATGCCAAAACCCTCAATGCTTGCATTAAAATGAATTCCTTTATAGATACCTTTCATGTGATAAAAAAAAAATAGCTTACAATTTCCATATCTGAAGAATAGCTAGAACATTCAATGTTCTAATTGATTGGTGTGAAAATTCCAATGGGGCATTGGGGAGGTCCTCTTTCGGGAAACTAACAAGCAGGGAAGCAATTCTCGAATGCTCCCCCTGGATGGCATTAGTCTATACAGAAGGGCGGCCACCCAGGGGGTACACACGCCAAGTCTTCCCTTGCGGTTTTGGCACTATGTCAGGGTGCAAACGTTCTAATTGTTCTAATCTTGCTTGTATTTTAAATGGGCCATTGGGGTGGTCCCCGTTCAGAAGGTGAATGGATTGCCTTCGTGGAAGCACTCCCGAACGGACATAGGACAACACACATAATAAAGAAGGGGGAAATGTACGAACGGCAGCGGTTCTACCACACATACTTTGGCAAAAATAACGACCAATCTGCAGATAGGTTAACCACACAAAAATCTCACAAACTACAGCTTTTGGGAAGTGGCATTTGCAGGTTCCGTCACTGCTTGAAACAATGAAAACAGACGTTGGACTTCACATGTAGATAAAAATGCCTTACAGTTAAAAATGTCTGGACAGTAAAAAAAAAAAAAATGGTACGTTTAGTTCTTGCTTTTTACAAAATGGCTAGAACAAATGGGGGGAGCACTGGATCAAAGCACAAACGTGTTTTGTGCCTGTCCAGCACTTCACCAGAGCCTTGTAAAAAGCAAGAACTACAGATACAATTTTTCCTTTTACTATCCATGTGGATTAAGGCTTCTTTTTTTCATATGGAATCCGGCTTTTATTCTCAGTACTTTCTCAAATACCAATTTCAGACAACTCAAATAAAAGGACCCACTGTAAGTTCCATAACTATTTAAAGCTTTTCCCAAATTCTGTCCTCAACTACTGCTGTTCAGATAAAGTGGCAGTATATGTCAATGAATGTAATAACAGACAATGAATATGTTGATGTGCACTCTGAATATTTATAATAAAATTATTTACCATAAGAATCAGACCTCTGCCTTTACGAACACAATATTTTATATACACACACACGCAATATATTTGTTAACATACATTTTTTATTCAATACATTAACCGCATCTTTTTTTTGCATATGCTTGTTTCTGTTATGCCATAGTTCCATCAAAAATATTTGTTGTATTTATGTTGTTGTATGCTTCTTTAAAAGAAAATGTGTAGATGGGCACATTAAACCGCTCATGTTTTTTGTTTCTACGGTATGTGACAGCTCTCAGAAGTAGGCCATTTGGCATTTTCCGAGGTGTATCTTGTGCAATTTCAGCTGTACTGCGAGAACAATGGTATCTTCAGTCTGAGCCATAAAAGACACAATGCAGTGTTGAAATGTATGACTTTGTTTTGAATTATTCATATTTTGCCTGTATATTCAAGAAATTTTACCAACTCTGCATTTCATACTACATAATCACACACACATTAAATGTACAAAGAAAATTTTTGACAAACCTTTTCTTTTAAAAAAAAAAAAGTGATTTTTTTTTCTGTTAACTTTCAACATTTGCTATATCATTCGTAAGAGACTATTTCCTTTTTACAAAAGATTCCATTTTACATCCTTTCACACAAGCAAAAACTGCATTCTTACCATTCAGCAACCGATGCAATACATGTCTGAATGTAAGAGAACAGTAGTGTAAAAAGCAAAAAAACTGGCTATACACTCTATTACGAAGAATTCACAATCTTCTGCTTCTTTTGAGAAAGGATTCCTATTTGACATTCAATAAAGAGTTTGAAATGTTTTATTGAAAAAGAAAAATCTTTAAAGGAAAACGCAGAATACCCAGCCGATTTCAATATTTTACATTTCACTGACTTTCCATTTGGGATTACGCACATAGATTTAATTTAAAATAATCACTGCATTCCTTTTATTGTTGCGTGGAAGGAATCGTCTTTTTTTTTCTACTTTCACTAGTGCAGGTTTGCACAAATCAGAAATCAAGTTGAAAACAAGGTTAATAAGAACATTTTAGAATGAAAGATTATTTATATGGTCACTAACGTCTTACAATAATTTACTTTTATATGAATTATCTAAATATGAAAATCAAGGGGCCAGCCTGGTAAGATTTTGCCTAGTGCAAAAATCCCAATTTTAACTTAATATTTCCTTTGCAATAACTTTAAATGGTGGACTTTAAATTGTATTGTTTGAAAATGGCCTTCTAACACTTCCAGTTTGATGGGCAGCAACAATTGCTTCTCGAAGATCATTGTTGATGTCCTTTCTCCTTGGCATTGTGTTAACACACACCTGATTGCTCCAGAACAGCAAACCGCTAAAACTTCAGCTTTTATAGAGGTGGCCACACTTGCTGATGATCAAGTAATCAAGGGCATTTGATTAGCAGCACCTGTCTGCTACTTAGACTCTTAATTTCTAAGGATGATTGTTATGATGTCCGGATATATTAAACCATAGAATTTAAAGAGGGTGTACTCATATTCAATGACTGTATCTCTAAGCGCAATGACAATGCTTCTGATAAGTAATTTTAATACATTATTTCCCAAGATTAAACTTACTAAGAAGCAACACAAAATGGAGAAATAAAGTAAACAGAGTGCAGGTCAGGAGTCCGGATACAAGTCAAGGGCTCATGAGCTGCACCACTGTAACCACCTAATAGGGAGCTCCAATGAGGCGGTAACCCTCTAAAATATGTAGGTAGTAGGAGTAGGTGATGTGTAGAGTCCCACAAGGGGAAACCAACATCAGGAAAGTTCCACTATATAAGAAATGAGCAAGGGAGGCCCTACCTTTGATCAATCTAAGGATAAAAAGGGATATGCAAGCAAAAAGTATAACTTGAAAAAAAGGGAGATCTACTAAACGGTGCCCAGGGGATCAGTTGTCTGGAGTACTAGCTAGCATCTAAGCTCCAGTTCCCCTAGTGTCCGACTGACAGGAAGGTAGTGTAAACAAGGTTAGGGAGAGAGAAGAGGCACAGGGTCCCCAGAGAACAAGGGACCGGGTAATCAGGTCTAAATGCAGATGAAAAGCCTCACACAAAAAATAAATAAATCAATCAATCTCTCAATTCACCCTAAAAGTTACCTCGACACCGTGGTCTAACCGCTAGTGTCTACCTGAACCAACTCTCCCTACTAAAGTTATAAATAAACACCTAAAAATCAATAACCATAGTGGTAACAAAAATAAAAAAGTCAGGAGCCTGTGAACATGAGCAGCTTGTTGTTCCATTTAAATACCTATTGCTGATGAAACATGGCCATCAGCTGTTCAATGTGGGAGTTCCTGAGGGGCGGAGTATCTAAACTCTATTCTGCAGTCTACCAGAAGAAGAAGCAACTCTGTCAATATAATTTAGTGCGCACTATTTTGTGCATGCCTTGCCAACAAAGGTTAACGAAGAAGATAAGAGGTTTATAGCAATATAGTCTTTGAGTTATTATTGGATAAGCTTTTCAAATTACCGTATTTTCTTTATGTATAAGACTACCTATTTATCTACTTTTTTTTGTCTAAAATTGGGGGTTGTCTTATACATGGAATGTTACTGCAGGGGTTTAAAAAAAAAAAAATACAATACTTTTGAGTGGATCCTAAGTTAAGATGGCGTCTGCCGCATTTCAGTATGCCATGGTCCACATACATACCTGGCCTCCCGCCGATCCACTTCTAAATGCTGTGGCAAGGAGGAAGAGGTCCCTATATGGGTAGGAGCTGCAGCAGACACCACCAACGGAGGTACAGATACATGCCACACCATGAAAGAAAGAACCATATTAAGATTTTCTCCACCTCAAGTAGGTCTTGCTTTCTGATTTATATTTATGGGGGAGGAAATGGGGATCAGGGAGTACAGGGGAGGCATGAGAATCAGAAGTGTGTCGTTCTCTTTAGAAGTCACCTCTAAAATATCAGAGTTGTTCAATTTGATGTTTAAAATATTGATTTCTTAATTTGGGGCTCAAAAAATAGTTAATTCCTTATTCCCACAGGCATCACTAATGATGGTTGTGGGCAGTGACGAAACCTCACAGTGGTAGCTCCACCAAGACCAGTTTAAGAAGTTTGTGGGCATGGTGCCAATGATTTTGGTAGGTCTCAGGAAGACAGTCAATAGACAATCTCAGCCAATCCAATGCTTTCCTATAGGAAAGCATTGGGAGGCTATTGTACATGTGTGGCAAAAAGCTGCATGGTTAATCAGCATCTCCATGGGGAGTGTTCAGCGCCTCCATGCAGACCCAATCTAATACACTGCCCCCTCCTCCAATTTAACAGACCCTCCCACTACTCTAATACACTGGCCCCCCTTTCACCACTCTAACACACTGCCCCCCTCCCTCCCCCTAACTAATTCACTATCCCTCCCACTACTCTAATACACTGCCCACTTCCTCACCCAATATAATACATTGCCCCTTCACTCCCCCATATTAACACACTCAAATTATTGGATATGTGTGGCTCCCTCCCCAATTAAATACACTGCTCCCCTCCCTCCCTCAAATGAATACACTGCCCCCGCGACCCCCCAAATGAATAAACTGCCCCCCCTCCACAATTTAACACACTACACAGGAAAATCCCCCAAACCCTTCTTCTTCTACCTTAAAACGAGCTGCCCTTCCACCAATTCCAGTTCCAGCTCTGCTCTTCTCTGATCAAGCAGGAGGGAAATGGAGTGGTTGGCCTGCTTTGCAGACAGTCAGCCACTCTGTCCACTTGTGGCCGTGGGAGGTAAGACAATGATCAGACAGGAAATATCTTTCATGTCTTGTGGCTGGTTACAGCCACAGCAAAAAGCGGCTCCAGGGCAAATGACCGCAAATATATTCATTGTGGGCCGCATGTTTGACATGCTTGATGTACACAGATACAAAGACACTGACAGATATATATATACACACACAGGTTCAAACACTTACAGATATAAACAGATTTACATACACAAAGATTCAAGCACACACAGACACGCAGACATACACTTACATTGATACACAGTAATACATACACACCGATACACAGATTCACACAAACACAAGTTCAAATAGATTCACACATACAGATTTAAATTTACAGATTCAGAAACAGATATTCACACTCAGATTCACAGATATTAACACACAATCATAGATTCACAACATAAATTCACAAGCACAGATTTATACACACAGATTCACACGTACTCGCTGATTTAAATGCACAAACTCACACAGATTCACTGACACAGATTCACAAACACTCACAGACCCACAGAATCAGACACATATTAAGACACAGACTCAAACACTGATTCATACTCAGAGTAACAGCCACTAACAGTTTCATATTCACAGATTTAGGCACACTAACAGATTCACGCGCACACACACACACTTACAGATTCATGCAAACACCCACATTCTCACCAAAACATAGTTTTTATCAAAGTTCATGCTATTTTCCTTTACTTTGATTCAGAGGAAAGGATATTAAGAAAAGAGGTGCAGCTAGTGCAGGATCTACCTTCCATGCTTTCACAGAGTTCTGGGAGGAAGTGAGATCATGTGATATCACTTCCTGTCTCCCAGCACTATTGACAGTAGTGTAGGCAGAGAGATGAGAAACAAATTAGCTACTCAGCAAAGATCACATATGGGGAGAGGTGAGGGCTATACTGTAGTGCCTGTGGGCTAGCCACCACAGAACCACTGTTTTGTGATGTGATGAAGAGCTGGGGCTATGCATGGCAGATATCCTCAATGTAGTGAACCTTCTTTAGACATGGGCCTATAGCTGGAGCTCCATCAGCCCATATGTAAAGCTTGTTTAAGCATGACTCTCTGTTCCTGTGCATCCAACTTATCTTCTTGTCTGTTAGTCCACCTATTGCACAGAACTGCATAATTTTTGGCTCGTAATAATAATAATAATAATAATAATAATAATAATATGTTAATCAGGCCCTGGCTCCAAACTTTGTCAAGTTCTGTCACTACTTTGTCTTAAGATATATTTTTACTGCACTTTCAATGAAATTCCAATGCATTCCTTATAAGCATTTCATAAAACGTTACCTTTATGAAATGTTCAAGATTACCTTTGAGGTGACAGTGCTACTTTAATGGAATTGTGGGGTTCCCAAACAAACATGAGTTGATCATGGATAAGTTAAAAAAAAAAGACACAGAATAATGCACCATATCTACATTACCAAGGAATGTATAAGTATAGTAAATTAATAATAGAGAATATGAGACATACAACATATTTCTTAAAACATACAATACAAGCCCAAATAAGGATAATGCAGTAAGTAGGTATTTAAGGGGCACTGTAGGCACTCAGACCACTTCAGCCCATTGAAGTGGTCTCAGTGCCAACTTCCATCACCCTCAACCCTGCAAGGTAATTATTGCAGTTTTTATAAACTGCAATAATTACCTTGCAGGGTTAAGTCCTCTTCTAGTGGCAGTCTACCAGACAGCCACTAGAGGGACTTCTGGGTTCTTAGACGACTTTTGGTCAGCTAGACATCCTCACGCTATGTATGAGGACCTTCAGCGGTGCTGGAATCCCCATAGGAAAGCATTGAATAATGACAGACATGTAGTTGTAACCAGACAAGTTGGACACACAGGAACAGAGGGATTGAGGGCCCTGCTCAATGAGCTTACATGCTAGAGGGAGTGGGGTAAAGTGACACAAAAGGTAAGGACAGTATTAGACTAATGACAGTTGCAAGAGAGGAATCAGTCGGGAGCTATTAACAGTTCAATTGATACGCTTTTATGAAGAAGTGGTTTTTTAATTATTTTTTGAAGATTCCTTATTGAAAACCCTATTAGCATGTGCACTTCTTCTGTGAGAGCATGTGTGCCCCAGCTCTGAAGTCAGGTCACAGATAGAAAGCAGGTATTACAATTACACTTTCATCTTCCACCATACCAACAACAAAGCTGCTTTGGCTCATATGGTCAGCACATGCACCCTGGTCCATCATGTTTTAAATATTCAGTTCCTTTTCAGAGAGAAATAAAACTACACACTAGCTGATGGCTATAAATAAAAATTATTTGGTGAAGACGAAACACATCAAGCTATTGCACAGATTAATTTTGGTATTTAGACTGTCCTTTTATATTGTTTTGCAAGTAATATATGTATATAGAACATACTACACTATATGTCTCTTTCCTTTTCCTCAGGGTTGAATTTAAATCATGTACAATATGTCCCAGCAGGCATTTTAGAAACGTATGAATTATGTTTTTATAAACACAAGGAGATTCATTTTTCTGATAGGTTGCAGTTTGATATGAATGACTCTACGCACAGTATATATTGGTTTCACAAAGAACATAATATTCAGACATTTATCTTAGGGGTGTTTCTGGAGGTGTGACAAGAGCTAGGTATATTCTACAAAACATGAGGTGAATTAAGTGATTCTGAGTGCCATTTACATTAGTTACATTATTAAAAAAAAAAAAATTTATACAGACCAACACCATTTATTCACACATGTAAATATCTATGAACATTTCTTATATGTAAAAGGCACCATAAATGCTACATATTTTTGTAGTTATGAGGTGACTGGCATACCACGGGTGTTGATTCTTTTATATGTAGCTTTTTTTCATCTGGCTTGCCCAAAACTGGAGGAATCCCAAACATGCAGTGGTGGATGCATAATGAGGAATTTAAATATCTTCATCACAACATTACAGTCCTGGGGAGGGGTGTTCTTCTGTTTTGTTTGTCAAAATGATTATAAAAAAGTCAGTGACTAATTGACTGCATCTGTTGCTTCATATCACCACAGCTTTGAGTGTCCCTTCTAGGTACAGTAATGTGCGTTTTATTATTGTGAAACTCGGTGAGACAGACAGACATTCTTATACAAAATAAATAAATAAATAAAAAATACCAAAACAACTTACTTATGAGATGTTAAAAACAAAGGACACTAGGATAGTAAAGAGCTGAAGGGGCTTGGTTTACCAGAAAGACTACTCATTTCTAAAACAGGCTCATACTCATACTGAAGGTGTAGGGACTACTTTGTCTCAGTATATTTCTTACACCTGAAACTTCTAGACACTGTGCAGAGCTACCGCCGTCTAGCAGTGCCAATCTCTCAAAGATATTAGCTGTGTCTATGGAGAATCCTGCAGTCTTGCGGGATACTCCATAGACCACAATGCGTCACTCTTTCACATGCTTGAGAGTACAGCAGTGCCAAGCGCCAAGAGCAGAAGGGAACCAGTCAGAAGATGATGGTGGAACTCGAGAGGGATAGGTTTAGGTAAGTAAATCTCACCTATCCCTGCCCGCTCAGCCACTGGACCACCAGTGCCAATGTCACCATTGGGGGTCTTTGAAAATTCTGCAAAGGCCCCAGACAGTGACCGCTCAGCCACTGGACCACCAGTGCCAATGTCACCATTGGGGGTCTTTGAAAATTCTGCAAAGGCCCCAGACAGTGACAGTGCTGCTTTAATTAATACTTACTTAAGAAAACTACAAACTAAATTGATTAGTTGCATTACAATGAAGTGTATCAAATTCTCTTTTGATATCAGCAACAACCCTTCCCTAGCAAAAGACAAAAAAAAAAAAACTAAACAAATTGTGGATGTATAGCAAATAGGACATAAATTAGCAGCCCTTACATAATGGTACAAAGATTTTAATAATGATAAAATAAATAATGATAACAATGAAGTTTGGCAGTGAACAGTGACTGCAGATGACAGATGCACAGTCCGCATTTACATTCCACAGGCGCTCCACAGGCACTCTCAACACTAATTAGACAAATTATGCTCACACCTATAACATACCATGTGCAAACAAACACAGCCAGATACCGTGTCTGCATTCAGTTTGACAATTCTGTCATCTGGGAAGTATACAACAACATTTAATTGAGTAGTAGAATAAAACTTGAGCAAGGGTTTTATATCACATGATGCTTTCTTATACAGAGATGAAGATTACCAGTGAAAACATACAAAGGTCGGGGAGACCAAGTTATATGTTTAATCCAGTTTTACAGATTCCAAACTGTACTACAATAAGGTGTACAATGTTCCAGATCTGCCCACTGCACATTGTTTTTACAATAATGCTTACTTGAAAGTTCTATACTTAAAAAGATAGTCTATGCACCATAACCACTTAATCTCGCTGAGGAGTTTTTCATGCCTGCAGTTCCATGGAGTTAATCCATTGTTCAGCAATAAACAATTTTTTATTTGTTTTTTGATTTTTTCTGTACAAAATGATGGTCCCAAGCAACCCAGGGCTAGGTCTCTCTCTGACTAATATAGACATTACATTCCAATTAGCCATCATACCTCACACCAATGACAGGTGGCAGTGATTAGGTCTCCTCCTATCAATGCTGACAATCACTCATCTGCTTAACCCCTTCAGGACGGAGTCAATAGTGCACGTTCTGATCAAAACAAAACGTAAACAAAAACTGGAATTTGCGCTATATGTCTGTTCAACCGTAATTCACCACTGTCACATTAAGTGCACCCACATTTATTATATATCATTTTGTTCAGGAGAAACAGGGCTTTAATTTATCATTAACTATTCATATATGGAACATAATTTATTATGAATAAAATTTAAAAAAATATGAGAAAATAAGATTTTTTTCTTAAATTTGTATCTGTCTGACATTTTAGCTGTGAATGTCATAATACTGTTAGGTTTTACTGCAAAACAATGCACATATTTGTAATCAGCGATGTCTCACGAGTACAACAGTACCCCCCATGAACAGGTTTTATGGTGTTTTGGAAAGTTACAGGGTCAAATATAGAACGTTCCATTTTCAAATTGAAATTTGCCAGATTAGTAATGTTATCTTTTAAATGGTGTGGTAGCCCAGGAATGAGAATTACCCCCATAATGACATACCATTAGAAAAAGTAGACAACCCAAGGTATTGAAAGTGGGGTATGTTTAGTCTTTTTAAGTAGCCACTTAGTCACAAACACTGGCCAAAGTTAGCGTTCATATTTGTTTTTGTGTGAAAAAAGCAAAAAACTAATATTTAGCCAGTGTTTGTGGCTACTAAGAAAGACTGGACATACCCCACTTGCAATACCTTGGGTTGTCTACTTTTGCAAATGGTATGCCATCATGGGGGTAATTCTCATTCCTGGGCTACCATACGCTCTCAAAGGCATCATAACCAATCTGACAAATTTCAATGTCAAAAAAATGAAATGCAAGCCTTATATGTGACTCTCTAACTTTCCAAATCACCATAAAACCTGTACATGGGGGGTATTGTTATTCTCGGGAGACTTCACTAAATACAAATATTAGTGTTTTAAAACAGTAAAACATATTACAACAATAATATAGTCCATAAAAGTGCAGTTAGTTTGTAAAAAATGCAAACAAAATCACTTTTACTTAAAATATCATTGTTGTAATACAATTTACCAGTTTGAAACACTAATATTTGAGTTCAGCGAAGTCTCCCGAGTAAAACAGTACCCTCTATGTACAGGTTTTATGGTGTCTTGGAGAGTTACAGGGTCAAATATAGTGCTTGCAAATTAAATTTTCTGCACTTTCTCCGTGTGTTGTCAGGCATGTCAATCAAATTTTAATTAATAAAATCACATAATTATGTTAAAAGATTACTTAAATATACACGTAGAATTTTAATATATATGCATTTATAGGTATTTAAATTCTACGTGTATACTAATGTAATCTTTTATGTAATTATATGTATTTATATATATTTGCGGTTATTTGTATTTTATATATAGCTAGATATATATAGAATGTCATTCTAAGTGTATTTTGTTACCAATATATATATATATTAATAACAAAATACAGTTAGAATGAAATTGCATACGAATATATAATTTATTAAATTGTGTTTCAATATTTTATTTATTATTTTATTTTTTTAATTAATTACCGTATATACTCGAGTATAAGCCGACCCGAATATAAGCCGAGGCCCCTAATTTTACCCCAAAAAACTGGGAAAACTTATTGACTCGAGTATAAGACTAGGGTGGGAAATGCAGCAGCTACTGGTAAATTTCTAAATAAAATTAGATCCTAAAAAAATTATATTAATTGAATATTTATTTACAGTGTGTGTATATGATGAATGCAGTGTGTGTGTATGAGTGCGCAGTGTGTGTATAAATGCAGTGTGTATATGAGTGCAGTGTGTGTGTATGAGTGCAGTGTGTGTGTATGAGTGCAGTGTGTGTGTATGAATGCAGTGTGTGTATATGAGTGCAGTGTGTGTGTATGAGTGCAGTGTGTGTGTATGAATGCAGTGTGTGTGTGTGTGTGTGTGATGCAGTGTGTGTTTGTGTTGCAGAGCCTTGGTGGGGGGTGGGCATTTTTATAAAAAAAATTTAAAAAAAATTAATATTATTATTTTCATTTATTTGGTTATATTATTTTTTAATTATTTTTTTATTATTATTTATATTTATATATTATTAATTAATATTATTTTAATTTTTTTGTTATATTATTTTTTTATTATTATTTTTATTTATATATTATTAATTTATTTATTTTTCGTCCCCCCTCCCTGCTTGATGCATAGCAGGGAGGGGGGCTCTCCTTCCCTGGTGGTCCAGTGGCATTGGCAGTTCAGTGGGGGGAGGAGGTGGGCGGGCAGGAAGCACTTACCACTCCTGCAGCTCCTGTCAGCTCTCTCCTCCTCCGCGCCGGTCCGTGCAGCTCTTCTCTCAGCTCACACTGTAAGTCTTGCGAGAGCCGCACTATGACCCCGCGGCTCTCGCGAGACTTACACTGGGAGCTGACCGAGGTGCTGACCGGACCGGCGCGGAGGAGCAGGGAGCTGACAGGAGCTGCAGGAGTGGTAAGCGCTCGCTGCCAGCCCCCAGTCTGTATTGTGGCAATGTAAATTAATGTAAATTGCCATAATACAGACCTTGACTCGAGTATAAGCCGAGTTGGGGTTTTTCGGCACAAAAAATGTGCTTAAAAACTCGGCTTATACTCGAGTATATACGGTATTGTAATTATACGTATATAAATATATATAGCATCCAAGTAGAGAGAACTCTGGAGTCTTCGTTTTATATCAAAATAAATACTGCTTTATTGTGCAGAATACAAAAATGTCGACGTTTCAGTCACAATAGACTTTTCTCCAATAGGAATTTTGTTGTAACATATATAATCACAGTTTATTCATTGCATGAATTGTCTTGAGAAAAGTCTATTGTGACTGAAACGTCGACATTTTTGTATTCTGCACAATAAAGCAGTATTTATTTTGATATAAAACGAAGACTCCAGAGTGCTCTCTACTTGGATGCTATATATTGGTCAGAGATTACTTGCACCGGAGCATGGAAAAGACCAGGAACATTGAGTGCTGGGACCTGGGAAAATATAAATATATATATATATATATATAAATATAAAACATATATTAATATTAAAATACACTTAGAATGACGTTACATATATATAATATGTATATATATTATATATATATATATATATATATATAATAGATATATATACACATATTTACACATATATATACGTATAATTACAATAATTAATTAAAAAAATAAAATAATACATACATATTATATATACATATTATATATTTATAAATATATTTATTTTATAAATATGTTTAATAATATTTTTTAATACTTCCCACCAACAGGGGGACAGTGTGACATTTCAACAATATAAATCACAAGAATATTATTTTTTTTTTCTGTAACAGTATTTTTTAATAAAAACACACAGAATAACTATTACGCTCTAAAATATTCATGCCAACAGTTATGCATTTGTTTTGCCTATTAACAGTGTCACCAATGATGATAATCTATAGATTATGATATCTTGAATCTACAACATGTGAGAGGAAGTTTAATTTTTACAAAAGAATAGATACAAACACATAAAACTAGGAGCAGTACAATTGTACTGCACATATATATAAACATATATTATTTCATAATACTGCATCTTAAAGGGACATTAAATACCTGTGCTATTACATTCACTGGTACTGTACTCTGTTTATAAGGCACAATTTAAAAGCAAAACCTTTGGCATCTGATAAGTAGCTCACGCACTGCTTTATACCTATATGCTCGGTACAATAATTACTGCCAAATCAGTGGCACTCACCTTATCATCCTTAGAATGATTTTAGGCTGATTTGACACTGTTGGCAACAGAACTTGAGACACTGAGCTTTGATCACACTGCCAGTCGGTGCATTAACCAACTAGCTATCTTGTTGGCTATAGAACATTTATCAATGGGTAAAATAAGACTGCAAATCATTTTTACATTCACTAATTTTGAGACCTGGGTTATCAACAACAAACAGATGCTCAACAAAAACTTGACAAGATCATCGCTCGTACCCCTGGATGCTTTATTCACATATTTCTTTTATTGCTGAGGAAGCACATTTTATTCCCAATGTTTTCTTACATTTTGCATTTCTGCTGATCCACTATACTATCAATGTACCCAGAGACTTTTGCTCAGTTTTGATTTTTGTAGTGCTTGCCTCAGACAACTAGATACGATACATAACCAGAAATATCTATGTCAGTATGCATATTCCCATTTCACTACACTTAGCCGATACATTTCTGCTGATAAGTAACTCCTTGACTCCTACTTTAAAGAGCAATGACTTCTGTGAAAAATGAAATGTCTCCAGTATGCTGCACCATTATAAGTGAGAAGAAATGGAAATTTCACAGCTAGAATACTGTAAATGTACATGAATTATTGTATGTTATGCAAGTAATAACATTTGGGTCGAAATGGATGACGAGTAAAGAATTCAAGCTTTTAAAGAGGTTTTTGATTTTACCCCGCAACAGCAGTGTAGATTGTGAGTCCCATTTCAATTCTTTGAGTCACACCTTTGGATTTATCAGTATTCCTTTTGGAACAGAATTAGGAACTGCATAACTTCCATTGGCGTGCCTTGAGACATGGTTGATAAACCGTTCTAGAGGGATTATACACTATATAGCAAGCTAAAAGTGAAAAGAGAAACAATATGTAACATTTAGGCTAAAATAACGGAGTTGGAGAAAATGTCAAATTCAGAAAAGATAGGGATTGTTTTCCATGTCCAGCCCACCATAATGTCTTGTTCTTTAGTGAATACTAAAGAACTGTGGAACTCATTTTCCTCCTCCGTTAGATGCTCACCCAGTCTCCACTCCTTCAAAAAATCATTAAAAACCCACTTCTTCATACAAGCATATCAATTAAACTGTTAATAGCCCCCAACAGATTCCTCTCTTGCAACTGTCATTAGTCTAATACTATTCTTACCTTTTGTGTCACTTTATCCCACTCCCTCTGGCATGTAAGATCATTGAGCAGGGCCCTCAACCCCTTTGTTCCTGTGTGTCCAACTTGTTTGGTTACAACTACATGTCTGTTCGTCCACCCATTGTAAAGCGCTGCAGAATTTGTTGGTGCTTATAAATAATAACATAATAATAATAATAATAATAATAAGTGTTCCCAACCCAAGTTGTTCCCAAATCAAGAAGTAGTGTTTCAATTTTTAATCTTGTCATTTCCCTTGGTGCCCCAAGACCACATATGTCTTTAAACACCCTTAGTAATTTCTCCAGCAGAAGCAGAACAACTATTTTCAAGAAGGAATTTAAAAAAATGTGTTTATCTGTCATTTTAAAGGAACACGAACATTAAAATAAATGTGTGACCTTTAGTAAATAATAGAATGCTATTGAATAGATTTCTGCAGCCTGCAACCAATTTTTTTTATTTATTATTATTAAAATCACATGTTTTCTAGAACCAGAACATGCTTTATTGAGCATCTGCTCTGTCACTTATAATGTCATCAGTAATGGTGACTTCTATCCAATCCAATGCTTCTCATAGAGGAGACAGGGGGATAATGCATAGCAATTACTTTTCTCTGTCAGTCGCATGCATCTTAAAGTGAAGCAGTTAAACCAATACCTCTCTACATCAAGCATTAGAAGCACTGGGTATTAGCTAATTAGGTGAAGACACCTAATGTTAAGTCTTTCTTTTTTTCAAAGGTCTTCATTTAGACGAATAAGAGCCTTTGGTGACTATCAGACTAACAGCCACTTAAGACATGGTTTCAGAACAAATGTAAATATTGCTGTTTCTCTCAAACAGCAATGATTTACATTGTGTTAAAAATGAGGCATGGCATTTATGCCCCAAAATTACTTCTTTAAGTTTAAGCGGTTTTGGTGCCTAGATTGTGTATTATTTACATACAATCTAGAATTACAAATGATATTTGAGATGTACATATTCTATGGACTATTAGAAGGGTAATGTGCTTGTTTTACACTGCTTGTATTCAGTAAAATGATTGTTACAACTATTCAAACATACTACTTTTTTAGTAGCTTTTAATTTCTCTAATGTAACTATTTAATGAAATTTTGATAAAAGAACAAGTATGCATCAGCTCTTTCTAAAATACAAAATGACAAAAAAAAAAAAGGATCAAGCAATATGTTGACGCTTTACCTATTTTTCGATTTGTTCTTTTGAACTAATACAGTTGTCCGTCGCGTGAGGCTTTAAACAACTTCAATAGGTAGTTCTGCATAGCTATCTAGAACATTAACATTCAGATTACAAGATGTACTTCGCAGCCGCCTTGTGAAGTGGCTTTTGTCAGCAATTATTTTCGAATATATTCAATGTGGTAAATAGCATATACTGCATCTTCTATGACACAGAAAGCATACATTAATGTAATAACTAGGCAGAATCCTTTAAGTCATTTTCCTGCTCACTGAATTTTTTATGCTTTTCTGATCTTAATATGAAAACAAAGCAAGCTCTAACACTATCACCCAGAAATGCTTTAGAAAAGTGTTCAGGTACAACAAAACAGAAACTTGAAAGGACTTTCCAATTTGTTCCACAAAAAAAAAAAATCATTCCTTTATAATGAAAATAGATGACTCTGATTTCCAGTAAAAATTGCTGCTGTTTTGTTTCTGCAGAAGGATTCGACATAGATCATTAAAAGGCCATGATGACATTAGTCATATATTCTACCTAAAAAAACAGGCCTGTAACATGCAGGGAATTTAGACAGGTGGAAAGGTTTTGAGCCAAGTAAATATTTCAATGTTTCATATGTGGCAACCACATATTAAACATCTGCTGCATTTGAATTCAAACATAGACTTAAAGATTTGTTTTGTTACGAACTGGAAGTTGTCTGAACCTGGGCCAATTGGGTGGTAGTTTGAATTCCAGAACTCCAACCAAAAATGTAGCTGGATCACGAACCAATCAAAATGTATGATGGCCAAGCTTTTGGCGTGTGATTCTGAATTTAGATACGGAACAAGTTCTCCTGTTTATCTTAGTATTGGTAACATTTTCTCATTTAATCTGTAAGCCAAATGGCAGGGAAATGTTTGGCACATTTTTGCACTCTTTTTGTTTTTCTGATTAGTTTCCCGAATGAGTTTTCCAATGCCGAAATTCTTGCAGAGCATAAATGTAATTGGTGATTAACTAAACTAAATATTTAGAATAGACTGGTATGCCTAATGCAACACACAGGTACGAGGGAATCAGACTTAGGTGAGTTGCTCAAAACTGGATAGATACAGGAATTCACCAAACACCTGTCTTAAGAAGTTTTGTAGTAGGAGAAAATAAAATATAACAACCTTAGTTGGTATATATAGTCCAGGAGCTGATCCACCTAAAATGGCTTTACAAATAAACTCCAATGTTGTCTGAAAGGAGCTAGAAGAAATAAATGTAATAATAATATGTGGTGTATACACCTTTAAATCTGCTATAGGCAGAGTAAATGGAGTAAGCACCAGATGCTATACTTTACATGTACCAACTCCAAAGTATTTGAGAAACAATATATGAGACAGTCTCATATATTGTTTCTCAAATACTTTGGAGTTGGTACATGTAAAGTATAGCATCTGGTGCTTACTCCATTTACTCTGCCTATAGCAGATTTAAAGGTGTATACACCACATATTATTATTACATTTATTTCTTCTAGCTCCTTTCAGACAACATTGGAGTTTATTTGTAAAGCCATTTTAGGTGGATCAGCTCCTGGACTATATATACCAACTAAGGTTGTTATATTTTATTTTCTCCTACTACAAAACTAAATATTTAGTTTGCAGTACTCACTAATGTACAATTAAAGATATTAATTTAATGGTTATAAGAATTACTATTTTCATTTATACAGCATCAAAATATTCCACAAACCTTTTCCAATATTTAAAAGGGAAATAACATAATAAATACTTGGCAAACATCAGTATCATAAACCTTACAATCTACTAAATTTAATTGAACTAGGAATTATTTTAAGTGACGAAAGTTAAGTTTCATCAACTTAATCACTTAGGTGCCGAATATCCTTATCTGCTTGACAGATATTAGATATCCGTATCTGCTTGACAGATATTAGATATCCCTATCTGCTTGACAGATATTAGATATCCGTATCTGCTTGACAGATATTAGATATCCGTATCTGCTTGACAGATATTAGATATCCGTATCTGCTTGACAGATATTAGATATCCGTATCTGCTTGACAGAGATTAGATATCCGTATCTGCTTGACAGATATTAGATATCCGTATCTGCTTGACAGATATTAGATATCCGTATCTGCTTGACAGAGATTAGATATCCGTATCTGCTTGACAGATATTAGATATCCGTATCTGCTTGACAGATATTAGATATCCGTATCTGCTTGACAGAGATTAGATATCCGTATCTGCTTGACATCCGTATCTGCTTGACAGAGATTAGATATCCGTATCTGCTTGACAGAGATTAGATATCCGTATCTGCTTGACAGATATTAGATATCCGTATCTGCTTGACAGATATTAGATATCCGTATCTGCTTGACAGAGATTAGATATCCGTATCTGCTTGACAGAGATTAGATATCCGTATCTGCTTGACAGAGATTAGATATCCGTATCTGCTTGACAGAGATTAGATATCCGTATCTGCTTGACAGAGATTAGATATCCGTATCTGCTTGACAGAGATTAGATATCCGTATCTGCTTGACAGAGATTAGATATCCGTATCTGCTTGACAGATATTAGATATCCGTATCTGCTTGACAGATATTAGATATCCGTATCTGCTTGACAGATATTAGATATCCGTATCTGTTTGACAGATATTAGATATCCGTATCTGTTTAAAGTATATTAGATATCCTTTTCTGTTTGACGGATATTAAAACACACTCACGTTGTACAGCCTAGGGCAATTGTGCCAACTCTTTTAGATCAAGTTAAACATATTCAATTTGGATCAAATATCTGCTTTCCTAAATTATTTCTTTGGTCTTCAATTTTCAATACATCAAATATTCAAAATAACCAGTCATTACAGAATGTAATAAAAGATAATCCCCCACATCAATGCAGAGATAACAGAACAATTATTCACATTCATTAAAGGACCACTATAGGCACCCAGACAACTTCAGCTTAATGAAGTGGTCTGGGTGCCAGGTTCATCTAGGATTAACCCTTTCTGCTGTAAACATAGCAGTTTCAGAGCCCGGTGTGAGGGGTATCCTAAGGGTGGGGGGGAGCTAGAGACCCTATAGTGCCAGGAAAACAAGTATGTTTTCCTGGCACTATAGTGGTCCTTTAAATACATGTTTTAATGAAAAAAAGTTGACAAGCATAATCGAAGAGGAAAGCTTTTCGTAAAGGATCACTGTAGGTACCATATAAACATTACGGCCTGGGTTTACAGCTAAGAGTAAGTAGTCAAAACTATTTTGAAAGCTTGATAGTTACCCAGATCCCCTGAGCACCTCAAGTCCTTTAGATATATGTATAAAAGTAAAGTTACCCTTTAGCTATATATATATTGATTTAATCTTATTTGGACCAAATTCATTGACTGACAGTTTAATCTGATGTTCTTAACCAATACATTCTGTCCAAAGAGTGGCATCACTAATTTAGAAGTATGGATCGATAGCATGGATCTATGATATGAGAAGATGCGATAAGATTGGTGGTGCCCTCGGGTCCAACATAAGTGTCAAACACTTCAAAAACATTTATTTCTTACTGTGCAAGTGTCAGGGGACTCCTAGGGGCTGTAGTGGTTATGGTGCTTATGCCACCCCTTTGAGGACCTTTGGTCTCAGGGTATCATAGAAGTTAGTGAGAGAGAGGAAGAGAGAGAATAAGTCTGAAAGTTTTTTCAAATTCCTCAGAAGAAACTGCTGCAATGGTTTACATTTTTCCATGGCAACTTTAGCATTTCACATGTGAGCAAAGGTTTACTTCATGAAATGAAGATAGAAACATATTAATACAACTCTATAGTATAATTTATTTTATCCAGGAATGACGTAGTGGCATTGGCGCATTAAGAAATCTTGTTGTTTTTTTTTTTTGCCAGATGCTATGATCCTTAAGACCTATCTTTACTTCTTCCCTCAACCTCTTCTCAAATGTCTTTTCTTTCTTTTCTCACAGAAAAACTTTAGCCCAGATGTAGGCAGCCTTTGGCACTCCATAGTTTGTGGACTACATCTTCTACAATGCTCTTACAGGCATAATGCTGGCAAAGAATCAGGGGAGATGTAATCCACAACACGTGAAATGGCAACGGTTGCCGCTGCTCTAGAACATTAAGCTCAGTCTCACTGGCACACTCTCTTTTACAAAAATAAATATGTGGAAAATTATACAACACAGTGTAGGCAGAATACAAACGTTGACTATATGCTGGACTTCTAGATTACATGTTGTAAATAAATGTAGGAGAAAAAATGTATACGTATAAAGTATAATGAATGACTCGAAATGTAAGTGTGTAACACAATTAGTTCAAATATGTCAATGTAACAAAATATAGTGATCTAATTGTGGTATAGATTTAATGTGTATGTTACACATATTCCTACAGCATTAATTCTTGCAAAGTTTATTTCACCAACACTCTAACTCTTAATGGTCATGTTTAAATAAGAAAGTCAGCAACAGAGCCAAATAAATGCTATTGAAATTACCCTTTTTAAAAAGTGCATTCAGATTTAGTGTTTGCTAATGGAATAGTGCACGTTTGTATTTGCTAAAAGTTGCATAAACGTTGCCTCTCTGGAGGGATTTTGCCACTTATAATGAAGGCATTTAAATCTGCTATAGGCTTTAATCCAGCTTGCCTGATCCTTGGGTTTATGTTCCCTGCAAGTTTATTCAACATTTTAAGAGCTCTGTAGGAGGATGATGCTTGACCGGTTTCCTTGCCGTAAAAGGACTTTGATTAGAGTGCTGAAGTGAACCAAAGAAGAACATTATAAAGGTTTTGGGGAACTGGTGAGCACTTGCTGCTCAGTGTGGAAATTTTCCCATAAGTGCAGTTTTAATGTACGGATGAATGGTGAATTGTATATCTAAATTGCAGTGTTAAGGTGAAACAGTCATGACAGCGTCACCTATTTGCCCCAACGACTAACAAGATATAATTTATCATATGATAAAGAATATATTCAATTAAATATTTTGATATGTTAATTACCTCCCCCTTAAACCCAGCAATGATATGTCTTCAGTGTTGTAGGTGTTAACCTATTATAGCATCCATAGGCGTGCGCACTTGTGCCGGGTTTGCCTGGGGACACCTTAATTAGGACAGAGCGCCTGTGGCAGTCAGGGGCCTGGATGCATTGGCAGGGCATCAGATCTCCTATCTGGGCCAGCATTACTTATTGTGCTTTATTACAGCGATAGTTGCGGCCCCTGCCTGTGTGTGGCCTGCAACTATCGCAGTATCACCTCCCAACTCTTCCCTGCAGTGAGAGACCTGGGGCACGCGTGTTCCCCCTCCCAGGTCTCTTCACTCTCCCTGCACGGTGCAGTACAGGCACTCTGTGGGTGTAAACAGGGTGAGAACGGAGAGAAAAATGTGGGCCTGTGGCAGTAAACAGAGTGAGGTGGGAGAGAGAAATGTTGGTCTGTGACTGTAAACAGGGTGAGGTGGGAGAGAGAAATGTGGGTCTGTGGCTGTAAACAGGGTGATACCAGAGGACAAAAGGGCCAGAAAAGCGTATGGTGCATATCCTTGGAGCCTGCTTGTGGGATTGCGTGTGTGTAGAGTAAGCTGGTTGTGGTGTGGTATTGTGTAAATAGGTCAATTTAATTTGTGTTTGTGGTGTAATATGTGTGGCTAGGGGCTACAGTGTGTGTATAAGGGCATAGTGTGTATAGGGGATGTAGTGAGTGTGTGCATATGGGCTGTAGTGTGTGTAGGGGTTATAGAGAGAGTGTTTGTTTAGAGAATGTAGTATGTGTATAGGGGATCCAGAGTTTGTATATCAGGAATGTAATGTGTGGAGGTGGTGCAGTGTGTGTAGGGAATCTTGTGTGTAAAGGTCCCAGAGTGTGTATAGGAGATTGTGTGTGTGTGTGTGTATATATATATATATATATATATATATATATATCGAGGATTCAGAGTGTATATAGGGTAAAGGATCTAGAGTGTATCTGGAGCGTAATGTGTAGTGATGCAGTATGTATATAATGTGTAGTGGTTCTGTAGTATATAATATTGTAAAGCGCTACAGAATCTGTTGGCGCTATATAAATGGCAATATTAAAAATAATATATATATATGTTTGGACGTATTGTATGTGTGAAGGACACAGTGTGTTGAGTATGCTGTGTGTATGTGTGAAGGGTGCAGCATGTGTGGGGTGATGTGTGTGTGAAGGTGCATGTCTGTGTGTGAAGGTGCCGTGTGTGTCTGAGGGTGCCGTGTCTGTGTCTGAGGTTGCCGTGTCTGTGTCTGAGGGTGGTGTGTGTGTGTGTGCTGTGTGTGTGTGTGTGTGAGGGTGCTGTGTGAGTGAAGGTGCTGTGTGTGTCTGAGGGTGATGTTAGTATGAGTGTGCTGTGTGTGAGTGCTCTTAGTATCAGTGTAAATAGCACAGTGTTTGTATAAATATGTATTTTTTTTTGTATTTAAAAAAAAAAAACCTATGTATCCCTCCCTCCCTCCCTTCTTACCTTTAGCCTGGGAGGGGGAGGGGGGGAGCCGTGCTGCCATGGAGGGTGCCGTGCTGCCTTCCCTGGTGGTCCTAGTGGTGAGAGTGCACTCTGGCCCGCTGGGCTAGAGTTCACTCTTGCAAGATCTGACCGTTGGCGTGGTAACCGCGGCAACACTCAGACCTCGTGAGAGGACCCAGCAGAGCTCCCCGGGTCCTCTCCTGCCTCCCTCCCAAGCCGTCGGCCCCATATCAGTGCCTCTGGGCCGGTGAGGGAGATCTCCCCACTGGCCCATGAAGGCACACAGCAGGGCCGCATTTGCCCAGTATGCCCGATGGCTAGTCCGGGCCTGGACTTCGGTGTTGGAATCGTGTAAGTGTTTAGGGTTTTTAAGCCTTTTATTGCTGCAAAAGTGGGCCACAGAGGCAGAGGGACACTATTGTGTTAGGAATACAGATACTATAGTGTGCCTTTAAAATCCAACAAAAAACATCTAACTATTTTATGACTTTTTACAATAAAAAATGTACCACTGAGTACGTGTTAGATAATTTTTTTTCTTTAAGATTCAAAGTATAACTGCTTTACAAAATAACAGGAGCTAAATACAGCTGGAAGCACTTTGAGCATGAACATCTAGAGGCTAGTATCATGTTGCATATACACAAACCCAGCAGACACAAATATAGTTGAAAAGACTGATATTTTTTTTTTTAACTCAGGCAATATAAAGGTAGAAAGTACAGCACCATTAGACATGTACAAAACACACCATATCATTCTAATGAAAACAAGAATAGTTAATTCACCATACTTTAAAAACAAGTTATCAATGTTCTATAGAATTTGTCAAATAAAATTAGAACATTTTCAAAAGATGAGACCCGGAACTTATTTTTAATTATGTACATAGCTAGACTATAAAACAACACAGTATATTTAAGACTAAACAAGACAATTATCAGCAACAGGCTATTAACGGAACACTATAGTCTAAGACAAGGATAGACAACCTTGTCCCTCTGCTGCCCCCTCCTGCCGGCAGCAAATAAAATGGGGATTTCAAAGATGCTGAATGGCAAAGTGTGAGGACTTCCAATGTCGTTTCATGGAGTCAAACTCTGTAAAAAAAACAGGAAGCACCTCTAGTGGCTGTCTGGTAGACAGCCAATAGAGGCAGGCTTAACCCTGCAATGTAAATATTGCCGTTTCTCTGAAACGTCAATGCTTGCAGCTGAATGCATAAAATGACAGTTACATTGCGCCCAGACCACTTTGATGACATGAAGTGGTCTGGATGCCTACACTGACCCTTTAACAAAATCTCACTCACTTAACTACTAAAATAATTACTGAAAGGGACACTGCATACACCTAACATACCTTAGCTTGAAGGCCTCATATGTGAGGAGTGTGTCCTCATTTTTTCCATTTTACAAAAAGTGCAGATTTTCAGCTGACACTTTTATAAATTAACCTTGTTACCCCCTCCCCCTCAATTAGACAACCGGTCCGTTTACTTCCTGGTTGTTTAGCTCAGTGAAACTAAGCTCAACAGGCTGCAATTGCTCAGAGAATCTTCTTCCCAAAGTTTTCTCATTGGGCGGCATTGGAAAGTCTGTGATTGGACAGCCCAGGAAATCTAATCAGTAGAAGAAGGGGGAGGGGAGTGGCTTGCAAAGTGTCCCTATAAGTAACAACGTGGGGCACCAAATAGCTGACAACAGGGCACTAAAAAGCTGACTGCTAGCAACGTCTACAAGAACTTAACTTTGTGAACGAACAATTAGTAAACTTTCTTTTCAACTTGGACTGAGTTGAACATTTAGCTTTATGTAATCAATACTCCAAATAACAGTTCATCATATGTTGATCCAGCAATGGCTTTAGTGAAAAGACTTGAAGCGTTAAATCATTTTTACACATAAAACACTGAAGAGATGTAAAACTCACTTTTAATTGCCATGTCGTTACAGCTATCTCCCAAAAGTGACTGGTCTTCTAAATCTGTTTGAACTCCTTTGTTCATAAATGATTGTTTTGAGTCACCCGTATTCATATTTTCATTTTCACATTTTTCTGTACCAAAAGAAAGAGGTAAAACTCTGTTAAATATTAAATATCTGTAATTTGCAAAATTGAAAACATTCCAGCTTTTGTTTTGTTTTTATCTTCTTGTCTGTCAGAACTAGATTGGAATTCATTGATGACTAATTTTGCCCCGGACACGTGAACAGAGGTTTGCCTGTTAGTATGTAATATTGTAATGATATTATTTTTAGTTACACAATTGTCCCATACACATCTAAAAACTATGTTGCTTTTTTGTTATCGTCTTCAAATCTTTACAGAGCTCCCTAAAAGAAGGCATGTTGTGGTTGTGGTTTTTTTTTTGTTTTTTTTTACTTTCAGTTATCTTTTCCTTATCTTAATGGTTACACCCTTGCTTTTATATATTTATTTTCCTCCTTGTGCAAGATCTCAATATCTTTATCCCCTCTATTTATTATGTCACTCGTTTGCAATTCTACAGGACTCTTTTTTTACTAATCAATCTTAGGCAAATTACCAATTGAAATAAACTTTGCTTAAAAATCACACCCGCCATAAGAAAAAGCTATTCCTATTTTTTTCTTATGTATAATTAAAAAAATAAGGCAAATTAAGAAATAAATACATAAAACAAGAGGAAATAGAAGGACAATAAAATGATTCAATTAAAAAAAACTAAATCTGAAAAGATGCAGTGCTGCCTAAAGAATCCCTTTGTACAATGTCATATGACTTGGATAAAAAAAAAGATTGTATCCCTACACTAAAAAACCATCTAGATACCCTTTTCATCAAATGTCATATGTATCTATATTTTAGAATTATTAAAATCTTTGATACATAAAACACTGATTAATTCTGAATTCATTCACACTATTTTTTATAAATAAAATAATACCAATTTGCTCATACATGTGTACACGGAGAATTGGGACACTTTTTAGAATGCATATTCAGTTTCGGCCAAATTACAATTCATCCAAATTTGCGCTAATTGGCTGTTCAGCCAAATTCCTTATATCCAAATCGCCATACGAAAGTCTAATTTAACAAACACTTAGTGTGATGACCAAACATGTTCATTTGATTTGGTATTTGGAGTTCCACTCATGTCACCAAACAAGATAATTGATCAGCAAACAAAGATGATTGATGCCACTAAATATTGATATTATCCGCAAATCAAGCAAGAAGTGACCAAAAGAGGGACAAAAGCAGTAAATAAATCTATATTTATATATTGCATAACATTGCATCTGACCAGACATCTATTCTGGAAACAGCACTGGTACACTGAGCTAGAGTGGACAGTTAGAGAAGACGGGTCATTTAATTACTACAGGTGGGAAGCATTTATGTACTTCCTTTCAACATGTGTACATTATAACACCAAAGATAAGAACAGATTCAGACTTTAACTCATGCTAAAATGAATACAACCAGAATACATTTTTGTGATCGCCTCTTCGTGATAGAGAAGATGTGGACATTATTACACTGAGTTACTCACTGTTGCAATTATAACCAGAGAGATGCAATAATGTCATGCAAACAAGCAGAAGGATAACAACTGGTCATGTCCCCAAATTAGTGCTAAACAAAATTAATGATATTTATTACTGAGCTTGAAGAACAGCAGCAGTTGAAGACCTTAGGAAGGGTGGTCATTGAAAATAAATGCAATATTTTTGTTTTTTGTACATTTTATTTAAAATGCTAAATTGTATTTAAAGGACTACTCCACACCCATAAAACACTTCAGCTTGAGGAGTATCCTATTTCAATCCCATTTTATAAAAATGATGAGTTATGTGTTAAATTTGAACTTTTATAATTAAATTGTGGGACACCCCCTGGCTTTCAATAAAACATTAATAGAGGTCTGCATTCTCCTTCCATTAGCTCCCCTGAGCAAACAGACGTGAGAGGTGCAATCAACTTGAGCGTGCCTGCTTTCTCCTCCACAGACCTCATACCAGTGTATTCAGCAACTCCAGTGCCTCCACAGACTTCAGACCAGGCACCCACGGCCATGAACAGAAGCACTCGCCTGCATGCACAGATTCAGAGGCTTCTCAATTAATACATAAAAAAAAAAAAAATGTATGTAGTCATTTGGGGGATATTTACAAAACAGTGTTTTATTTTTCCCACAAATGTCAGTACATTACGGTCACTCAGGCCATTCTAAGGTCCAGTCCATTCAAGTGTTGCAAAAGAGTCATCGGGTGCAGAGAGATATGCGAATACAGTCAATAGGTAAGTACAGTAACATGAATTGTTATGAAAATAAATGAAAAAACAAAGCCATTTGTATGTCAGATTTATTCATCCAACATCATAATAAAACCCACAAAAACACAGACTACAAAGAATAAGTAAAACATCAAGTAGGTAGAAGTCAGGAATTTAGAAGAAAAGTTGACAGACGAGTTTAGTTATTGTAAATCGAGTGGAAAATCGGGGCGGATGTAAATGTCAACTGTTCAACCCAAATTGCCGTATACTTTTCCATATTGTCAGAGGAAATGGAAAGTAATTCTTATACAAAGTGAACATCTTCAACCTTAGTCATGCATTCAATGATTGGCTGAGACATTGTTTTTCCAATAAAGAAGGAAGAGACTTTATACAGGTTTTAGAAGCAGTATTTTTAGTGACAGACATGAAGATCTATGTGCAGACATATGTAGCCTGGAAGTAATTATATGTTCTGTCAGACACTTGACACTTAGTTATAATATCTACACTTGACCAGTAAGACCTAATGGTGGGACATTCCCAACATACATTAAATATGGTACCTGCAGTGGTTTAAAAACACCAACATTGTCCATTCAATTGTCAATTTATTTTGGGTGCATTGAGAGAGAGTTTATGTCCAGATTTCCCATTAGGCAGAGTAGGCACCTGTTTTCAGAACTAATAATGTGCTTTTTTCTTTAGCTTAAATAGGCTAGTGTGGAGATAAGTTCTAGGATCTTTAGCCAGTTCCCTCTGTAGCCCAGTCAACCTTAATAGAAGACCTGCTGGAACAGTTCTAGAGGGTGTAAAGCTCAGTGCTGACCCTGCATCTCCAGCGTCTGTATTTGAAGCTGGACAGAAAGTGGAATGGGATCACTTTCCATCTACAAACCAACATCCTCTCACACAGGAAATGCCTTGCAGGAGGAGCTTTATTTGATACACACTGTATAACCACTCATGCAACTCTAATATCATCAGTTATAGGAGACTGACTGGGTAACAAAAGACATTGTCACAGCGCAGGGGGTTTGTATCGACGTGACTTCGCCTGATCAGTACGGCTGTACTGATACTTTAGATAAAAGTAAGTCCCTGATTGGCGTGGCCGCACATGAGCAGGGCAGACGCACTGAAAAGGGAAAGTTTAACTTACCTGGATCGCGGCAGAGTGCCGCCCGATCCTCCCAGAAAGTTATCGATATCGACTTTTGGGGTCAAAAGCCATGTACTAACCAATCACTAAACCCTGTAATGCCTTTTCTCAGTGCCCTGTCATGGTTTCCACTTGTTGGTTGTCAGAGAGCACGTACTTGGTATAATTTCTGGCTTATGTTTTTTACTTTACTTACCTACTTCTGGTATACTGACCCTTGGCTAGTTTATTCTTATTTACTCATTCTGTGTCCCCGACCTTGGCTCTTTTATGTTAACTCCGGCCATTCTAAGGTACGGTATACGTTATTTGTGTTAATATAGTTTTGCCTGTTGGATCACACAGTAATCGTGACAAACATAGGAGGATGAGTACTTTGTAAAACCACCTTCACACTACAGCACTCAGAGCCTAAACCTGAAAATAAACCCTTTAGTTTTTAAGAGGAGTTAAACAGACGATTAAGCTAAACATGTCATCTCCGCTCGGCCAGTGACCTTCTCCTATGCACTGCTCACACCCTTACTGCTAACTCGTACTTGCTGGACTGTTCATGGGCGGCTCCTTTGCTTTGGAAAGGGCCTACCTACCCTCATCATACTCTCCCCTAGTCCTCAATCATTTAAGAAGTCCCTCAAAACCCGTCTGTTCAGAAATTCTTATGCCTCCTAGAGTAACTTCTATGTCACAAATCTGTCTCTGGCTCTCTCCTAAAGAGCCACACTCTCACCTCCAGTTCTGCTACTGTTCCAACTTCTTTGTTTGCTGAGCCCCTGATGCCCTACCTATTGTGTCTTTATACTCCACTCCTCTAGATTGCAAGCATGCCTGAGCAGGGCCCTCATCTACTTATTGTTACTGTAACACATTGTAACTGTCTGATTTATTGTTACATTTCCCATGGGGAAACCACTTGAAGCATTTGTTGTGTTGAGATATATCAATTACTTTTGTTTGATTTGTTCATTGCAAACATCTGACAATCTGTCCATTTTGACAAAAAGCCTGATTTTTAATGGGGGTTGAATCATTTTAAATACAACTGAATGACATCTCAAATACATATAGCTTTATTAGCTGATCATGAGATGCTTAAAACCCTCTGTACTTGGATTTTTGCAATGCCTTTTGATTTTTTTACAAAATGAAATACGTTATAAAGAAAGCATGCCCAACTCAATTCATTAACAATATATCCATGAATTTTATACAATCGTTTGTCAGATAATAGTAAACCAGGGCTTCAAGCTTCCTTTATCCTAGATTGTGATGAATGATTAATGGTGTCTCACTTCCTCAAGCTAATTTCGTATCAACTTCCTCTGTACTTACAAAAAATGCCATCCTGAAAAATGTCTCTCTCTCTCTCTCTCTCTCTCTCTCTCTCTCTCTCTCTCTCTCTCTCTCTCTCTCTATATATATATATATATATATATAATTATTTGTAACAGTTCCATATGTAGCAGTTTGATTATAACAATGTTATTCTTTGTACTATCAACACAATTACTCAAACTCACATGAACTTAGCTTAGATCAGGAATTCTTGATAGGGTGGTGTGCAATAGCTAAAGCAAAAGTAGTTATATACTAAGGCAGAGATAGGCAACCTGTGGCACGTGTGTCATGCACGGCACTCAAGGTGTCTTTGCACGGCACTCAAGGTGTCTTTGCACGGCAATCAAGGCTGCCAGAGCCAAACAGGGTCTGACCTATCAGGAGTCCCAGTGAAACTTCAAATATCTGCTAATACGAAAAGGTGGTGAAGGACAATCCTTAATTTATGCATTGCAGCACTTGTGACTGGGAATCGACACTGGAGTAGAGCAGCCTACAGCTGCTGTTGCAGCTCCTGTGCTTGACCTGTACCTGGCCAGCCTGGTCCTCACCGTAACCCTGGGAAACCACCCACACTGCTAGACATACACAGAAATGCAGAATAACCCTCCTCTCCGACAAATAATACGAACAGCCCACACACAAACATACACACAATCCACACAAACGCAACACCACTAACAATCCACATACTTGCACCCTCTCACATACAATACCCCAAATAGCCCCACACATACACACACACACCAAACACACTATGTGACATTTCCATCTACACAAACAATTCCACAAGCAGCCCCATACACAGCCCTAATTCATAGGGATCACACACACACACACACAACACCACAAACTACACATGAACATGTACAATATAATAGCTAATATACACACAAATACAACGATACAAAGCAACTGCTGTACAAATAACACAAGCAGAATACAGCAACCTCAAGCTATCACAATTGTATTAAGGCAAAGTGCTGCTAAAAGGTTGTCTACCCCTGTACTAAGGATATGCAATACTTCTCAGTCTGACCAATCTCACTTTTGAATGACTTACCACTCAACATAAAGGAAAGAAACCCGGGCATAAGAGATACTAGTAGCTTATCCTAAATACTTTAAATACTGTTAATTACCAGGAGCTCAAAGGTTAAGACATGTTTCTGTAACATGGAAACCACAGGTAAGGACGATGGATGGCTAAAAGACAAAAACAGAATATTGTCCTAGCCCGTCAGAGACATAAAGACGTTAAGTAATAAAAACAAATGAATATGTATTTCAATAAATGATTCACCTGCAGTTACTGCGGTTTTAAAGCAAATAAAACAGTCATTCTTATAAAATATTACTGGACTGAAATCTCCTTTTTAATAAGTATATAGCTTTACTTCTCATAAAGGGTGTTATAGTGAAACTACAGTTAACTTGTAAGTAGTCAGTGGAAGTTCCAGGAAAGGTTTTGCATGGTAATGAAATGTCATGAAGTATTGTGAGCATGACTCACACTGGAATCCAGTACATCTGGAAGATGCAGCCTTGTCAGCAAGCTGTTGTTTTCTTCTCAATTAGAATATAAATCGGATCTAGAATTCTGAGCGCTGAGTTTAAAACAGAAATAAACTGTATTTTTTCTTTTGAACTTATCCTTTGAGACTAAACATGAAACATATATGTTACCTAAGCATTAGGAGAAACAGGTGAGTAGAGATTAAACGTGATCCATGTATTTTGTAAGAACAAGCAAATGTGTAGATCAAAAAGAACTATCATTGCTGAACATGCAATTGATTTATTCCAGAGTACACATACACATACAGTTTTATATACAGTTTTTGTAAATATAACCCCAAAGAAAACGTATGTCGTTTTTGAAAAAAAAAAAAAAACAGCTTGCAAAGGCTGCAGACTTGCTGGCAGCAGCATTTGGAAGCTCTCCTGTTATTCCCCAGCGCAGACTTTCACATAGTTCGTTAATAAAGTGAGAAGCCAGAGAGGTCAAACTGAAATCATAGATGGAGAGAATTAAGAGTATTTTTACATTTCGGGCATCTTGATCTTAAATCTGAAATTCACTTTGAATTCTCACTATAGTAAATAACAATATCAGTCTGTGCTGGAAAAGACTCTAAACAGAAGTTTCTGTGATGGAGGTGCGATCAAATGCATGTTGTACAATTTATTGGGGGAAGGAGGGGGTTGGGGGATAAGCCTGCTGCTTCCATTAGCTCTGTGGAGCTGACAGAAGAGGAAGAAAACCTCCCTGGATGCCAGGGAGGTGTTTTTGCCCCCAATTATAAAAGTGCACTACTACTAAAACCAAAACATCTTAATGTAGTGGTTTTGGTGCACAGACCCTGTCACTGCAGATCCCTGACAGATGTAAACTTTACATAAGCTGGTAAGGATGTCTGTTATGGCCAACAATCAGACAAACTGTCTGTCAGTCAGGCAGCTACTACATGCTAATCGTGCAAATTCTAATTTTTATAAAATAAGCCTGCAGGAACTGCCAAGTAACTTCTAAAGCACTTCAGCAAGCTTAAGTCTTTTAGGGGACTGGAGTTCCCCTTTAATGTGTGCTTATATGAAGTCTAACAGATATTTTTGTGGAGAGTGTGTAGAAAATTTGTCAATTGTCATTAGGGCCACCTAATGGGTATTGCTGAACAGGGGCACAGTCAAGAGCAGCCCTTTAACAGCACAACTGGGCCCCTGTAGATTTGGCAGGAAATGGAGTCTGTCACTTCCTCCAAGCTACATAGAAAGCAGGGAGAACGGAGGAGACACGAGAAGGATGAGAACAGAGAGCCATCAGCAGGCGCACACTCTCATCAGCCGAACCCTAGGGAAGTCACCCTCCTGCACATAAAAGGTATTTTATCAGGAGGGTGGCTAAAAATAAAAGAATTATGATGTGTGTCAGTTTTAGTATTTGTGTGTGTGTGACAGTGTGTGTATATGTGTATGTGTCTCTGTGTAAATATGTACCTATATATGCATACATCCCATCAAATACTAACACAACATGCAAGCACACCTATGCTGTCAAACACCAAAATTATGTACAAAATCACCCCTTCATTCAAATAACAATACTACACAAAAGTTAACATTTAAAAACTTATACTACATACAAACACATCCCTAAATTCAAAGACAGTACACCACTGCATTCCAATGGCAACAGTGCATACAAATACAACCCTTTCATGTGCATACACATATTCCATACAAAACATGATTACATTCAAATGCACAAACGCTGCTCACAAATACAACCCGGCAACGATAGACAAATGGTAGATCCCCAGCTGGCAAAGCATCGTGAAAGTTGTACAACAGATGGGGATCTACCATTTGGCCATCCTTGTGCTAGAGAGGATGCCCAAAGAGGTTCTTGCACCAGTGCCCTCCCTACATTAGTTCGGCCACTGCATTAAGATGAAGTGTGTTGTTGCTCAGAGTATACCTTTAATTCATCTCTTAGTGCTACATGTTATTTAGCAATACAGTGTAAGCACAAAGCTACACATTTAACACACTAAAACCATAGATAATCATCAACAGGTGCTATAAGATTGAGTAAGATAAAGATATTGAGAGTCCTTTTCAGAGATTGCAGACTTCTAGAAGATGTAATGCCATTGTTGTGGTGTTTTGTATGAGAATGATGCACGACTCACTGCTTTGTTGTACGGTGAATGGAGGGTTAGGGGCTGTAAGTGTATTTTCGGTTATAGATAAGTGAGCTGCGCATGTTACTTACTAATGGGAGAACGTGATTATAGAGTGTACTGGAGAAGTGATTATGAACCGGGAAAGATAAGTGAAGTGTGATTTGGTACCAATTCTCCTACCTCATTAAAGACTTTGTTAGTGTTTTAGAAATCTGTCTCACATTCTCTTTTCATTGTTGCAGGAAACTTACAAAAACATACACAGGTTTATTTACTAAAGTGAAAATTGTTAGGAGTTCCAAATGAATTCCAAACGAATACTGAACGTAAGGCCAAAATAGCTAAACTTGAAAAATTCTCCAAGTTATCACTACTTCCGGTTTAGCTGCTTCACTTTGAATTCCACACAATTCTCACTGTAGTAAATAACTCAGACAGCGAGAAGAATGCCAGCACATTCTTTCTAAGAAAATTTATAAGAGCAATCCTATTAGGTGCATTCTGATCTTTCGGCATAACCACGAAATTGTAAATTGTGAAAATAGTCACTGACACTTAGTAAACAACTTTGCGCAGTATCAACAAATGAGATTTTAAAGGTTCTACCTACCTACATTTAAAAGGTCCAATGAAGGACGCTATACTTTTTCAAGTGCAGTCGGAGGCGTTGCCCGGAGGAAAAAAAAAAAAAATATTCCTCATGTAAACTTGTATAACTGAAAATGTAGCTCAGTGTAAAGAGTGGAGCATTTTATTTATGCAGGCTAATTTCAAATGTCAAAGTTTAAAAATTTAAATAAAACCTTTTTTTGTGAGTATTAGTGCCGTGATGATCTGCCATTCACGCATAGACATCAAATATTTGTAGCTCCAAGACAATAGAGACAGAAGAATTATGGTAAAAATTAGGGACTTTTTAACCTATCGAAGAATGACTCCCGAGAGGTATAAATTGATATAAACATGCACAATATGACTGAAACCAGTTAATCTTAGCAGCAGATCGTGGCGGAAACCACCAACCACTCATATACGATTAAAAGGTTTGGGTAAGGTGCAGATAGAGACTTTGTTTTTTTTATCACAAAGAAATCTCAGTGATCTGTTCCGGTATTATAAATATATAAAAGTCACAAGAATTAGTCATTATCACTGGGATTGTAAAGCAGTACAAAAAAAAAAAACTTTAAATGAAAATTCAATTCTGACAAATACATTTTCTGCTCCCACATATCCAGTGCAGAAATACTGGTTAACAAACATGAAAGAGACAAATGAGTTTCAGTATTCTCTTGAATACATGTATGCCTTATTACACAATACTAAATTGAACAGACGTAGCAAGAAAGCATCCGACTAAATAAGAAAGAAGCGGAGAGCTTAACACAAAGTTGCTGTTTTTTTCCAAGTGTAACATAACAATACTTACAGCATACCTCACAAATTCAGAACATTTCTCAGACTTTATTAAGTTAGTAAAGAATAAAGTTTCACAGCAAAAAAATTATAAATTTATTATAGAACAATTTACCACATAGGTGCAGCTAAATAATTTAAGAGCTGCAGAATACTGTATAGTGGTTTTCGCACACTTAAGGAACACTAAAACATTCGGAATATAAACCTGTCCTTGGTAAAGTACACGTTCACCACTCCATATACATGTTTTTGTGATAAAAAAATTTTTTTCATTTTTAAAATGTTTTACTTACCTTTTTTTCTTGTGCTGAGGCTGCCTCCGTGCTTCTTACCTCTCCACCTTCAGCAACGTAAAGGAGCATTGGGGATCTGATGGACATGTGTGGTGAGAGCTGTACACGCATCCAAACTCCCCGTAGGAAAGAATTGAATCAATGCATACAGACACTTAAAACTCTGGTCTGTGATGGTGACGGACTGTACTTAATTCTAAAGAAGTTTACTGATATTTGTATAGATTATATTAACATACAGATTCAGTTTAGGCATTGTTCAGGCAGGTGCGGCTATTGTATGATGTAAAGTGTATAACTGTCCTCGTGCGCAAATTGTTTTGAATCTGCCAGAAAAGTTACAAATTATATTGTGTATATGAAATTTCTGAAGCAGATTGACAAAATTGCTAAATAAAAAGCCTGTGATTGAAACATTTCCCTAGAATATTCGTCAATATGTAACAAACACAAAGGTCTAACATCTCATCTCTTGATAATGTCCAAAAGCTGATTTTGTTGGCCTGATAAAATGGGTGTTTAGGACAAAGAAAATAAATTCTTTCACATCCATTCAGATGGTGTCCCTTTATTTTAGCACCCAAAGAGAACACAGCAGCCCAGAAAACCAGGGAACAGCATACTGTACCAACTAATTTGGGCACTTAAATTAAGGGACACCATCTGAAAGGGCGTGCTGGAATTTCTTTTTCTTTTTTGATATCTGTATTGACTTTGGTGGAGGTGGCCTCCGCGCATATTGAGTGGTAGGTGCTGTTACCTTGTTTTCTTGATTCTATGATAAAATAGGTATTATCAACCCAAAACTGGATGGAGCCTGCCAGTGCAACAGACAAAATCACCTCTTCATTCTCTCATGCAGGTGCACCAGTAATGACCCACATGCTTAAATATTAAGTTTAATGGTCTCTATTGCAAGAGAGTTCTCAGCAGTGGCTGAGGACGTTTACCACCACAATGAATGTGAGACGGTATACAACTGTAGATAACTGACAACAGATGGCATCCCATCCTACAGCAGTAGACACTGAGTGCTTACAACAAAATGAAAAAGTAAAAAGAAATGTAATGTTTCTACAACTGGAAAGTAAGGTGGATAGAATAGCCACTAATTGTATTTGGTATATTTGTGCCCATTTAAATCATTACATTCGTAATCCAAGGTATTTCCTTTTTAAAGAACCAATACAGAATGTTTGAAGTTTGGATGAAAATAAATGAAATCACTGCATGTATTTAAAAACGGTGTACTATAGACAGGCTTAGTTTGTAACATTGTGTACTGCATCACAAATAGTTTACATTTTGCCTCTCGTCTGAAAAATACGCAAACAAACACGAGAGTTAGAATAACTCTGTATGAAGCTTTTCTGTAAAGCGTAACCATCCCAAACTCATAAAATATGTGTGTGGTTTTGATAACCACCCATTGTTCGAAAACAAAATAACCACACTTGAAAAAGCATTCCAGTAAAATAGGCAGGAAAAGTCAATTTAATATTACGGGAAAAATTCCAAATTGAATACATCTTCAGTATACAAAGTAGTCCTAACTTGCAATAATAATACATTATTATATTGGTCTCAATAGAAAATAATAATAAAAAATATAGAAATTTAGGACATTAACACTGTGTACCCAGACAGCTTGCTTCTTTTTCCGCCGTTATAACAGAACGTAAAAGGTCAAACTGTTTTTCTTAAAGAAACACTAGTTTTAGGAATACAAAGATGTATTCCTAATACTAAAGTGTCCCTCTGCCCCCATGCCCTGCTCTCCACGTTCAAGAAAGGGTTAAAAAAAAAAACCTTTCATTCACTTACCTGATTCCAATATTGAAATCACAAAACGCTGAGTCGCACCCCCTCCTCCGCCAACATCAGCCGATGGGTGTCCTAATGTACCTGCAATGCTTTTCTTGGGGGTTTTGTTTAACGCTGTATGTTCTCATGCAAACATAAGGACATCCAGCATCATTTTCAAACTCTGTGAAACTGAAGGCTGTCTTAGCACTGCAATGTAAACTGGTCTAAAACTGCAATAATTTACATTGCAGTGTTAAGGGAACAGTGACACTGCATCCATCAATGAGATGAAATGCTCTGGGTGCGTATTGTGTCCCTTTAAAACAAGGTTTAAGTGGAGTAGTTGCTCAAAAAGTCTCAAAATAACTTTCCAAGTCTGACCAGAGTAATATCAGTCTCTCGGTTATTATGTGCCCTAGCCAGTGCTTGCAGTTATAGCTAAGGGGTAACCATAGCAATCACAGAACATGTGCTGTGGTTGCTATGCATGGAGGCAGGACAGCCTGTGGGAGATTTGTCTTGCTCAATATGTCTGTCAGTTCTTCAGCACGGAGGTCTATTTAGATTTAACAGGGGTGGGCAACCTTCGGCCCTCCAGATGTTCTGCACTACATTTCCTATAATGCTCCTACAGTCATAATGCTGGCAAAGCATCAAGGGAGATGTAGTCGACAGCATCTGGAGGGCCGAAGGCTCCCCATCCCGATTTAGAAGAAGTGATTGGTAAGTAAGAGAAAAAATGATTTTGAAATGTATTTTTCTCCCAAGCTATATATATGCTATCAATTCTATTACCTCAATGTATATCTGTATGAAATTCTCAAAAGAGAAATCTTCTGGAATCTTTAGAAGTATCTAAACATTTCAGTCATAATAAAAGTAATCCACACCCATATTAGAGACATGTTGTTCATGGTAGAAAACATTACATTACTCGAAGAATCAGAATTATGTCAGCCTATAATAATACTTTTGTCATATGCAATAAACAAAATGTGACTGTGACTAATGCAGAAAATAAGCATATGATTAGGTGTGCAATTCCATTAGCAATTCGACTGCATTTATTTTTGTGTGTCATCGGAAATTGGGTACAATGTTGCAAAATGCATATTCTGTCTTTTTGTTAGTTTTTGCCAGTTAAAAGAAAATATAGTGATTTTCTTTGCTGTAAGGCATTTCATAGCTGTGAAGATTTTTAGTTTAATGTTTCAATGGTTACTGAGTAAGCACCCTGAGGTATTTAGAATAACTGAGCAAATAAATGGCTCATATAAATTAATCAACCAAATGCACATGACATTCTACTTGTGAAAAAAAATATTAATTTTGTATTTATATTTTTTGTTTGCTCCATTTATTGGAAGCAATGAGTCACAACAAAACTAAGAGACAAGAGAGCTAATTAATATATTTTTTAAATACTTCGTGCAGACAAAGAAGGTATTTATGTTGCTATGATTGAAAGTGTCCAAGAAGTAAATTTAATTTTATTGTAAACAAACGTTCAAAATATTTACAAATAAAACGAAGACTGGCTTTAAAGAAACCTGCAGAACGCTATGAAATTGCAAACAGAGGTCTAACATTAAATTTTATTGGCATTCTCAGAAGTATACTTTTGTTTTTAAGTCAAAACATGTGTTAATCATGAACACAGAACTGTACATCTGCATCAGACAATGTAGATGTAATTATTTTTTCAGTTACAATGTAGATCACAAATATATGTAGAATTTCTATGTCACTGTAATTCGCCTGGGACTCAGTATGATGAAAGAAGAGGTAAAACCAAAGTCCACATGAAACATCAATCACAAACAAAAGCATTCTATAGATCAGGCATAGGCAACCTTCGCACTCCAGATGTTTTGGACTACACCACCCATGATGCTTTGCCAGCATTATGGGTGTAAGAGCATTATGGGGGATGTAGTCCACAACATGTGGAGTGCCAACGGTTGCCCACCCCTGCTATAGATCCTGGTGCCATTGCTCTTTGTCTTTAGAGTCTTATGAATTCTTATAGAGTCCATCTCAAAAACTTCTCCTCTTTGAGTGGCATTCAAAGGGTTAAGCAGGTGTGCATTTTATTTTTAGCATTGTGTGTGATGAAATGCACTCCTTAAAGTCACAGTGCCTAAAACCACATAGGGGTGAAAAAAGATTTAAGGATTTCTTCACTAAATGTAAATTGTGGTGAGCTGAAGACTGAATTGCAAAACTCCTGCTGAAATGGACGAGAGTTGCATATATTTTATTTGGAGAGTTTTCCCACTTGTTTCTGCCCAAATTCAATGCACCACAATATATTATTAGGAAAGCTTTAGTGCCTATGGGTACATGGAAGAGTCACGTTATAATGTGATTTCCAGTTACTGCATTGCATAAAGAAATGGGATTAAAGGGCATTGAGCTAAACAGTGAGGAATTGCTGGAAAGTCACTAGACAGTATTGCAGTAAACATCAGTAGGCATTAACCCCTTAAGGACTGAGCCAAATGTACTCGTTGTGATCAAAACAAAACATAAACAAAACCTGGAATTTGACTATATGTCTGTTCAACTGTAATTCACCTCATTCATATTAAGTGCACCCACACTTATTATATATCATTTTATTCAGGGGGAAAAGGGCTTTCATTTTACAGCATATATTTAGCTATAAAACATAATTTAATTTGAATAATATATAAAAAAAAATGGGGGAAAATAAACTGTAAATGTCATAATACGGTTTGCTTTTACTGCAATAAAAAACACATTTGTATTCAGCAATATAAAACAGTACCCCCTATGTACAGGTTGTATGGTGTTTTGGGAAGTTACAAGGTCAAATCTAGCATGTTACATTTTTCAGTTTTTTCACGTTGAAATTCATCAGATTGGTTATGTTGCCTTTGAGACTGTATGGTAACCCAGGAATGAGAATTACCCCCATGACGACATACCATTTGCAATAGTAGAAACCCCAAGGTATTGCAAATAGGGTATGTCCAGTCTTTTTTAGTAGCCACTTAGTCACAAACACTAGCCAAAGTTAGTGTTAATATTTGTTTGTGTGTGAAAAATGCAAAAAACTAATTTGACCGCCTCCCTCAAGTGTTGCTACTCCTGTGTCTGTCTCCCTCCAAGTCAACAGTGTTATGATCAGCTCCACCATGCAGGCTTGCTGCCTAGGTGAGCTCTTTGACTCTGACCTCTCCTTCACACCTCATGTTCAGTCTTTCGCCAAATCCTGCCGCTTCCATCTCAAAAACATTGTGCGCATCCGACCCTACTTAACACCAGATGAGACTAAGGTGCTGGTCCATTCCACTGTCATTTCTTGCCTTGACTACTGTAATCCGCTTCTCAGTGGTCTTACGTACTCCCAACTAGCGCTGTTACAGTCCATAATGAATGTGGTGGCGAGGCTCATCTTCCTGTCCGCTCGCACCGCCCACGCCTCACCCTTCTGTCAGTCCCTACATTGGCTTCCTGCAAGATATAGGGCTCAATTTAAAATCCTGGTAATTGCTGTCAAATCTCTACATAATGCTGCTCCCACCTATCTTTCCTCCCTAATACACAAGTTTGTCCGGTCTAGGCCCTTACACTCTGCTGAAGACTTACGTATTTTTTCTGTCCGTACTCCCACCTCTGTTAGATGCCCACCCAGTCTCCACTCCTTCAAAAAAATCATGAAAAACACACTTCTTCATAAAAGTGTATCAATTAAACGGTTAATAGCTCCCTACTGATTCCTCTCTTGCAACTGTCTTTAGTCTAATACTATCCTTACCTTTTGTGTCACTTTATCCCACTCCCTCTAGCATGTAAGCTCATTGAGCAGGGCCCTCAACCCCTCTGTTCCTGTGTGTCCAACTTGTCTGGTTACAACTACATGTTTGTTCGTCCACCCACTGTAAAGAGCTGCAGAATTTGTTGGCGCTATATAAATAATAACAAAATAATAATAATAATAATAATATGTGTATATATTTGCTTAGATCATATATATAAATATATATTCATATGGTCTAAGTATTTATAATTTTATTTTTTGAACCATTTTAAACTTTATTTTAACTTTTTTCAGGCAGCTGTCATTCTAGGCACTCCCCCTGCTGGCATTGCTGTGAGCGTGTATGCCGTCCATGTGATTGTGAGATCCTCGCAAGGACCTCGTGATCACATGGCCCAGGAGGGCCGGAACGGCTGCAGAGGGACTCCCTGGCATGCCAGGTGAGTCCCTCCACCACGATCGCCGGCGAGTGGGTAAGTACATAGGACGGCGGAGACGTGCTATGCCCCCGCCGGCGTTTAGAGCAGGGTCCCCAAGGACGGCATAGCACACCCGCCATCCTTAAGGGGCTAAAGGAACACTACAGTGTCAGGAACACAAACATATATTTCTGACACTATCGTCCTGGTATGTGGCTGTTTAGGTCCCAGGACCTGCTCAGATTGCACTAAAAAGGTGTTTTTACTCACTCTTAATCCCTTGCTGCAGTTGACTCTACCTCCATGGCTGAGATCATCAATCTTGATGATCTCAACAAATCCACTGTTTTCCTATAGGAAAGCATTGGGAGGCTATTGCGCATGCCCGGCAAAATGCTGCGGTGGGTCAATCAATGCATCTCAATGGGGAACGTTCAGCACCTCTATGTCCTGCATTGACTAGGAATCACCTCTGGTATACATCTGAGAGACTGTCACTAGACGTGTTACTAACCAGAAATGAAAACAATACATTTTCTCTGAAAAGGCAGTGTTTACACTGCAGAGACAGGTTACAGACACAAGGTCCACCAACGTACATGATGTCAGGTTAGATAAGTGGTTGCTTATTCACTAATGGCAAGTTTTAAAAAGTCGCCTATTGGAGCTGTCACACCGTGATTTATCCTCAAGTACGGATGGAATTAGACAAAGACAGCTATACAGTAGACAGTTATGCTGTCGATGACTGCTAGTAAATCAGTGCCATTATATTGAAAGATTCATACCTGACTAACGAACGTTTATTTGGATTAATATGACTAAAACCATCTGTTTACAAATGAACTAGGCGCATTCTGTGATATACATAGCTCTTGTAGATTTATTAAGATTTTTATTAACACTGGTTTTACATTGATCTGTAATACAGGAACAGATGTTCATTGCAAGGTCAATTAAACATACAATATTGTATAATAAGCTGCTAATTATGTCACATACAGCTCCATTTAGCAAAATATGCTGTAGACACATTAAAAAATCTAATCATGTAACCAACTAATATAGACAGAAGCAGGCACAAAACTCCAGCTGGCATAGCCCACCAGGGTCTGTTGGTTAAGAGGGTATGAGAATACTGTTTATATAACATTTAGAGCAGAATTATCACTACTGAGATTTTTGCACAAGCCAGCAGCTAACTAATGGTTAGCTATGAGGAAGTGCTTTAATCTCTCTACAATTCTCAGCAGTTGTATGTTTTAATTTACATAGTATGCTCAGTCGTCCAGGCACAGCCCGGGCATATCATGCAAATTAAATTAACCCTTACTGTGCCATAAATATACACAAAACTACTGAAGGAATGACAAGGGCGCATGCACACTTACACAGATGCAGGGTTGGGCAATCTTTGGAACTCCATCTGTTGTGAACTACATCTTCCTTGGTGCTTTGCCAGCAGATGGAAGATGTAATCATCTGAGTGTCAAAGGTTGCCTACCCCTTGGCCCTGGAGCATTATGGAATGACAATGACACTTTGAACACAAATGTGCTATTGCAATTAGTATGTTTTTTTACTTACCTTCTTGACTCTCATCCTTATTAATATTAACTATTAAGGCTTTGGAAGAAGAAAGAACACTGAGAAGTGACTTTTCCACTTAAAACTATACACTCTCTTTTCCATAATTTATAAATCCATATAAATATTTTTGTAATGTAGGTTGCACCAGAATCTGATTGTAGTACTTGTATAATATATCGACCCAAAATGAGAAAAGACAAATGGTGCAGATAGTGTAACAATATTTTCAGGAGTCTACATACTTATATAGAATTACACTATCTGCACCATTTGTCTTTTCTCATTTTGGGTGGATATATTCTACAAGTGTTACAATGGAATTTTGGTGCAGTCTTTTTCATATCTATCATCTGAGATATGTACCATATCTCCACAGGGCCGGACTGGCCACCGGGATACTGGGAAATTTCCTGGCGGGCCACAGCAAGCTGGCCAGGCAGACAGCAGGGAGACCTGTCAGTCTCCCTTCACAGGGAAAATCAATTTCGGCTGCATGCCCCGCCCCCACATGCAAGATCCGCCTCCTGAATGGAAGCTGCGCCCCCACACACGTTGATGACCTCACTGGAAAGCTGCCCACCGGACCAGCAGGAAATAGTTACAGAAAACTAAAAGGCTATTTACCTTTTCACAGCTTCCCCTACCCTTCCCCTACCTGCCTCACAATCCCCCTACCCACCTCACAGTCTCCCTACCCACCATACAGAACACCTACCCATCTCACAGCCCACCTTACAGTCCCCCTACTCACCTTACAGCCCCCTTACCCACTCACAGCCCCCCTACCCACCATACAGAACCCCTAGCCACCTCACAGCCTACCTCACAGCCCCCTACCCACATTACAGCCCCTACCCACACCACAGCCCCCCTGCTGACCTCACAGCCCCCCTACCCACAATACAGAAGCCCTACCAACCTCACTGTCCCCTCACAGTCCCCTACCCCTTCCACAACCCCCTTACCTCCCTCACAGCCCCTACCCACCATACAGAACCCCTACCCACCTCCCAGTACCCATACCCCACCGCCCACTACCACCTACCCACAGCCCCCCCCTACCCAGCAGCCCCTACCCCACTCCACAGCCCCCCTACCCACCTCACAGCCCACCTACCCACCTCACAGTCCCCCTACACACCTTACAGCCCCTTACCCACTCACAGCCTCCCTACCCACCTAACAGCCCTCTACCCACCATACAGAACCCCTACCCACCATACAGAACCCATACCCACCTTTCAGAACCCATACCCACCTTTCAGAACCCCTAGCCACCATACAGAACTCCTAGCCACCATACAGAACTCCTACCCACTCACAGTCCCCGAACCTACTCACAGTCTCCCTACCCACCATACAGAACCTCATACCCACCTTACAGTCCAACTACCCACTGACAGCCCCCCTACCCACCATACAGATACCATATCTACCATAGTGAACCCCTACCAACCTCACAATCCCCCTACCCACCATATTAGAAAAATAAATATATATATCAATAATATGTAAGGCATATATGTATATGTATGCATGCAAGTCTTGCCACCCCAGATGATTGAGTAATCTATAAACACATAATATATATATATATATATATATATATATATATATATAATGTGTTTATAGATTACTCAATCATCTAATGCAGCGTTTCCCAATTACCCATGGGTTCTGTGAGAACAAAATTGGGCGTCCACAGCGATTTGCACGTCGGGTGCCCCAAGCATTTAGGGCCATCTTATGGGTATCGCTAAACAGGGGTCCGGTCAGTCACTGCGGTCATCTAAAACCACGACCAGACCCCTGTAGTATTGGATGCTGGGAGGAAGGACAGCACTTCCTCCCAGACAGAGCACGCCGCCTGGAGGGGGAGAGGGAGCAGCGAGGACTGAGCAGCACACCAACCTCAGCCAGCAGCACTGAAGATCCTCCTGCAGAAATGTTGATACACTGTGTCAGTGTTCCACAGGAACAATTTGGAACCCCTGATCTAATGATTGAGTAATATATATATATATATATATATATATATATATATATATATATATATATATATATATTGTGTTTATATATTCCTAGGGTGGCAACACATAGCTGTACATATTACATGTGACAATACGTGGCGCAGTGACTTCTGGGACTGGCATAGATTTTTTTTCCATGGCTGTTTTGTATCCCCAGTCCGGCCCTGCATCTCCCCTGGTTGTGTCTTTCACAGCCAATATGAAAAAAGTGTATTGTTTTTTGTTTTTTTCAATTAGATGAGACAGCACACTGTTTACTTGAGAAGTTTTTAATCTCCTGCTCAGTTAATTGAAATTTAATCACACAAACAAGGCTCCTCCAAACTCTAGCAGGCTACTAACAGAGCAGGAGATAAAATATAAAAAAAATTAACAGAATGTGAAATAATTAAAGTTTAAGCATTAGATCTCTATTTACAGGAAATGTAAGTCACATGCAGAAGGGTGTGACTAGGACTGCAAAAACAAAATGAAATGACTGCAGAGGCATAATCTTTACACCAAAACCATTAAGCTAAAGTGTTTTGGTGCTTATAGTGTCCCTTTATTGCGTTATTATAATAATATCCTGAAGTATTCCTTTACTGAGAGGGTAGTGGATGCATGGAATAGCCTTCCAGCTGAAGTGGTAGAGGTTAACACAGTGAGGGAGGCTAAGCATGCGTGGGATAGGCATAAGGCTATCCTAACTATAAGATAAGGCCAGGGACTAATGAAAGTATTTAGAAAATTGGGCAGACTAGATGGGCCGAATGGTTCTTATCTGCCGTCACATTCTAGGTTTCTATGTATATTGCTTGTTCTTTTTGATTTGTCTCTCCTCCACTGTTGGTGTTGGATTTTAAACTCTAATAAATATATATATTTTTTTTTTTTTTTGTACAAAGTTTTTTCATTTCATATATAAAAATCCATAGCAAAGAAGTGAATGTTATTACACTTTAAAGTGGCTATATTACCTTGAGGGTAGGGGGTCTTTGCATCTTGCCAAGACCTTCAAAAGGTGACATCCCCATTCAGTACATGGTGCTCTGGTAAGAGGAGTGAGTTATACATACCTAAACCCTCCCCTTAAGGGCACTGCCATCTTCCTTCTCAAGCTCCTGCACTTCACCCACCAGTCCACATCACTGCTCTACATATGGGCATGAATGGGAGTAATGCAGATTCCAAAACCAACTACTGACAGATGTGGGAATTGACAAAATCTGACAGTGGATGCTCCGCCTTTTATTAACTGTTCAAGTTAAACACAGAGAGGTCTCTACTTTGTCTTATGATAAGATTTGACTAACTTTTGATAACGGTTGCAATTTCAATGAAATTCCAACACATCCCATATGAGTATTTCATAACAATTATGGGCTGGATTGGCTCAGCAGAGTAGGGGTTTAATCTACTTACTGAATAGCAATTTTCCCATGGAGTTGAAAGGCAGAATTGCTATTCATTTTACTCTGCTAAGAGAATACTCATAAATATTATTGAGATGACGGGCTGCTTTAAGAAGTCACGCGTCATTGTGAAAGGAGAAACAAAAAAAATAAAGAAAAACAATAAATTTATTCTGCATCGACAGTCTCCGAGAGTGTCAAATATCACAGTAGGGCAGGGCCACACAACCTACACTGAAACAATATCCATAACTGCTGTAGTTGGCAAACTTGGGCCTCATTAACTCTTTAGACTCCCAATGATTTCTTCATAGTGCGTTATGCATAGTCCTGACATCCCAGTCATTTAAAAAGGCCCCAGAATATAAGTAACAGTTCACATAGTTCAATAAATATACATTTTAATGATTTACTGCCTAGCAACCCAACTTGGATGTTGTGTCAATAATATGACTGGTCCCATTGCTGCTTAATATGCCTCAATGTTTAGCTACTCAAACTGAACAAAAAAAGAGACAAATTTTATGTGAAAATAGGCATTTTAGTTTCACGTCCATTTCCTGTACACATCTGGCATTCCAGCAATTTTAATCAGCATATAGAAAGGCCAAGACATTAACTCATGACTCCACGCTTTAACCCTGCCAAAGGGGCCTTCCAAAAAGAAGGGTTTTAGTTCCAGTCTCTGTGCTGACTTATGCCATACAGCAGCTCAGCTTAACAATGCGTCCCATTGTGTCTCTGTTTTGCAAAGCAAGTTCTCTGCCAACATCTATGAGCTATATCACTATTGCACAAAGAAAATGCTATCCAGCTTTCTTGCTAGCATACTGTAAGATAAAGCAGAGATCCCAGTGAACTCTTAGAACACATAGAAGTAGTGATGAGCGGTTTATAAATCATTTTATATATTCAGACAAGACCACTAGAACATATTGTCACAGCAATTTTAAAAGCCTGTGTTTTCGGTAATGATCAAAAGGGTTTTATTTCAAGAATCTAATGAAAAACAAAGATTTTTTTGTTTGTTTTTTGTAATCCTTGCACTTATTGTATATTGCTTCTTTTTTTAAAGTGAAGAAACTCAACCTGTCATTTTGGTGGCTTTCCCTCTATGCTTCTTGGATTCACAGTCCTCCTCTACAATTGTCCAGAAGAGTCATGTGGTCTTTACTGCTTCGAGTGATTTTCCCTAATGCCAATGCATGACTGTACATGAATACAGAAGCAAAACATTGCATCTATTTGTAAGGGAGAAGAACAGCACATGTGTATGTTTGTGATTTCACAAGTACACGTGCAACGCTACCTTCATTGGCATCAATTGTGCTAGGTGGCACAACTTGATTGCATTTCACTACCTTAGGAACCCTGAGTGTCCCTTTTAAAGTATGGATTTTAAAGGACCACTATAATTACCCAGACCACTTCAGCTCAATGAATTGGTCTGGGTGCCAGGTCCCCCAAGTTTTAACCCTGCAGCTGTAAACAAAGCGGTTTCAGAGAACTGCTATGTTTACATTGCAGGGTTAATCTAGCCTCTAGTGGCTGTCTTCCTGACAGCCACTAGAGGCGCTTCACCGATGCTCAATGCGAAAAACGCATTGAGGACGCAGAATGTCCACTGGAAAGCATTGAGAAATGCTTTCCTATGGGCGTTTTTAATGCGCGTGCGGCTCTGGCAGAGCATATGCATTCGGCTCCACTCGTGAGCTGACGTCGGAGGGGGAGGAGAGGTCACCAGCGCCGAGGGAGCCCGGCGCTGGATAAAGGTAAGTGGCTGAAAGGGTTTTAACCCCTTCAGCCCAGCGGGAGGAGATGCCCTGAGGGAGGCGGGGACCTAAGGATTATATAGTGTCAGGAAAACGAGTTTGTCTTCTTGACACTATAGTGATCCTTTAAGGGAATAAAGCTACTGTATACAACTTACAGGCTTCTCATGAGCAAAATGAGAAATGGAATCTGTTGTTATCTCATTAGCCAGGTATGTAACTCAGACCAGTTCTGCAACCCTGTTGCCAAAACATCACTGCTACTTCCAGTCCTGCTGGTTTGTTCCTTTCTCTTTTAAGCGTCTCTTAGTTACTCTTCATTTTCTTTATGTTTTACTACTGAATATACACTGAATATCATTCAGTTCTGCTTTACGTGTTCTGCCTATGGTAACTGACACTCATCACCTTGTTCCCTGGTATAATTAGTCTCCATATTTTAGTTTCACATACAGTGTTATCCACTAAAATGGAAATTCAAGATAAATTCAAAGTGAATTTCCAATTTAAAGGAACACTTTAGTGTTAGAAATACAAAGATGCATTGCTAACACTAAAATGTCTCTCTGCCGCTGCATCTTCCCCACTCCCCCAACCATGAAATGGTAAAAAAAAAAAAAATCACTTTTTTTCAATTTCCTGATTCCACGCATTAGGCCTTTCTTTATAGATTGAATCAATGTTTTTCAATGTGGTTTTGCTTGACACTGGATGTCCTCATGCAAAGCGTGAGGATGCCCAGCGTCGTTTCACAGACCCAATCTCTGTGAAACAGCAGGAAGCACCTCTAGACGCAGCCTGGTAGACAGCCAATAGAGGCAGCATTAGCAATGTTTTTGTAATGTTTTTGATTGCGGAGTTAAGGGAAAAGGGACACTACACACAGACCACTTCAATGAGATGACGTGGTCTGGTTTCCTATAGTGTTCCTTTTAAGATAAAAACAGCCAAACTGGAAAAATTCTCTAAGTCAGCCATGTTGGCAGTTTGGCTACTCTGACTTTAAATTTGAAATTCACTTTGAATTCTCAGTTTGGTGAATAAACCTGATAATCCGCAAGTGCCAGTTGGCTCCCTTTCCTTACTCAGGATTATCCATGACACAGGAGAATATTTAGCAAAGTGATATATTCTGGAGAAAAAAAAAAGGTGCAAAGCACTAAAAGTAGGTCAATCCCCCCTAGATACCAGCAGAATTCCACTGGTGACTTTCTTTTACACCACTTTTCAAAACAAGACACTGATACATTTTTCTCTAAATTCCTAGTTGTCTTAACTAATTTCCCTTTTCTGTCTTTGCTAATGAAATCTCTTACCAAGCCATTCAGATCCTTTCTTAGGAACCACCTATCCAATCCAAGCCAAACGGTCACATCAAACTATGGTGTTAGGACATGTGGCCCTTAGGTGAACACCTGCTTGGTATTGTGCTATATTAAATAGCTCAGCATATTGGATTCTACTTTTCTTACTCTTGATTTAGCCGCTAAGCTAGCAATTAGAATAATCCTTAGATACTTGGATATAAATGTGACTCTTGTTCCAAATAGATCTTTTGCAATTCCACTGTGTTCAGAGTTTAATTCTGCTTCAGCACAATAAGTATTTAGATTTTCTGCCAAAGATACTGAAACATAACTAGAGAAATTTAGTTCTAAAATAAAATATCCTATTTTGCTCTTCAGAATGATGGCAGAGTACATGTTTGTAACCACTGGGGCTGAAATTGGTCCAAATATTTAGACTAACCAACTATTATTTTCAATGTAACTGTTTAATTACCTTCAATTTAACGGTTTTATTGCATCTATAAATATTCCACAGATAAATAAAAATGGAATCACATTACCTCCATGTCAGGCATGCTACAACACATTTTATAATATAAATCGGAAGAGATATGAATCCAACATAACTTTCCCCTGTACAGCTTTAGGATGGAATTCTGCCAAGTAGCAAGTAAAAGATTGTAGTTACAGATAAACAAATTAATTTTTACAAAATGTTAAAAATTAAAAGTTGCCTATGGAAATCTAGATAGTGTCACTTACATACTCTCACTAACACACACACACACTATCACTGACACACACTCTCACTGACATACACACACAGTGTCACTTGCACACTCTCACTAACACACACACAGTGTCACCTGCACACTCTCGCTAACACACACAGTGTCACTTACACTCTCACTAACACACACTATCACTGACATACACACATAGTGTTACTTGCACACTCTCACAAACACACACACTGTCACTCAAACATAAGCTCACACCACTACATAAAGTCACACTTTATTTACACACAGAAATACAGCAATTTAACACACACACACACCAATTTACAACCATGCACACAATAAACAATCCCCCTTAGCCTGCCTGGGTGCTGTGAAGAAGAGCAGAGGTCCAGCCTGCAGGAAGTTGTTCTTCTTTCTGTTGGGGGAGCAGGCTAGCCGTGCACTGTGAGCACAGGCTGCTTTCTGTTCCCCTCAGAGAGCTTTCGGTATTCACAGGCATGGGGCAGCCGGGATACCAAGTCACATCCCAGCTTCCCCTGCCTGCAGGAAGCAGTGTGCTCTGCTCACATGCTGGGGTTACAGCAAACCCAGCTGCCTGACTAGGCAAACAGAAGAGGAGCCCAAAAAGACAACATTTTGAGAAGTTGAAGAATATAAGGGAAAGAATAGACAGAATACTTTTAACTTTGCTTGTCCCATGAAGTCTGTATTGAACAGCATTATTTTATCTTTATTTTTGGATTTGTTTTTGTTATTAGAAATTCTTTATTTCAGAGACTTTGCACGTACAACGCGTCATAAGTATCACATGTCTCTGGTTTACATTATATAAAAGGAAATACATCAACATATAGAATCCAGTATAATTAATCTTTAGGACATAGGAGTATTGACCCTTACTTAAAGGGACACTCCATGCACCAAGACCACTTCAGCTAATTGACGTGGTCTGGGTCCTGTGTTTACATTGCAGCTCTAAGTCTGCCCTCTGTGGCTGTTTTCGGAATCTAAACTGACCTTTGGTCGGTTATCTGACGCTGGAGGTCCTCATGGACCTCCAGCGTCAGATTTTCCCCATAGGAAAGCACTGAATAATGCTTTCCTATGGGGAGGTATAATGCGCGCACGCGGCCTTTGCCGCGCATGCGCATTACGTCTCCCCTGAGCATGGACGTAGCCTGACCCAGCACTGAGGGACATCGGCACTTGATTCAGGTAAGTAGCTGAAGGGGTTTTAACCCCTTTGGCGACATGGGATGGGGGGCACTGCAGGATCAGAAAACGGGTTTGTTTTCCTGGCACTGGAGAGTCCCTTTAAACTCCATATGATCATGGATTCTGGACATAAAAAGAAGTTCTTTGGAACCAAAATGTCAGCGACCTTTAGCTTGAATAAGGGGTGCAGTGTTCAATATAACCTCATACCATAAACAGAAAAAAGAATTGCAAGGGAAAGAGATGGACAATTGGCAGGACGAGCGAGTGGAATTTTCCATGTTGCATGACCTAGCACATTATTGCTGCTAGAGTGATTTGCTAGGTCTTACAGCAGGTAACCAGCAGTTAAGACCATTGGTGTATGCCAGGGCCGCATTATGTGCTTGGGCCACTGACTCCACCCACCTCTCCAAGGTAGACATGCAAATGTCCAAAGCCTGGATCTCAGACTTTACCTTGTTGGAACTTTTTGTGAGTTCCCGGGCAATATATTTAAGAACAGCTCTCATTTGTGCTAGTAAACTAGCTGTATCTTCCAAACACAATGTGAAGGAATCTTAGGCACCATCTTTCTAGTCTTCTGGTACTCTCCTCGGTCCTCCCTCAGCGCCATTTTGGATAACTTAAATTGCGTCGAGTAGTGGAGAAAAAAAAAAAAAGGCTACAGAAGCCTCTTTCGGGTTGGATTTTTTACTGAGAAGACTTGATGTGGCTTCCAATTAGTTTTAGAGGTGATTATTTGTTTGACTTTCTCTGAAAAGCAGCTGACAAGTGCTTATCAGACTGTGTCACCGGAGTTCTCTGCCTATACATCTAGTTTCCTCAACGGCTAACCCACACCCCAGAGCCTTGTGGTTTTTCATATATTATTTACGCATTATTATTTTAGGGGAATTGTTAATATTGTGTTTACTTATACCCCTATTTTTAGTAGACGTGTTTCTAAGGTCTGAAAAAAAATAATAACAATCCACACTGTATTTATAAGCTCTACCCTTTGCATTGATTCTTCGCCATAAAGAGAGCATACAGAGAGGAATAAAATTTTCTCCTCCTTCGATGCATTGTTTGACTATGCCAGGACTGAACTGACAATGCTAAGTCTTCAATACAGATTGAAACAACCCTGGTGATTTCTGTAGTAGAAACACCCATGCCCATTGCACAGGCTATAGTTTCATTGACATCTGGTGCATGTGCCGAGCTTAACCCTAAACTTTCTCATCAGAAGCAATACTATAAGTGTATATTCAACAGACTATTTACACACTTCACAAAATATTTGCCAATAATTGTATACATAAGTGGAGAGCAAATACAAACATCAGCAGTATTACATCATCACCAAAGGCTCCTCAATCAAGCCTTAGTAATCTAAAATAATCTAGAATAAGGGATATAGCCCTTTAAAATGTATTTTAGAGCAATCTATTGTATCACTTTGCAAACATCTGTGGATTTTATCTGCTAATCTAAGATATATAAACCTAAATGTCTTTTCAGAAAAACCTCTAGAAGGACAGATAGTCTGCAGAGAGCGATAAAGATGTTTTTCCGTAAAATGAACTAGGGCAGTGAGGTCAAAGGCCAACGTCCACTGATAAGCCAGCAGACAATTAGGAAAAAGCATTAATTCTGCATATTATTATTATTCTTGACTAGTGATGTCCCGAACTGTTCGCCAAACGGTTCGCCACAAACGGTTCGCTATGGACTCCAGTCAGCAGACACATTCCAGCCAATCAGCAGCAGACCCTCCCTCCCAGACCCTCCCATCTCCTGGACAGCTCACTAAGAATGCAGCTTCAAAATGGATGCTGTCCCAGGGGTGGGAGGGTCTGGGAGGGAAGGTCTGCTGCTGATTGGCTGGAATGTGTCTGCTGACTGGAGTTTGCGGCGTACCATTGGTGGCGAACCGTGGCGAACCATTCGGCAAACAGTTCGGGACATCACTATTCTTAACCTGATCACAAAAAAAAATATTTAAAATATGAAATTACACTTCATCGTCTCTTAGAATAAGCCAATGAGAAAAAAAGCAGGCAACATAAAAGGGATTTTCTTTTGAGAGCATGTATCAATGCGGTCTTTTACAAAGTGTTAAACTGTAAATAAGGTAATCTCAGCCTCTTTAGTACATTGTGTTGTACATTACTTTCTGTAAGACAGTCAAAGCAGAAAGGTATTAGGTGAAAAATGAAAAGTAATTCTTCCCCGGCTTTCTTTTATAAATACAATCAAGTGAAAAATACTCCAGGCGCCTAGACAAGTGGCATGCGTATTAAAGGTATCTTAAGGTAAGATAACTGCTCTGGCTTAATATTCATCATAAATATTTATTTTTAAATATTTTTATTTTGCAAAAACACTTGGATCTGGATCCTCCTCCACCATGTAATTCTTACAGGAAAAAGGCTGTTGAACACCTGATAAATACTGTACCAGGATGTGCTCCATTGCAAAATAATGCACGGCAGCATAGAGTATCTGTGTTGGTTTGTGTTCTATGACGGACATTCAGATGGTTTATATAAATTAACGGGAATGTTATGCTTAATCCACCTCTCTATCCATCACCCTTTGCACAGACCTATTTTGCCACCATTTGGAACCTACATATTAAGCCCCAAACAGATTACAGTAAAAGGTAAGTATGTTTTTATATAGTTTCCTGAATCATTACATTGAAAAAGGAGCCTGTCCCTTTAAACATTAGTAAATGTCTCTTCTGAAACCTTTTTTTTCCCATAAAAGAATCAGCCTAACTACCCTCTGTTTATAGTTCAGTTTATCATTAGCTTTCAATGTCTCACTCTGCAGGCTGAAAAAAATAAGGTTAAAGGAACACTCTGGGCACTATAACAACTTCAGCAAAATATTTTTTTTTTATGGTGCCAGGAAATCCCCGGCACTGGCTTACCTTAAGGGGTATTTAATCCATTCTTAAATGGCTCAACCCCAAAGTCTGGGTCCCAGCACTGAATCGCCATGCCTCTATGCCCTTCCATTTTATACAATTCTCTAAAACGGAAAGATCATGCAGAATTGGGTAGTGGTGTGGCTGATTTACTAAGAGCGGTCAGCTGATGCGCTGAGCAAATCCGTATTCATAAAACTGATTTGAAAAAGGTGAGCCAGCACTAGCCACCATAGCAACTTCCGTTTGATTAAGTTGCTATGGTACCTATCTGTCCGTTTAATAAGATTTTTCTTTCATATTTACCTGCTTCTTTCTTATGCTTTCCACATAGACATCGGGGAGGGGCACTGATCTAACCAACCAGTGTCTCATCCCTAGGAATGCTGGAAGAGTGCATAAGGACATGCCTGATAGAATTACAAATGTACAGTTGGAAGAACTCTTAACCTTGCAACATTCTGACAGACGGAGAAGAGAGGGAGTCTGATCAGAGTGAGCACGCAGAGCACTATCTGGTGTTGGGCCTCTCTCTCCTTGCTGCTGCACAATGATAATGATATCCTGTTTCTGTCATTAGTGGAATGCTCTGAAATAGAGATGGATGGGTAACGGCGAGGTGGGGGGCAGGCTTAAGAAACTCCCCTAGCTGAGAGGTGTGCACAATAATGTAATCTGACCAAGTTTATTGTAAATTTATAAACATTACATACTTTGAATATATTTTCATTATTTTGGTTAATGTAGTTGTTTAAACGTATGTCCTAGTTGGTTTAAAACTTGTGAGTCTTCTGGATCTCTAACAAAGCATCAAATAAAGTCAAATGAAATCCCCAAAAAATGTAAGTATTTGTTGTGAGTCCTTGCCTATTTACCAAGAAGAGAAGGATGAAACTATGTGTCTTTTATTTGCCTGTACTTGCCCTGAATGTTATCTTAACTGCTCTAGTACAGAATATTTGTCAATTTTTGTCACTCTAAGTATCTTTTCTTTTCCCTCCGAACTCTGCCTTTGGCATAAAAAAAAAACTACCAAACACAGCCCCCCTATTGTTCCCTTCCTGAGCTAATGTTACAACATGGACCCAGGTGTGTTCTGGGCTTGCAATATTTTCAAAGACTAAGCAAAAATAGCCAGAACTGGGAGAATTCTAGGGGAATAAAGCTTGATTTGGCATATGGATTTTCTTTTATTTATTTATTTTAAACATAGATTAGGTTTTAAAACCCCAAACAATGCATAATTTGTTTAGAAATTTTATTAATCTCAAATATTCAAAATTCAGCTTGGGTACAAAATCAAAGGTTAAAGTATAACAGACAAACCCTGTTAATTTTAAAACCACCTGACTGTTTTGAGATAATTTTAAGAAATATACACACAGACATGCAACAAGACAGTAAAGGAACACTATAGGGTCAGGAACACAAACATGTTTCCCTTATCCTATAGTGTTAAAAGCACCATCTAGCCCCCTGGCCCTCCCATGCCTCCCTAAATATATTAATATTATTATTATTGCCATTTACATAGCGCCAACAGGTTCCGTAGCGCTTTACAATATTATGAGAAGGGGATTTAACTATAAATAGGACAATTACAACAAAAAAAACTTACAGGAACAATAGGTTGAAGAGGACCCTGCTCAATTGAGCTTACATTCTATAGGAGGTGGGGTGTAAAACACATTAGGACAGGACTTTGCAGTCAAATAAGGTGGGCTGCCCTTTAGGAGAGAGCAAGAGACAGGTATGTGAGGTAGAGGTTAGTCTTGGAGGCCATAAGCTTGCCTAAAGAGATGGCTTTTAAGGCACTTCTTAAAAGATGCAAGACAAGGGAGAGTCTGATGGCAGTAGGCAGGCTATTCCATAGGAAGAGAGCTGCCCGTGAGAAATCCTGCAAGCGTGAGTTGGCCGTATGGGTGAGGACAACGGACAGGAGGTGGTCACGGGCAGAGTGGAGAGACCAAGAAGGGACATACTTATGGATCTGTAAGGAGATATAAGAGGGGCTAGAGTTGTTCAGTGCTTTATAGGTGTGAATTAGTACCTTGAATTGAATCCTTTAGCATACAGGAAGCCAATGTAAGGACTGGCAGAGGGGTGAGGTGTGAGAGAACCGACTAGAGAGGAAAATCAGTCTTGCAGCAGCGTTCATTATGGACTGTAGCCGTCCAGTACAGCTTTTGGGAAGACCAATCAGGAGAGGGTTACAATAATTTGAGGGGATAGGAGAAACCCTACACCACCACCTTTACATTCAGAGTTTCTTGGGTTGTGGGTAAGTTGAAGACCACCGAAGGACAACGATACAGGGGTAGCAGTGTCAGAGTTGCTTGCCTTGTCCCCAGTAACCCCCATCCCTGTGTATCAACCCCATTAACTCTTCATCCCATGTGTATTAACCCCCCATCCTAGTGTGTCAAACCATTAACCCTCCTATCTCCAGTGTGTCACCCCTATTAATCCCCCATCCTCTGTGTGTCACCATCATTAACCCCCCATCCCCAGTGTGTCACCATCATTAACCCCCCATCCCCAGTGTGTTACCATCATTAACCCCCCATTCCCAGTGTGTCACCATCACCATTTAACACCACATTAGCCTACACTGGGTATGTTAATACACAGTGGTACACTTTGGTATAGAAATCTGATAGATGTACCGCATGCGCAGTACACCTGTCAGATTTGTATATCAGATTGCTATAGCTGATGGATGTACCGTGAGCATGTGCAATACACCCATCAGATTTCTATATCTGATGGATGTGTAGCATGCATGCACAGTACATCCTTCAGATTAACGGCCCAGTTGATCGAGCATCATCAGATGTGGCGAACGTGTGTGGCGCCTCTGCCAGAATTCTGTCAGAACTCTATACCCCGAGGCCTGCTAGCACGCATACGCTCATCTGATCTTGAGTCACTTCTGGTGACGTATGTGCACCGAAAGTGACGTAGGTAGAGAAATCTGATAGATATAGATTTCTGATAGAATACCACCTCTTGAGTTTAGCTCTACTGAGTTAAACAAACCAGGAAGTAACAGGACCTGCTGTCTGCTTGAAAGTCAAGGGGGTGTAACCAAGTGAATCCATAAAAAAAAGTGTTTTAATCATTTAAAGTTTCATTGAAATCTGCACTTTTTGCAAAATTTAAAAAAATAGGACACACTCTTCACACATAAAGCTTTTCAACAAGGTATTGTGCTTTAGTGGTCTGGTGTGAACCTTTAAGGTTGGTAACTAATCATCCGTGTTGTAGTTTTACACCTGCTGTGAACTACATCAGGGCTCAAAATTTCCACTCATTACTAGCCATTGACAAGTAAAAAAATGTAGCCCTGGCAAGTAAAAAGAGTTTTTATCCTTTATTCACGTTGATGGGGGGCACAAGGGAGCTATAGTGCCAGGAATGCAGCTCTGTAATCCTGTCACTTATAGTATCCCTTTAAAGCCGGGCAAGCAGAATTACATTTAATGTAGAAATCCATTTTTTTGGGCTGTAAAATTGTTTTTCAAAAGATCTGAGCAGGAGTAATAGCTATGTTAGAGAATATGGTCTGGCCACCAATCTGGCCATCAGTCTATCCTGACATTTGTAATTCCCTTTTCAATTTTCAATCAAGTCCCAGGTTAGTGAAGAGATCCACTGATAGATCCCCGTGGCGAATAAATTAGGTCAGGAACATGTCACCTTACCCTAATGAGGTGACCTTGTATTTCAGATGACCTTGGTTTACCATAATTAGCCAAACTAAATTTTCCATGATACTCAGTCATTTCTTAAGCCATAACTGTCACAACATGAGAAAACTAAAATTCCCAATTGTTTTGTATTTTACAAGTTACGTTGCATGCCTGACTATCCTGGCACAGCCAGAGTATTCCATGCAAAATAATTTAACCCGCACGGTGCCAAATGCACATCACTTGTGTGTGTACTTCACTTTGGAAGAATGGTCAAAAACACATGAGATGAGATCATATTGCATTTCTCTATGTATGGGCACATGTGCACACCTGGAGCATTACACCTGGACCTTCGTGAAACGAAGATGTTCCAAAGTGCTGCATCAGTAAATGTTTATTTTTCTTTCCATAGCTGCACTTTTCACCCCAGTAAAAGAGTCAATATTAACCAATACAGAAAGGAGTGCTCTGTGTATAAAAGGCGCTTAGTAGATAAACCAGACAATGTATGCAGGTGAAAAAGCAGCTCACACTCGTGTAAATATCCCCAAATTTTACACACAAAGTATAATACAAGGAAAACAGATAACCCAGGTGGACCAAACCACTCTTAGTGGAGCGCTAAGAAAGGCAGATTTACCACAATATACAATGGGGATATATACAGTAATATAATTCCTATATGATAAAAAGATATACACAATGGTGAAGTATATCAAGGTCCAGTAACATAAATGAGAAGATAGTAGGGACCACACTCACATGGTTAAGAGCCACCTACGAATAGGCTCAAATCACTTCAGCATAGGTATATTAAGGTAATACCAAAACTTTCGGAAGTGGACTATATGGTAGACTGGTATTACTGCACATTTTATTATTAGATTGTCTGTTGCTTTAATAAAGTGCTTTTTTTTAGTATACTTTTATCCACTAGTCCTCTGCTGTTTTTCCTGGAATCAAGAGGGGTTGTGCTCTCCTTAATAGCACACCTACCTGTATACCAAGAGCTTAGTATAACTGGCTCTTCACAAGGTGAACAATTACTTCATATTATAGGGGTATTTGCAATTTAATATCTTGATAATACTGCACAAAGATGTTTTCTCTTGTTTCTCTTCCTTTTTTTGGTGAGGATACTTACCGGACACCATAAGAAGGTTTTGGTATTACCTTAATATACCTATGCTGAAGTGATTTGAGCCTATTCGTATGTGGCTCTTAACCATGTGAGTGTGGTCCCTACTATATTCTAATTTATGTTACTAGACCTTGATATACTTCACCATTGTGTATATCTCTTCATTATATAGGGATTATATTACTGTATATTTCCCCATTGTATGTAGGGATAAGTCTGCCTTTCTTAGCGCTCCACTAAGAGACACCTATAGTGGTTTGGTCCACCTGGGTTATCTGTTTTCGTTGTATTAACCCCTTAATGACCAAACTTCTGGAATAAAAGGAAATCATGACGGAATATTTAAGAGCGTCAATATTGTTTATAGCGGTGAAGAATGAAAAAATGTTGCTTACTGGAAGTGACACTGCTGCTTAAACCTGGTTAGTCATTATGGGAAAAATAGTTTGAAATATCTGAAATGCCAAGGATAGTAATCTACAAATAGAATGCCATCTCAGTACCTTGTTTGTGTACACAGGACAGAGTCTGTGCATTCCAAGACAAGGTAAAAGGTTGTTTATCATATAAATAACCGTAAAGCGAAAAAAAAAACAAGAAAAAAAAAATCTTTCTGAAATGTACTCTGAAAATAAAAAGTAATATTCACAAGACTTACCCTGTGGGAGTGAGATCAACAGCTTCTCTTCAGATGCAGATTCTTTCTCAGGCCCTACAGGCTCTGGAGGAAAGGTTTCTCCCACTTGGGACATCTGCCAGGTCTCTCAGCAAGAAACACAAACGTATCCAAAGACAAACCACCTTCACGGAGGAGAACTGAACAAAGAGCACAGGAAACACATGAGTATGCGGTAAATGCATCTGTATCCTCACATTATCAGTACAGTTGAGGTTAACCAACTTATGACTTTAAGGGCAACAAGTGAGATATGCATCCTCTACAACAAATCTGGCAGATAATCAAGGGAGCTGCATTCCAACAACAGCTAGTAGAATAGCCAATCAACATCCCTGTACTCTTTCATCAAGGTGTGTATGCAGGTCATTGCTTAACCCTTCTTGTCATCAATAGCCCTTCTAGCATATATTAATTGTTCTAGTATAGTATTTCCAATCATGGCAAAACTAAATCAATGAGTGATAGAAACTGGGAGCTAGCCCAATACATGGAGTGATAGAAAAGGCGAGATAGCCCAATACATGGAGTGATAGAAACGGGGAGCTAGCCCAATACATGGAGTGATAGAAAAGGGGAGCTAGCACAATACATGGAGTGATAGAAACAGGGAGCTAGCCCAATACATGGAGTGATAGAAACGGGGAGCTAGCCCAATACATGGAGTGATAGAAACGGGGAGCTAGCCCAATACATGGAGTGATAGAAACGGGGAGCTAGCCCAATACATGGAGTGATAGAAACGGGGAGCTAGCCCAATACATGGAGTGATAGAAACGGGGAGCTAGCCCAATACATGGAGTGATGGAAACGGGGAGCTAGCCCAATACATGGAGTGATAGAAAGGGGAGCTAGCCCAATACATGGAGTGATAGAAAAGGCGAGATAGCCCAATACATGGAGTGATAGAAACGGGGAGCTAGCCCAATACATGGAGTGATATTAAAGGGGAGCCAGCCCAACACATGTAGTGATATTAAAGGGGAGCAAGTCCAATACATTGAGTGATACAAACAGGAAGTTAGCCCAATACATGTAATGATGGAAAAGGGGAGCTAACCCAATACATGGGGTGATAGAAACGGGGAGCTAGCCCAATACATGGAGTGATAGAAATGGGGAGCTAGCCCAATACATGGAGTGATAGAAACGGGGAGCTAGAAACGGGGAGCTAGCCCCAATACATGGAGTGATAGAAACTGGGAGCTAGCACAATACATGGAGTGATAGAAAAGGCGAGATAGCCTAATACATGGAGTGATAGAAAAGGCGAGATAGCCCAATACATGGAGTGATAGAAAAGGCGAGATAGCCCAATACATGGAGTGATAGAAATGGGGAGCTAGCCCAATACATGGAGTGATAGAAACGGGGAGCTAGCCCAATACATGGAGTGATAGAAACGGGGAGCTAGCCCAATACATGGAGTGATAGAAAAGGGGAGCTAGCCCAATACATGGAGTGATAAAAACAGGGAGCTAGCCCAATACATGGAGTGATAAAAACAGGGAGCTAGCCCAATACATGGAGTGATAGAAAAGGCGAGATAGCCCAATACATGGAGTGATAGAAACGGGGAGCTAGCCCAATACATGGAGTGATGGAAACGGGGAGCTAGCCCAATACATGGAGTGATAGAAAGGGGAGCTAGCCCAATACATGGAGTGATAGAAACGGGGAGCTAGCCCAATACATGGAGTGATATTAAAGGGGAGCCAGCCCAACACATGTAGTGATATTAAAGGGGAGCCAGTCCAATACATTGAGTGATACAAACAGGAAGTTAGCCCAATACATGTAATGATGGAAAAGGGGAGCTAACCCAATACATGGGGTGATAGAAACGGGGAGCTAGCCCAATACATGTAGTGATAGAAACGGGGTGCAAGCTCAATATATGGAGTGATAGAAAAGAGAAGCTAGCCCAATACATAGAGTGAAAGAAAAGGGGAGCTAGCCCAATACATAGAGTGAAAGAAAAGGGGAGCTAGCGCAATACGTGGAGTGATTGAAAGGAGAGCTAGCGCAATATATGGAGTGATAGAAAGGGGAGCTAGCGCAATACATGGAGTGATAGAAAGTGGAGCTAGCCCAATACATGGTGTAATAGAAAACAGGAGGTAGCCTTATACATTGAATGATAGAAAAGGGGAGCTAGCTTAATACATGGAGTGATAGAAAAAGGGTGCTAGCCCAATACATGAAAAGGGGAGCTATCCCAATACATGGAGTAATAGAAAAGGGGGAGCTAGCATGATGCATGGAGTGATAGAAAAGGAGAGTTAGTCCAATACATGAAAAGGGGAGCTAGCCCAAAATGGGTACCCCTATATACACTGATAGAAAGGAGACAGCCCTATGCATGTCCTATATACAGTGATATAGGAGGTGGGCTATACATCCAATGAAAGCATGGAAGGTAACTTTATATACAGTGATCATTAGATAGCCCTGTACACCCACTGACAGAATAGGAGGTACCACTATACAAAGTGGAGGAGCTAGCCCTTTACATGCATGGATAGAATAAGGAGTATGGGGATTATGGGGGAGATACCCTACACATGTAGTGATAGAATGGGAGGGTCTCCTATATACAGTGATTAGGAGGTGGGCTGGTCTTGTACATTGATTCATAGAATAGGAGGTATTCGTACATACAGGGATTGAAGGGAAGTACCCAATATATGTAGTGATAGAGAAAAAGGCACCCCTATAAACATTGATTGGGAGTGGTACCATATTCATGCATTGATAGAGGAAAAATGTACCTATATGCAATGATAGTGTGGTACCCTATGCATGCAGTGATAGAATAGCAGGTAACCCATATATACAGCAATAAGAGGTACCCTATACATGCAGCAATAGAATAGAAGGTACTTCTATATACAGGGATCAAGGGTGATACCCTATACATGCAGTGAAATAATAGGATGAAGCCTTCTATTCAGAGATGGGAGTAGGTGTCCTATACATTTAGTGATAGAGTAGACGGTACCCCTATACATAAAGTCATCCTATAGGAGGTATCCCTATATACAGTGATGTCCCTATATATGCAGGCACAGAATAAGAGGTACCCCCTATAGATATAGGGGAATGTATCCCACACATGTGGTGATAGAATAGAGGTACCTCTATATACACTGATGGGAGTATCAGCCGATACTCGCAATGATAGAATGATAAATACAGTATGAGGAGGGTGCCTATACATGCAATGATAGAATGGGGGGTACCCAGTGGTGTATTTAGGATTTGTGCTGCCTTAGCCAGGACGGTGCTTGGGCACATCCCCCCCAATTTAAATTTTCCTCACCCCTTCCTGTCAAGGCCGCACTTTGACTGACAGATGCTCACTCACTGACAGACGCATATACTCATTGAAAGACACACACTCATACAATGACAAATAGTGATGTCCCGAATGGTTCGCCGAACGGTTCGCCACGGATGGCGAACATATGCGCTGTTCGGCCCGCCCCCTATTCGTCATCATTGGGGAGGGGTCAAAAGTGGCCAGCCGGCCAGCTCTTGAGCCCCCCAGGACACGAGGCAAACAATGGGCGTTTGGGGGCGGCTTTTTCTGCCGCCCCCTGCAAAGTACCGCCCATTGCTGATGCCTTGTTTGCCTCGAGGAAGACACGTCCCTGGGGGTACCCCTAGATACAGAATGAGGAGCGTCCCTATACACACACAATGATAAAATGGAGGTACCCCTATATACACAATATTATAAGGAGATACTCTATATGTGCAGTGATAGAATGGGGGTACACCTAAATACAGTAGAAGGAGGAGGTACCCTATACACACACAATGATAGAATGGGGGGTACCCCTATATACACAATATTCTAAGGAGATACTCTATATGTGCAGTGATAGAATGGGGGTACACCTAAATACAGTAGAAGGAGGAGGTACCCTGTACACGCAATGATAGAATGGGGGTACTCCTAAATACAGTATGAAGATGGTCCCTATGCACACAATGATATAAAGGGTGTACCCCTATATACAATATTATAAGGATGCACCCTTCATGTGCAGTGATAGAATGGGGGGACCCCATCCCCTATATACACAATATGAGGAGGTACATACAGTTATAGAGTTGGGGTACTCTATATATGCAGTGATAGAATGGGGGTACCTCTATATACAATATGAGGAGGTACCCTACACATGCAGCAATAGAATGGGAGTACCCCTATATACAATATGAGGAGGTACCCTATACATGCAGTGACAGAATGGGGGTAGCCCTATATACAATATGAGGAGGTACAGGCAGTAAGAGAGTTGGGGTACCCTATACATGCAGTGATAGAATGGGGGTACCCCTATAAACAATATGAGGAGGTACCCTATACATGCAGTGATAGAATGGGGTCACACCATCCCCTATATACAATATGAGGAGGTACATGCAGTAATAGAGTTGGGGTACTCTATAAATGCAATGATAGAATGGGGGTACCCCTATATACAATATGAGGAGGTACCCTATAGAATTGGGGTACCCCTACATATAATATGAGGAGGTACATGCAGTGATAGAGCTGGGTTACCCCCACATTCTTTATTATGGAGAGTTTCCCTATACAATAAGTTATAAACTAAGCGATATCTACACCCATCACCCTCAGCCAATGAGAGCCAGCCCCCCAGCCTGATCTGACTATCCAGGTATATGGCCACGTGTTGCTGTGAGCAGCCGGGCAATACAATAAATACTCTCTGGATACTTTGTATCTTTACCTCGCACGGAAGAAACTTTTTTTTTTCCTCTTTCACTCACTCTTCTCTGGATCCTTCTTTTCATCATTTCCGGATACTAAAATCATCCCCCTCTGGCTGACAGCAGCCCGCCCTAAAACAGACACAGGGGGGAGGCAGGGGGCTGGCAGCGGCATGCCATCACTACAGGGACAGGACCATGGGAGGGGGGAGAGAGCGGCCGGGGCAGAGGAGATACCGACCTGCATGCACTGATAAGAACCATTAACCTCACACATGGCTTTCTGGGTCACATTCTGCCTAATAGTGTCTGGCATAACTGCATCCTGCCAGGGGCCACAACCAGGAGTCTGCCAGGGGCTCTGTATATTCATCTATCATTTGGATTATTCCTGGCAATCAAACAGCCCCTCTCTCTGATTTATATTCTGCAATTCAGATATCCATCTTTCAATTCAACAGGAGTCAGTGTTTAGTAAATAAACCTAATATGCATCCATTGAGATAGAATATATATTTATATAAATTAGATACAAAGTTTACATTTTAGACATTAAATGGGTTTTATACACTGTAATGGGATTGATTCACCAAACTGAATTTGGGGGACTTTAAATAGAATGTAAATAAAGGCCAACAGATCTAAGTTTGAAAAACAGCTGAAACTGGAGCATTCTTCCAATGTAGCCAATATCACCCAAATGCTGACATTTCGCTGCTTAGTAAATAAACCCCTTCACCTACAGGGCCCCATGGATCATGCCCAATGTAGAATTCTTCAGTACACAGTTTTGTTAGGACACAGCATTCCCGACCCCTGTAAGAATGTATCAGAACTCGATGCCTTTATACAATATGTATTTGTTTAGTAAATATAAATCAAACCTTCAATACCCATTCACATGCTATGGGATACTTTATCTGTGTTTTAGTTAATGGTTCAGGCTTCATTGTAACTTTTCACCTTCACTTGCAGTCAGAGTTTGTTATATATACACTTTCTGACTGCTGAATTTAATATTCTTGCAGGTTACAATGCAAGCCTCCAGCATACTCAGCTTGTAACTTTGTGATTCTACAATAAGCACTATGCCCCCCACTGCCAGCACAGTCCCTCTGTAACAAAATGCATGTACTTACAATTGTCCTGGGGAAGGATTAGCTAGTCCAATTGAGATCTTCTCTTTTCTCAAGTCTTGTTTTCACAGACCCAGGATTCTTGGATGTAGATAGGCTTTAACACCTATTCCCAGTACCTCTGTCCCGTGTTAACAAGAAGTTCCCCTTGAATACCTCCTGCTCTCTTCTAATCTGCTTGACAAGTCCAGACATCTCATTTCAGTATGAAACTGATGATCCCATCACAGCAAGGCATCTCACTGTATATTGCAGTTCAGCATTTGCCTCTGATCACCATAAACTACAGTTTAGTTTCCAAAGGCTCTTGAACACTGTTAGCAGCCATTACACAGCTGTATAACTCTACAGACACCCACACACACACACATACACACACACACACACACACACACACACAAACTCTTGTACATACCATCACACGCCATCTAGTGCCTAACAGGCTATATATAACTTTTTTTTTCTTAAAGTCAGTTACATTTTCTTGCAGCAATCAGGATATTAGAACAAATTAAGTGATGCTTGATCATAGTAATGCAAATCAAAGATTAAGAATTAATCTTTATTAATATGCTTCTGGCACAGCCTTGATTGTTTGAGAAGGGGAACTTGTCAGTGTTTCAAGCACTTTTACAAGAGTTTATATTTTGGGTGTATTCTTGTTAAGTGAGGTATATGTTTACAGTAAACACTCGCACAGCGCAGGGAGCAGTTGAATAAGACAGAACTGACTACAATGATGACAACATTTTCAACTATATTATATTGTCAATATTAAAATAATTCCAGGGATAATTTACCATATACAGAGTCATTCAAGAAAGGAATACTCCAAACACCATAGCCACTACCACATGTGGTGGTGGTTATAGTGTTGCTAGTGCCCTGACGCCCTCCCTGGAATCCCTCAGTCACATTGCTTTCTCCACTGCATGTGCAAGCTCTGTGGTGCAGAGAGGTGCTCATTGACTAAGAGCAACATTTGAATAAACCACTCTTGCAAGACACCTCAGGACCAGGGAGAGAGTGGACAGGTGACCTACAGACCCCTTAAACAATTTGACTACTTACTTCCTGTCACTTTAACCACTAACCAGTCAGTGCTGGGAGTGTTCTTTTAAATAACTTAATGTAAAATAGAAATGGGAGAATTTCTTAGTTCGACTATCCAGTCCAAAATTTGTTAATTTACTTAGAATTCACTTTACAACGATTAACACTCTAGTAAATAACCCTATCAGTATTGACATTGGATCATGTCAAAAAACACTGGCCTGTAGACTCTGACAGTGCTATTTAGTAAACCCGAGAGTTTCAGGACCACTCAATCTGGAGCGGATTTATTATTATAATAATGTTTATTATTTTTTTATATAGTGCCTATTATTACACTTGCAGTGATAGAACAGGAGGACTCACAAGAATAGGTGACACAACAGGTGACTAACAAATAGTTGCAACAAGACATGCTGAGTTATGAGGGCCCTGCTGAAACAAGGCTTTATGACTCATCTGTGATCTTGGTGCAGACAAAGATACATTGCATTATGCATTTAGTGTTTCTAGCAACTGCAAGGCAGTATTTAGGGACCTAACTTGGGGACACACAAGGACGTTCAAACAGATCAAAACCCATAAAATATTCGCCATTAAAGAAAAAAATACCTTTTATGAAAATTTGTTCAGTAAAAATAATTTGAAAGTAAATTAGTGGACCACTTACTGGGGCGCTGCATGACCAGGCTTGCACTAATACCTTGTGGAATTTGAACCATTTTGATTGACTGGCTAGGAACATGTTCTCTCAGAGAGGTTTCTTTCTGATTAATTTGTATTAAGGAGTACCGAGTACCAATACACAGAAGGTATGTGTCCTGCAGTAGGGAATCAAGGTATAATTTAGAAGCGTTTATTAGCTAATCATCTGATTGGTGAGTTTAAAAACACATTTCCAAATTCAGGTGAGAATAGCCAAGATGTCACTATAGTGGAATTGATTTGGAGTAATTTAGAAATTTAAAAAATTTGGCCTGAATTTTACAATACAGTTATTAAATCACCACAATTAATAGTATAGTGAATAAATCCTGCAATCTTTTTATCCTTTATTACATGAACATCGCACAAATCTACGAAAACCCACACAAAAACACAATAAATGTATAAAACATGAAAAACTATCTTCATATTGTCAAGCTAGTACAGTGATGGCTAACATTGACACCATAAATTGTTCGTGGACTACATGTCCCTTCATCATTCTCCGCCCAAATATGGTTCCAGGGTCCACACTTTATTCCAGACCTTTAAAAGTCTTGTTTTATAAGCTGGTGATAAAATCTCTCAAATTCTGTTTGTTATATATACCAGTGATAAGAGAAATTTATTTCAATTGCAAATTTTGGCCAATTAACTAGTGGAGAGTTTTCTTGACTTCAGTAATTTTCCAATCTCCTAATTGTTTAATATATAATTCAAATAGCCACAAAATTAGAACTACTAGGCAAAAATAACTTTAAAATTGATGCCGTACATTTCTAGAGCGTGGCCCTGCCACCTTTAATCTAGAATCCATATGGTATGTGGTCTGGTGGATATACGTGACCAAGTTTGAAATATATTTAAATACTATAACTCTATACAAATATATCTTTGCTTTTTATTTCTCTATATTAAACTGCTACTTGAGTAATATTTTCCCAGAACAATCTACAGTGCATTAATGTTACTGTCCTTCAATATATAGAATCGACCTACTACCGGAGACAATAAATCAAAAAACCCCTCCCCTTCCAAACACATTTTTTAAAAAGTACTTAGATTTTTATATATGGTAAAATTTTGGGATATTCACATACATAAAGAGTGAATGTGTGTGCAGTGTAGCAGTGTGTAAATATTTGAGTGCATGTCTGTGTCTATGTGTTTTTAAGTATGTGTCAGTTTGTGTATAGTGTATGTACGTAACAGTGTGTTTATTAATAGAACTTTTAAAATAAAATAAATTAAAGGAGCCATTGCTGGGCATAACCCAAACGTATATTAAAGGGATACTGATCCTAAACTAATCAACTTTAGTTTAACGAAGCAGTTTTGGTGTATAGATCAAGCCCCTGCAGATCCACTGCTCAACTGCCTGTAGTATACCTTTTATAATCAGTCAAAAATGTAACAAAAAGGAAACAGAGTTTCGTATCACCACTTAGATAATATAACCCTATTCCTTATATATTGACTGCTATTAATTGCTCTATTCTTGTCTTTATACACTGTTTAAAGGGATTCTCCCCTTTAAACAGTGTATTCTCCCCTTTAAATATTAGTTTTCCTTGCACTGCAGGACCCTGGAGTGCCCCTCTCCCTCCCACCCTCCATCCCAAGTTGCTGAAGGGGCTTACCGGAGTCCAGCGCCAATGTCCCTCGGCGCTGGTCAGGCTCCGCCTACTCTCTGCCTACTCTCCTCCCCCGACATCAGCTGACGTGGGAGACCTAATGTGCATGCACGGCAATGGCCACACACGTGCTTTAGACCTCGGAGATGCTGGAGGTCCTCACATAGCGTGAGGACGTCCAGCGTTGCTTAAAACACTTTCCGTGTTCTAAGAACATGAAAGTCCCTCTAGTGGCTGTCTGTTAGACAGCCACTAGAGAAGGACTTAACCCTGCAAGGTAAATATTGCGGTTTACGAAAACTGCAATAAGTACACTTACAGGGTTAAAGGTAGTGGGAGTTGGCACCCAGACCACTCCAATGGGCAGAAGTGGTCTGGGTGCCTGGAGTGTCCCATTAAATATATCAGTACAAGAACTTAATTAAAAGACTAAGCAGTCAATATAAATAATAGGGGTGTATTATCTTAGTGCTGATCCCATTCCTTTCTCCCTGATTTTCCTTTTTATTTAATTTTTGGCTTAATAGTTGCAGTATGTGCAACAGTGTCGGTAACAGTGGGTGCACCTTTGATTTCTGAGTTGTCCCGTCCTCGCACCTCTCCCTCCCTGAAAATCGCTGTGGTCAGTCTGAGGGGGCAGGGCCAAGCACAGATCAGTGTGTTCTGTTTTAGGGGGTGGGACCAGGCACCTCAGACAGAATGCAATGATCCCAGAGTCAGGAACCCAGCAGACAAAGAAGAGGAGATATGGAGAGGGGTTTTAATGGGCAGAGCAGGTGCCCCCTGCAGGACAGGTGCCTACTCTGCCTAGGGGGAAATCTAGTCTGAATTAGCACTAATGAAATTACCCTTCAGTTTCCCTCTACTCACTCCTTTGTTGCACAAATTGCACTTTGTGAATCAGCCTTCTTTGAGGCACTCAAACTTTGCTTTGTTGGTGCAGTAGGTTACCCCCCACCCTCTGGTGTGTGGCTGATGAAGATGCAGGTTAATTTGTCTCAGTAGCAGTGGAAGCTGTCGCAACACTAACCTGCATACTATCACTTGGTTAAATAATGCTAATGGAAATGTAGATGGTGGTGTTACAGGTTATGTTGTTGGTGGTAAATATTTTGTTGGTGGTGTTGGTACAGGTTATGTTGATGGTGGTGGTACATTTCTTTTGTTGGTGGTAGTGATACAGGTTATGTTGGTGGTGGTGGTAGAGGTTTTATTGGTGATGGTGGTACAAGTTATGTTGATAGTGGTACATTTTTGTTGGTGGTAGTGATACAGGTTATGTTGGTGTGGTGGTACAGGTTTTATTGGTGGTGGTGGTACAAGTTATGTTGATAGTGGTACATTTTTGTTGGTGGTAGTGATACAGGTTATGTTGGTGTGGTGGTACAGGTTTTATTGGTGGTGGTGGTACAAGTTATGTTGATAGTGGTACATTTTTGTTGGTGGTAGTGATACAGGTTATGTTGGTGTGGTGGTACAGGTTTTATTGGTGGTGGTGGTACAAGTTATGTTGATAGTGGTACATTTTTGTTGGTGGTAGTGATACAGGTTATGTTGGTGTGGTGGTACAGGTTTTATTGGTGGTGGTGGTACAAGTTATGTTGATGGTGGTACATTTTTGTTGGTGGTAGTGATACAAGTTATGTTGATGGTGGTACATTTTTGTTGGTGGTAGTGATGCAGGTTATATTGGTGGTGGTAGTACTGACCACTACTAGTTGGAAGTTGGTGGCATTGATAATGGGTGAGCTGTTTGTGCCATTGATAGCAGGTGCAGCTGATCGCATCTGTCTCTGTTGGATAAGGAAATTCTAATGCAGATAGAGATTGACTTTGATAAGGCGGAGAAGATGCAGGAGGCTAGTACACACGAGCTGCCAGAGAAAGTACTAGACTGCTGCCTGTCCTCTCTACACACTACTCTTCCAATTCTTCTGAATGATAATACTCATAATCGAGTAACTTCTGGTAAAAGTGCTATGTCTGCA